TTAAGTAAATTCTTTTGTTTAGATAAATTTATTTCTAGAATTTAATTCATAATTTATCTAGTTGATATTGACTACTTAGTTTGAATTTTAGTATTATTCCTTATTATACTTCAGATTCTTAGAATTTATTTCTTTATTAATTTTTATTAGAAGTAAGAATAAGTTTTTATTTTTTTGAAATATCATTGTTAAATGAATTTTTCTATTGTTCTTAAAAAATCAAATAGTAATTTTTTAGCTAATACTCTCATATTCTAACATTTAATTATTTTTTAATATTAGATCAAATCAAAAGTTGAATTTTATTTATTATTATTCTTTTTTCTTATTCATGTTTTCTTCTGATTTAATCTAATTAAAGTATTAATTTTTAGATATTTGAGTTTATGACTATATTTTTATTATTGATTGATTAATAATTGCTTGAATTTCAAATTTAGGTGTTACCATTTAAAAAAGGGCTTTTGATTAAAATATTTTACATAATTAATAATTACTTTGTTATTAATGTTATGAGTATTCTCATTATTTTTGAGAATGATAGTATGTTTATATTTGAATTTTTGGAGATAGTAAATGAAGAACAAATTTATATAAAAAATTTAATGTGTTCTTGGATTGAAGATGATTAGTATATAGAGTAATATAAATTGTTTGATTTACATTCAAAATCGAAAGGGTATTTTTTTAATTTTTTTCATTCTAAAAATGTATCTTATTTATATAATACATGATCTTATCTACCAAATATTAATTGTGTTCAGTGAGATCAGAACCCTGAAGATACCCTTGAATTATGTAAAATTTAAGATATTTTATTCATCTTTATTGATATTAAGTTCTTCTTGAATTATTTATTTTAAGATTCAAATTGCTAGTATTAAATGAAATCAGAGAATTCAGGCACTTTAAACCAAGAATATCTTGAGCTAACGATAAATCATCCTAAATAATAAGATATCAGCAATAGCAATAATGTGAAATAGGGTCATTGGACTTAAGAGGAACATCATTAATATGTTTAATTCTTACTTAGAGTAAAAGGATCAGGAGATTCATAAAGAAAAGGATAACCATTGTTTAAAAGAATGAGTTAGATTATTGGTACTCGAACTCCAAGTTAATGCAGGTACTATTTTAATGCAATTAGATCCCATCATTAAAAATTCAATCCATTTAATCCTCGTTTGAGAAGAAATCATAAGAGAAGATAATTAGCAAAAATAGAAAAGCCTTTTCAAAGAACAAAATAACTTATCAGATAATATTTCAATAAACACAAAATTCATTCTGATGATGAAAATCACAATGAATGAGAAGGTTGATTTTATATGATTAAAATATATGGAGATAATAAAATCACTGAAACATTTATTATTATTTAATTTTCTATATATAATTTACATCTTTTATTTTTAGTTTGACAAACATTTTTATGAATAATATCATGATTTAGATTTCAGTGTAATTTTTAGATCAAAAATATACTTTAATATGAGCATCCTAATACAATTATTAAAAGCATTAAGTAAATAAATTATATTTCTAAATATAATTAAATTAATAAATTAATGCATAATCTCGTTTTAATATAAAAAAATGAACTGACATTAAAGTAAATTCTTCAACAACAAATTGAGTTGATATTTACAAATTTCACTTGATACTTATGTAAATTTTATCCTTTTGCTTTTCTATAAATAATTAATTAGATATGGATATGATGATGAACAAATAAATTTTATTATAGTATAATATAATTATAAATTATTTTATAATAAAATATTGAACACAAATTAAATTAAATTTAATTTACGATCATCTAATGAGGCGTGTAGCTAGAATTGCTTAATCTGTAATCAAAAATAGAATGTTCTAATCTCTTCAACAAAAGATTGTCTATCATTTTGATGAAAATTACAATAAATTTTATAAAGAAAAGAATGAAAATTTGGTATTTTTTTAGATCAAGTTCAGATCCACCCTACTTATACATCCAAACACTTTAAAGTCTCATCAAATTCAATTATTTAATATTTGGAAGACAAGAAGATGGAACATAAAATATAAGGAAAGTATGTACAATTAAGATATTGTCCATTCTGTCCAAAACATAATATCGAAAATCCATCTAACCAATTTGTAATGGGAATAAACTTAGAGAAGTAAATCTTATATTAATCATTATAGTGGATCATATAATTGTTTTAGAGCTAGCTGTTCGGCAAAAGGTTCTTGGTTTGATTTTAAGAACTTTATGAACGGGACTCTCAATACTTCATAATAGTAAAATCCATAGACTTAATAACAACCCATTTAGAAACTGAATATATTTGAATATCACTAATACTATGAGAGATTAAAATTATAAGAACCTAAAATAGTTTATGACTATTTGACAGGTGATGATTGGGAAAATGTACAATTTGCCTTTTATTCACTAGTCAGAATTAAAGAGGAATTAAGGATGATGTCTTGAAATTATATTTGATTGGCATTGATATAAATGAAATCTATGATCCATAATAGGGCACTTATGTATAAGCTCCACTTATATATTTCCCCATGTTTAGATATAGAAATTAGCATGAGAAGAATAAAATTATGTAAAAAGCATTGAAATAGAAAAAAGAAGATGTGTTAACTGAGAAAGTTTTGAGTGAAGAAACTAAATAAAATATTAGATCACAATTAGATAATTAATTTGATAATTTTCAATATGAATTGGTAAGTTGCAAAATAAGAGCAGCAGGAAAAGATTTGAAACACATTCAAAAGATAGAACCTATGAATGCAGCAAAAGGAATATTTGGAATGCATTTGCTTAAACAGGATTCTACTCAAGTGATACTTACAGAAGGGGAATTTGATGCTATGGCAGCATATTAAATGACTAATATTCCTGCTATATCATTACCATATGGTATTAATCATATTCCAGCTTATCTTATTGAATGGTATTTATGATGATTATGAAATAAGGTTGGATTAATTTGAAAAATTAAATGATATTATTATATGGGTAGATGATGATAATCCTGGGAGAATTAATTCTTAAAAGATTGCTCGTAAACTTGGTAATGCAAGAACAAGAGTAGTCTAACCATCTTTACTTAATCCTCATGATTATCCTAAGGATGCAAATGATTGTTTAAGATTTTATTCAGATAAAGTAATGACTTATATAGATCAATCAAAATGTTTATTAAAAAAGAATATCACTTAATTTACTGATTTTAAATAATTAACAAAGAATAGAATTCTAAACTTTGAATTATCTAAGGGAACTTAATCTTAAACATTCACAACCTATAATAATACAACAAAAGGATTGAGAACTGGAGGTAAGTTTATTAATTATGAAATTAGAATTCACTATTTTAACAGGACCAACTGGTAGTGGTAAGACAACATTTTTGAGTTAATTATCTTTAGATTTCTGTAAAGAAGGAATAACAACACTTTGGGGAAGTTTTGAAATTAAGACTGATAGATTGGCAGAACATTAATTATTATAAGCATATAAGACAGATTTAATTAAATAAAAAGATTTAGTTGATATAGCAATTCAAAAATTTGAGAATGAAATACCAATAGTAACAAATTCTATTTATTAATTAGTATTATATGAATTTTTATGGGTCAACTGATTTAGATCAAATTATTGATACAATTGAATATGCAATATACGAATATAATGTGACTCATGTTTGTTTAGATAATTTATAATTTATGATGGGAACTTAAGTGGGAGGAAATAGAAAATTTGATTTTCAAGATGAAATAATTGAAAAATTTAGAAGATTAACTAGTAATAATGATATCCATTTAACTTTGGTTATTCATCCTAGAAAAGTTGATGAAAATGAAGATTTAACTATTGCATCCATATTTGGTTCAGCAAAAGCAACTCAAGAAGCTGACAATGTTTTTATTATTTAAAATAGACCTAGATATAGAGTATTTGAAATTAAGAAAAATAGATATGATGGAGAAGTAGGTAGAGTTGGATTAGGTTTTGATGCTAATGTAAAATCATTCTTTGAACTTACATCAACAGAAGTCAAAGAATTGAATGATGAAAAAACTACTATTTTAGATATTATTAATAAAAGAAAATAAGAGGGTAGACATTTTAAATAAGAGATTACTATTAATGATAAAAATGGAAATAATGATGGAGGAAATAATGAAGGTGGATCTTCAAATAAAGGTGGAAATAATAATAATTATAATACAAATAATACAAGAATTAATAAAAAGGATAATTCAAATATTTAAAAAATACTAGAAAATATATAAAGTGCAGATCACAATATTTTTAAAGATTAAAATGATGATGAAGAAGATCAAATGGCTTAACTTGAAAAAATGGCTGAACAATATGCAAATCAATAAATTACAGAAATTCTTATAAATAAAAAACCTGTGAAATTGGCTTTAGATGATATTGAAAAAATTCATAATTTGGATAATAATGAAACACATTTTGCAATTAAGGAAAAACAACAACACAATTAAAATAGTGATACTAATACAAATGGTTACTTAAACTAAAGTAAAATTATAAGGGAATGTTAAAAATCTATTGAACCTTCTAATGACTATCTAGAAATATGGAAATTTGATTAAGATAGCGATTATGGATTAAAACCAAAAATTGGATAATATGAACCTAAATAGGACTAAACACCATAAGATAATAATTATACCCATACTAACTCTAATGAATTTAAATTATTTAATTCTGATCCATTAAACAAATTTGCTGCCCAAAAGATTAATAAAGAATTAGATTAAATTTCATAAAATGATGAATTTTAATCTATTGATGATCAAATAGAACTTGCTAATTAATATACAAATCAAAAGAATAAATCTAAAAGGTCTTCTTTTATTCATATTGGATCCAAAAAGCCTTCTAAATCTTAATTAGATTTATGAAGATCATTTAATAATATAAATAATTAAACTTTTACATATTAAATAAATATTAAATTTAATGTCAAAGAAAACTTTTAAGAAATCTGAAGGTACATCTCTTGTATCAATTATTGGTGATGAAGTATTAAAAAATCATTTAAAATTAAGGACACTGTTACAGGATTTTTATTAACAGGCATCGGAGAAAAGAATATTAAAGGAGAAACTAATTTTTTGGTTGTAGATTCAAGTATGTAAATTCATTATTTCTCGAAACCGACCCAAAATTGATTGAGACTACTTTTTAGAATTTCTTGAAACATCCTAATATAGCAGTCATCCTTGTTACATAATACGTTGCTGAAAATTATCTAAGACATATTATTAATCAATATGATTCCATCTTGCCTACTATTCTTGAAATCCCCAGTAAAGAATATCCATATGAAGCAAAGAAGGTATTAAATTATATTACAATATAAGGATACAATTATTCAAAGAGCTCATAGATTATTGTATGGTACAGATATATAATGAAATATAATAAGTAATATAATATAAAAAGCATAATAAATTTATGTTTCCAATAAATTTTAATAAATAATAATTAATTCTTTTGAATTAAACATTCTCCAATTTCAAATTGTTCTTTAGATGAAAATTTATAGTATATTACCATTCTATATTATTAAAATAATAAAATTTTCTTCTTTATATAATACTTAATAGGAGATAAAATATGATAATTTTGATCCAAATTATATAAAAATAATATTATATTTATGCTAATTTTTTGAATACAAAAAAAGTTGAACTCTAGAACTTTTTTAACATTTTTTAAATTATATGTATAACCCTTTAATTACTGATGAAATTTCTATTTTTGGTATTCTTAAATTTAATTGAGTATATAATTTTAAGTTTAAATGGAATACCAATTTTCTTGTATTTAAAATAATTTTTAAGAAATTCTTATTTTGATGAATAACATATATATTACTTAAGTTAAAACTAGCGCTGGGGATAATGCTATTATAAATTCAACAGAAAGGAATGAGAAACATAGATAAGCTTATACGAAAGTTCTATAGTTGAAGAGCTTTAATTTAATTCAATCTGAGACAAGAGTAGATACTCCAGCAAAAGAAATAGATGAAGCTGAACTTCCATTAAGAGAACATTTTTATAGGGATTCTTTAAGACGTTCAGCAACATTCTTGAAGGTGGCATCTGAGGAAATGGGTAGATACTAAACAGAATGGCATTGGAAATTCTTCTTTGAATTCTTATTTTATCATATTGTAATATCATATATTTATATTGTAGATGTTTTATAATCTTTTTGGACCCTTCATGGTGATATTTTTTTGGAAATGGCCAGGTATGCCTCTGATGATAAATATGAGATTTTTAAAACATCATGCATAATTTTACTTTTAACTACTTTTATGGTTAGGATCTTTGGCAGGAGGCTATTGGTATTTATTCGATGATAAAAATATAATTACTTTAACTGAAGTAGTGTTTACTTAATTTGCCTTATTAATTAGAGCAGTTGTTATTGCTGCTAAATATGCTACTCTAAGTGAAGAAAGAATTAAATTATACAAATAGGAAGTTTTAAGTGAAGAAATGTTTACCTTTGATTTAATGATGTGGGATTGGAGACAATAAACTCCTAAAGTTTTATTTCTAGAACAATTGAGATTCTTAAAAAGAAGAGAATTAGATCCTGATTTCTATAAAATCGATTTCTTATGTTAACCTCATAATAAGACAGTAAAATAATTAATATAAGTTGATGTTGGATTTTATAGAGAATGGTTGGAATAGTAAGATGAATCTTAGATAGCACCAATTATAGACAATACCTTCAATTGTTTCTTTATTTTTGGGTATTTAGTCAATTCCTTTTAAAAAACACACACTCCTGGGGGATTTTCTAAATATGTAGTAGTTTAATCTTTAATATTATCATTAACACCATGTTTATTAAGAGTATAATACTTTTATGAGATCGATGTTGGAGCTATTGATATTTTAAGAATAATAATAAATGTTTTAACAACCTTCTAAGCATTCTTTGGATCTTTTGTATTTTTGTAGATCGGCCTATATGATTTATAAAGAAAGTTTTATATTTTAGATTAATGTTGTTATATGCTGAGTATTAAGGAATAAAATTATTCTTCAGGCAAAAAGTTACTACCATCAATCAATTTTAATAATCCTATTACTCTATAAGCTTGGTCAATGTTAAGAGGGATGGCTTTCGATTATGGAAGAACTTATGATTTCAGAATTCAAGGATTTTATTCATTGATTTTTATTGGATGGATATTTTTATTTTTGTTTGGAATAGGAGTATTATTAGATTTCATTCATATAGATTTTTTCTAAACTACATTATTATCAGAAATGTTGGTGATTTTAACTGGATTTATTGGTTATTATTTGTGGCATGGTGCTTAATTAAATGAATATTATGAAACATTTGATATTTTATTGGAAGATGTAAGGAATATGTATGTTGATATTCTTAGAAAAAAGGAACAATATTTTATTTTAAATTTGGATATAACAAATGCAATACATAAAAAATTTGTATTTTTATTAAAGAGTCAGACTAAATCACTAGAAACTATTACTTAATACATTAATCTTATAATAGAAGAGATTGATGATGCTATAAGACAATTGAATTATGATGAAAAACATAACCCTTTTAAAATTTATGGCATTCGAATAACCTTAAACTTTTTATAAAGTGTGGTTGTTGCTGTGTTTACTGTAGTAGGATTTGCTGTGTAATAAAGAATGCAAAATGTAGACGTAGCTTGTCTTTCAAAATGACATTATAATTTACTCCTTAATTTTGATCATTATTTATAATATTTTATAACATGTAAAGTCGTACAAGTTAATCAGCCAAGTAAATTGAAGCTGACACTCCAGTTTAAAATACATCAGATGATGGAAAACTACTTAAATCTGTTAGAAAAGTCTAATAAATAAGATAATTACTTACAGTTAATACACCTGCTAAATCCTTGCCTAGCTACTAATTAGATGCTGCTCCTTTAAAAGAGTACAATCCATAAAAACAATTATCAAAATAAATTACATTTGACGAGGTCAATGATGAGGAACTACAAAGATACAAAGCTGAATGGCATTGGGATGTATTCTTTGAATTTCTATTTTATCATATGCTTTTTTTTATATTATTAGGACCTTTGATTGTTTTAGTCTTATTTAAATATCCTGGAGTAATTTTATTAAAAAACATGAGATTTTGTAAACACTCTTCAGCATTTTATATGTAAACTCTTTTATGGATGGGATCAGCATTAGGTGGCTTAATGTATTTTATTCAAGACCAAAGTGTTATAACATTGACAGAAATTATTTTTATGTGGTTTGCTATTTCAACTCGTTCAGTTGTTATTGCAGCTAAATATGCTACATTAAGTACTGCTAGAATAAAATTATATAAATCTGAGGAACTCCCTGATGAAATGTTTAATTTTGATTTAATGTTTTAAGATTGGTTCGAATAATCATCTAAAGTGTTATTTTTAGAGTAATATAGAGCTTTAAGAAGACATGAATAAGAATACTCTTTATATAAATTTGATTTTTTATTGGATCCAAATAAAAAAACAGCTGATGCTATTAAAACTACAAATATATGTTTTTATGTTGAATGGGCTATGAAGTAGTAGATGAAATAAACTGACCCTATTATTGAATAAGTATATTATAATGGATTTCATGTTTTTGGTTACTTAGTCAATTACTTTTAAAAGACAAATCCTACTTCTTCATTTTTTAAATATATGTTTGCATTGGCTTTATTTTATGGTATCTCTCCCACTTTTATCAGGTTATAGCATTTTATGGAAAATATACCAGATTGGCTCGATATAATAAGATTAATAATTAACTTTTTAACTTCAATGCAGGCATTTTTTGGTTCTGTTATTTTCTTAGCCATAGGAATCTATGATTTTAGAAGAAAGTTCTTTTTACTTGACCAATGTCTCTATATGCTATCGGCAAAAAAGGTAACATATCCAACAGCCAAAAAACTTATACCTACTATAAATTTTAATAATCCTTAAACTTTACAAGCATGGTCTATTATTAGATCTTTATGTTTTGATTATGGATAAACTTATAATCTAAGAGTTCAGGGCTTTTATTCATTAATATTTATAGCCAATATAGTTTTTATATTTATCTCTTTAGGCTTGATCTTAGATTTAATACATATTGATATGTTTTAATTAATATTGCTTGGTGAAATGGCTATGATCTTAATTGGATTTACTTTATATTATCTTTATTTAGGAGCATCATTAAATGAATATTTTGATAGCTTTGAAACATTATTAGATGATGTCAAATCAATTTATTGTGATATTTTAAGGATGAGAGAATAATACTTTCAAAATAATATTTAACCAATTAATGATGTTCATAAAATATTTGTAAATATCATAAAAGATTAAGTTGGATTTGATGTTGATACTGTAAAGGAATATATTGAATTGATTGTTGAAGAATTAGAAAATAATTAAAGATAACTTACATATGATAAAAGAAATAATCCATTTAAATTATATGGTGTTGTAATTACTTTTAATTTGTTAAAAAGTGCTGGTGTTGGACTATCAACTGTATTTAGTTATGCTATTTAATAAAGACTATCAACAAAAGAAAAATGATTAAGATTATAGTTTATCATTATATTCTAACAATGATATACATATATCTCAATTTATTTATATAACAATATTATTATTAAATAATAAATTCAACCTATGTAATCATCTCTTTCATTATTATATTATTATATAGTTTATTTGATTTTTGATGTATCAGACCATGTTATATGATCTTCTTAAGATCTAGTCACTAAAGTAGCAGGATCTGTGATTATTCTAGTTCCAATCCTAATATGACCTTATTCGATGTAAGTACATGCTTCTTTTGGTGTCTAAGCAAATTTTAGTTTGCATAAAACTATAGGTAGTCTTCTTCTGCAAAAAGCTGAGACTGCTAATTTCTCACAATTTAATATGTTATCCTTTGTTGTTATTATGCCCATATTGTATAATTTCTCCAATAATTACTCAGTTAGTTTTACCCTAAATGGATCTTAAGATGACAATAATTTAATTTTAGAAATCATGGAAGTAATATGACCACACATCCTGTTATATTTATCATAATCTTCTCTATTAGACAAATTATATCTTTTGATTATTTCAGCTTCTCTATGATCCTTTTCTTTCTTCCAATTATACAAATCTACTCTCTTTAATAGCTTTTTCTCATGGAATTTAAGCTTTCTCATAAATTAAATTTTAATATTTTATGAATAATATATAACAATTTTTTGAAGATATTGATACTATGGAATCTAAAAAATCATTCGAGGCATTTACGAGATGCAAAGGGACTATAATTTTTGGAGCAAAGGTTGAATTAATATATTTAGAATATTTAGAAAGATTTTTTTAATATTATAGGAACTCTAACTTTAATAATAGCTCTTATTGTTTTGTACTTAATTTTTATATTTCCTGCAGCACTAGACTATTAATATGATGCTCTTGCAATTATAATTGTTATATGCTGTATTCTTCCAATTATAACCCTGTTGAATGTTACAATGACAGGTTTTATTTAATAAATCATTATATTATTAGAACCTGGTGTATTGCTTAGAGGAGATTTACCAGATCCAAAATTATAATAATAATAAACACAACCAGAATAAATATCTCAATAAATATATAATAGTTCTGAATAATAAATTAAGAGAAATGAACCACATTAAATTGTATAAATAACAGAATAATAAAATCAATCTGAATAGAATCCTGAATTACCTAATATTTACACATCCAGATATTGTTCAACTTGTAAAATTATGAGACCCTCAAAGGCTTCCCATTGTAAATTATATAAAATAATTAGGCAAACATTGCAACCATTGTGTTGATGGTTTTGATCATCATTGCTTTTGGGTTGGTACTTGTATAGGAATTAGAAATTGGAGAGCCTTTTTATTATTTTTACAATCATCCTTAATCGTTGTTATACTTACCTTATGCTAATGTTTTATAAATTGTAAATATTATATTTATAATAAAAAGTATCTTAATAATATTTAGATATTTATGAACTTTGGATATTAATGTTTAAATATGCTAGCATTCCTCTTATAGTAATTTATGGTTTATATTTTCTTTGCGGTTGTTGGAATCATTAAACTTATTTGAATGTTATAATTTTAATAATTATGTTCATTCTTCCAATAATCTATTCAGCTATACTGATGAACATTGAATATACTTATAAAGATTATAGATATTATGAAAATCCATTTATAACTATTTTAGTTACAGTTATAGTGCTAGTATGCTTTTTATTCCTTATCCCTGTAAATGGTCTCAATTGCTATTATATTTCAATAGTAGAATTATAAAAATATATTATTGTAGGGAAAAACAGCTAAATAAACAAAATCAGAAGATTAGTTTTATATTAGGAAAAAGGCATTTGTTAAACAAACATATACATTTTCTGGAGTATTTCGAAATTTATTGTATTTTTATACATATCCAATACCATAAAGCCGTAATTAATGATCATTATTTAATTATAAATTTCAATATTAATTTAAAATTCTAAAGTAAAAGTAGAATCATTTTAATTTGATGTTATTATTCTTTGGATTAAAATGATACCCTGCAAATTCTTATTTATATTAATATTTTTTACATGATTGGTTTGAATTTAAAATATCAATATTTAATAATTTTTATTTACTTTCTTTACACTTTTGACAATTACTGTATCCAATAGATTTTTTAGGAACATAAGGAGGATTCATTTGTTTAGATATGAGCTTGTTCCAATCAAAATTTTTAAACCATGGATGTTTCATTACCTCTTGAGGATCATTTGTTCCTAATCTATCTTCAGCTTTTATTTTAATTAACTAGGCTTATGAAGACAATATTACTCTATTTACAAAGTCACCTGCTTCTATGGACCATTCTATAGGTAATTCTGATCTCTTTAATTAAATTTATTAAGATAGTAACAAATCTTTCATTTATTTTAAATCATTTGCTTCATATGGTCTTTTTCCTAACATGCACTCATAAGCAATAATTCCTAAAGCGAAATAATCAACCCCTATTCCATGTTGTTTTTTAAGAATCATCTCTGGAGCAATGTAACCTACACTTCCACAAACATAGTCTAATGAATTTGGTCTCCATATTCCAGCCATACCAAAATCAGTCAATCGGATATATCCTTATTTGTCAAAAACAAGGTTTTCAGGTTTTAAATCTCTATGAATTATCCCTTATTAGTGAAGATAATCTAAAGAAATGAAAATACAAGCAATAAAAAATTCTATATAGAATAATTGTTATACTTGTCTAACTTTCTGAAAATTACTTTTTCTTATTAAGATGATATCTAAGGTCACCTCCTGACATTAAATCAATACATAAGTATAGATTATAATTGTCTTAAAATGCTGCATTCAAATTCACTATGAATGGATTTTTTATCTGAGATAGTATATTTTTTTCATTTATAACATGAGATACTGTTCCCTACTTTAAGATCCTAATATAAAAAGCTCAATTTACAATAGTTTTGAGATTACTTTTATTGCAACCAATTATTTATTTGTTCTATTTAAAGCCTTCCACACTTTTCCAGAAGAACCAGATCCTAAAATTTTTTAGAGATCAAAATCTTTAATCGATATATCTTAAATTAAGTAATAAATGTTACTTGGCTCTATAACTTCACATGACTTTGAAAAAGAACAATTTCCCATTTAAATATATATTACTAAAATTAATATAGTAGATATCGAAAAAAATGTAAGAACTTTTATAGTATATATCTAGAATTAAAATAGTTCTTATCTAATTATCCTCATATTAAGTCAAATGAATAAAAAATGATAATGGGGCACTCAATTCTTATGATTTAGGGTGATATAGATTGAAAATAATTCTATAGAATAAAATTAAAAATTAAAATTTATATTCTCATTAAATGAATTATTGCACCCGTTCCAATTCTATAAATATTGTATTTAGAATTTATAATATTAATTAAAATTTTAAATAACGAATATATATTAATATTAAAATATTATTCATCAGATACTAAAATGAAATAATACCAAGTTTTAAATAACTAATTACTGAAAAAGTTATTTACAAAATAAATTATATTTCAAATATATTGTATTATAATCATTCGAGTTTATGAATTCAGTATCCGTAATTTCATCTAAAGATTATTGATGACTCTTTATTAATTATCTCAATTATATGCTGCTTAAATTCAACCATTTACAAATGTAATTTTTATAGATTAAATAAATTTCAGTATTGAACTTACAAAATGTCTATTATTTTTATATTTTAATAAAATTAATCTTTTATATAATTTATATTTATAATAAATTATAAATACTTATTCATAATAAATTATAAATAATTATTAATAATAAATTATAAATACTATTTTACAGGATAATGGAAAATCATTCAAATAACCTTATTAGGATTATAATGTTTACTTTTAGTATTATTGTTCTTACTATTAAAAATAGTAAAATAAAAAGCAAACATAAATTTTTTTTAGATAAAAAATTCATAAATTCAAGGTGTTCTTCAGATCTCAGCATAATCTAAGATTGAAAAATAATATTTTCTTATTGATAATTTTAAATTGCATAATTTCAATATGGTTTTATATTTATAAAAATCGAATATTATTATGATTCAACTTTTTCAATGTTAATATTAAATAATTAATTTAAGACTTTATAATAAAAGAAATACTTATTATCTGAAATGTCAATTTTAAACTATGTTCAAACAGCTTTATTATCATAAATTTTACTTGATCATAAAACAAGTATAGGGATTCTTTTCAGATAATTTCAATTCTTTAATTAAACTTCTTATCATTTCGTCATTGAATTTATTCAATATTAATTTGATTCATCAAATAAGTATCTTAACCAAAAAATAGTAATTTTAAAATAAAATCATTAGGTTTTATAAAATATAATAAATTAATATAGTTGATTATCCATATATAAATTAATTCAATATTATTTACTTGATTATTATTTATGTTTTTTAATTAATTCTTTGACACTTTCTTATTTTTTTTTCTTAATTGTTTCTAATCTAGCATTCCTAGATTCACTTCTACTTTGACTTGATTTACTCTTATTTCTTTTATTTTCCTTATTTTTCACATTTTCTTTAAAATCTCTAATAGGTCTTACATCACTTTCTGTATGCTAAGATTCTTTTGTAACAGAGGATCTTAATTAAGATTATTTTTCTTTTAATTTAGTTGAATTCAAGTCACGCTCTATTTATTTAATATAAATTTTAGTTTATTCTTAATCTTATATTACACTATCTAAAACAATTTTTAGATCATTTAATTAATTTTGATATACTTAACTGTTATTTAAAATTCTTTCAGAATCATTACTCTTTTAATATGATTCTTATTTAAAATTCAATTCTAATTTTTATAATTTCTATTCAATTTTTTAATAATCTGTTTTTAAAGCACTTTATCTAACCTCATCCATAATTACATCAATTTTTTTATTAATAATAGTTTCAAACTCTTAAATTTAAGGTTATTCTTTGGAAAGAGATTTCTAGATTAATGAAACCTATTATTCAATATTTAAATATTATTCCTTTAACTAATTAAGTTATTCATTATATAATTATTCCATTGATATATTAATATGATTTCTAATATTTTTATTTTCTTGTTCTTATGTTGTAGCAAAGTGTTAGAGTAACATAATTAATTTAATGAAATTTTCAAATTTCTCCTCATGTTCTTAAATAGTTTCTTCAACAAATCTTATTCTATCTTCATATTTTTTGTTTAATTACTGTTAAATCTAATCATAAACGATTTTATACTTTTTCTATTTATTACTCCAAACATAGAATATTACTTTCTTTTGATGAATTTTATTTAATTCTGTCTTCACTTGTAGTACGTAAAATGGGAGAAGTGTTTCTTTTATGTTTTTCTGAATAACTCATTAGTTTGATTAAATAATTTGCTGTTAAAAAATATATAATTAATTTTTCTCATATTTTTAATCAATCTTAATTTCACTTTTTTTGATAAATATTTAAATCTAAATAGAAATAATCATGCATAAATTATTAAAGGAAGTTGTAAAAGTTTACACCTAATTCTAAAAATTAGGTCCAACTTATTTAGATACCTTTGATAATAGAGCTATTACTGAAGCTACATTTGAAGCTGTTAAAACGAAATAATTACAGGAATATATCAAAAAAGAATTTAAACCTATTGGAGATATATCTATGTTACCTATACATCTTGAACCAGAACATCGTTTTACTATAGCTATGTTTGCATTAAGACCAGGAGTTAGAATGCCTTTACATGATCATCCCAACATGTTCGTTTTGAGTCATGTTATGAATGGAAAAGGTGAAAGAGAATCATGGGATATTGATCCTATTGATCATCATTAACAAATTGAATTTAGAAAAAACAAGGGAGATTCTAGAATTTTAAAGGCTATTCAATATCCAAAATTATAATTAAAAGAAGGTGATAATTGTTACACAACTCCAAATAAATGCAATTTACATAAGTTTTCTAATGTATTTTATTATTTAATACTTATTAGATTCATGAATCTGAATTATTTATGTTCCTTGATGTTATCTTACCTCATTATAATGGAGTTGATAGAGTTATTAACTTCTATGAACCATTTAGTGAAAACTAATTGGAATTAATGGGAAATCCTAAAACCTATTAGAGACATCCCATTGATGTTGATGATATCAGAGAATTTATTGTTTAATGAAATTTAGACATAATACAAATGATTTATCATTACGTAATAAATTATCTAGAAATTAAATATATATATATATATATATTTATTATATAATTGATTTATAAATATTAATTTATGCTTTAACCACTAAAAGAAGAAGAATTAAATGAAATATATACATGGGTTGATTAAATACCTCTTAGTAGACCAAAAAAGAATATAGCCAGAGATTTCGCTGATGGCATATTAATGGCTGAAATAATGCATTACTTTCTACCTAAATTGGTTGATGTATTAATGATTTGAATTTGATCAGATGCATAATTACAGTCAAGCCAATTCAGTTAAGTAGAAAAAGTATAATTGGGATACATTAAACACAAAAGTATTCAAAAGAATTGGTTTTACTCTCTCTAAGTAATAATTTCAATATTCTTTTTAAGAGAATAAATTGATAGTGTGATTTCATGTTAATCTGAAGCAATTGAGAGAGTATTGAAATTTGTTTAATCTAAATTGGAATACTATTTAGAAAATGATACAAATTCTGCTGAAAAACAACTTTAATAAACAGATAATCAAATTCCACCACCATTATTAAATAATGAATAATAAAAAGACTAACAAATTTATGAATTACGTGAAACAATTGAGGTTACATACTCATTATTATTAACAATTTTAGGTATTAGAATAAAAATTACATCGAATGGACGAATTAATGAAATAAAAAGATGCTAAAATATTGAGGTATTAATAATTGTTATAATAAAATGGTTTATTATGAAACAACCCATAAAATTAATATCATTAATATTTATATCATAATATAAGTATTTTACTTAATTATTTAATATGATGAGACGTACAATGGATCAACCATCTGAAACAGCATTGATGTCAGTTTCAACGTCGCTATCTGATTAAATATAATTATTATTATTTTTATAAAATCTCCTTTCATTTTAATTCACCTTATTGAAGTTTAAGATATTAATTATATCCATATATCTAAAATATAAGTATGTATATAAAATATTAATATATCCATCAATTTAATGGTTTAGCAATTCATTCATTAATTCAAATTATGCTTTCTTTTATAAAATATTCTTATTAATATTCTAGTAAAATAATATTTTATTTGTTTTGATAAAATTTTTGAACTTAAACTAAATAATGTAATTAAAAAAACCATTTATTTATCAAAATTTGTTCAAAATTATATTACATAAGATGATTAATCAAATAAGTAATTAATTTGATCAAATCATATTAAAAATTAATAATTGATAAAGTGAAAACGAAATTCTAAATTATAATAAATGAAAGAATATAATCTAATTATGATAATTATTAAAGAGATTTAACAAATTAAATTGTTATTGAAGGATAATATTATGAAAAATAATTTAATTTAATATATTATTATTTTTATAATAAGAAATAACTAAGAGATTATATGTATCAACCTCAATTTTAGGTTTAATAATCATAGTTTGAAAGTCCACCAGTTCTATATTCATAATCTTAACCAATGATGATTTCTAATTAGAACAATATGTCATATTAGATGGTAAATTTAGGAGCAGGAGCAATTATGCAAAGATTAAAATAAAGATAAGAAGAAGAAATGTTAGTAGATCTTTTAGCAAAACAAAATGAGTTAATAGCATCATTGACTGAAGATTTTAATTGGAGATTGGATAAAAGAAAATAACAAATGGAAGAGGAACTAGAAGAATTAGAAAAAAAAACAGTAATTGCAAGATAAAAAAAAGCTGAATAAGATTATTTATATAAGCTTAATCGATAATTAAACTTTGGATTATAAAGAATAAAAGAGTAAGAAATAAAGAAATTGGTATTTCCAAAAGCAATTTAATTAGGAATGAAAGTTCCAAGTATTTAAAATCATGAAGCACTTGAATAAGTCTATCCAAACTTAAGATTATAAAAGAAAGAATAACTAGGTATTAATTAAATTAAAGTCTAGATGAGGAAGTTTAGGCTAATGTTGATCTTGAGTTTAGTAATCCTTATAGATAATTTATTAATCCAAATTTTCCTTAATATGCAACACCTATGATGCCATTTTCTCCCCCTTAACCACCTCAATAATATCAACCTTAATTTAATCAGCAACAAAGTTATTAAGATTTTGGTACCTCTCCTTAAATGAAAAGAAGTAGCTAAATTTCTAAAAAGATAAGTTAGGGTTCATAAAGATCTAGTTAAAAGTCATTTGGTTCACAAGTATCAAAAAAATCTCAATAGAATTGATAAAATTAACATATTGTACTTGAATAAAATTATCTATAGCTTTATGATAATATTTAAGATTACAATTAAAGGATCTTATATATATTTATAGTAGATTATGAAAAAGATTATAAAAATTTACAATACTTATTTGATATAAATCATTTTGGTTATTCTTAATCTGGTAATTCTTATTACTATTACTATTAATGCTATTCTTAGTTTATTTATTATTACTATTCTAGTTTTTATTCTTATTTTGATGATTATAATTGATTTTAGGAATGTTAGATAACTTTTTCCAAAAATTAATTTTCAATTTAATACAATTTAGTTTCTGATTGTTATATTGTCTTCAAAAATTTATGATAATGATTAACTCTAGCTTTTCTATATTTTTCAATTTCTTTAGTTGCAATAATAGCTGTGATTATATTATATAAATTAGATAGCCTATCTATTTCTTATTATCCCTAATTATTATTTATAATTTACTTCTGAAATTCTTTATTCAACTTTTATTTATGAAGCATCTTTTGATTTATTGAATGCAGAATTAGTGATAGTTGTTAAAGTTTATTGTTTAGCTGTCATTTTAGCTAATTCTGCTTAATCTTCTCTCATTTTTTATTCTTGTTTTGCTCTGATTATTATGATTTGATCTCTATAATTTAAGGTTTACTACATAGATTCAGCATCTTTCAATTCATAACGAAACATATCTGTTAAATAATTAATGCTATTGATTTTTTTATTACTTTCTTTCTAATAAAATTATAATTTACAAATTTACAATATCTTCTAATAATTTTTTATAATCCTCTTAATTTTAAGGGTTAGAGAGTACTAATTATTATTCTTTTCCATAAACATATTCATTAAGGATAATCTTTTCATAAAATGGCAAAGATGCATTAAACAAATTCACTATTTAAAGTTACTTCAATACTTTTTTCATCTTATAGTATTCTTCTTTATTGTGCAACTAAATTAGCTTACTCAATATATGTTTTTAGTATTGCCAAAGATTTTCTCAATTAACCTGAAAAAGTAGTAATGGCCAACATATATTCACTGTTAGATTAATCTCTTACATCAAGCTTAGGAAAGGCTATCTTTAATCGATCTATAATTTCACTTGTTGTAATTGTCTTCTATTGTTAATAAACCTTATTATAATCAAATTCATATTTACTTTTGCAATATCTGGAGAATTGGATCTTAAGAACTACTATTAAAAATCTTCTGAATAATAGATGTATGGTAATTATGTTATGGCAATCAAAAAGACTTCCATAAGTCTTTTTCTGATTTAGACAGTTTCATTGTCATTGCCACTTGCTAATGCTTTTTCAGGGATTGGTGGTATATAGCAGCCTGGCCATTTCTTCACTAATAATTCTCTTAGTTCATAGAAGTCATTATATCTTCTGTAGATTTCAAATGACCCTTGATTATCTGAGCCCTTAATCAAATATACTGTGAATTTTTAACCAAATCCTACATCTTTTACAATAGCATCTTCAATCTATATAGAGATTTAGAAATCAGGATATTCAATTTCTTTAATCGCTTCTTGTTAGATGTCTGTTTGAGGTGAGATTTACTATTATATTTCTTTTTAGTTTATAATCTATTCTTGAGTATTTGGCTCAGATTATTGATCCATATAGAAAATTAATGTATTATTTTAATCAGATTGATGAACGTAATTGATGATGATATCATAGATATATATATATTTATAGTTTATATTATGAATGTGATAATTATTCATAGAAAATTCTAAGGCCTTTGGAAATTTTGAATATGTATAAAATAGAAATACATTTTAATAATAATTTAAATTATAATAATGGAAAAGAAAGTAGTATTTATTAGGCATGCAGAATCAGAATATAATTTAGCCTAAAGAATAGCAAAGAACTCAGAAACTGAAGTAAAATTAGAAGATGAAGATTAAGATGTGAAATACTCATCTAAATATTGTGATGCTCCATTAACTAAATTTGGAAGAGAATAAGTACTTACCAACATAGATTATTAAACTTACTTAGTGTGATCCAACTAAATTCGAAGACCTTAGAATTGAGACTGTGGTTGTTAGTCCACTAAAAAGGGCAGTGGAAACAGCTGTCTTACTCTTTTAAAATCATCCTAATAAACCAAAGTTTATTGTAGAACCATACCTAAGAGAAATGTTTTTATCAGGATGTGATTTTGGAATTAGACTACAAGAAACTATTAATGAATACCCATTTATTAATTATGATAGATTATTATAAAATCCTATAATAAAATAGCATCCAAACATGTGGTCTCTAGAATTTTTATATAATTAAAAGAGTGCAAACATATTAAAATAATATATTCAAGATACTGAATATGGAAGTTAAGCTTGTATTGAGAAGGTTTTAGAATACATGAAAAAGCATCCAATTTAAGTAGAAACATTCGAAGAAAACGTTTAAAGGGTAGAGGATTGCAAGAAATACCTATAATTTGAAGAACCTTTTGTTTGTGTTTCTCATTCAAGAACAATTCATACATTGACAGGCAAATTTATTCATAATTGTACTGGAATTGAAGTAAATATATGAATAGTATCAATAAGTTTATTAAAAATTAATATGTCTCACCCAGTATTTATAATTAAATATAAACTATTAATTTATTTTTTAATTAACATGGATTAGGTTGATATTGATTCAAATAAGTTTGATTGTTAGAAATATGTTGGTGAATTCTTAAAAAATCATAGTGTTTAAGATTTAATACAAAGACATAATTAATTGTAATAAGAGATTAAAGAATATGATTAAGATATATAATCATTAGTTTTTGAAAATTATAGGTACTAGCTAAAATTAGTTGTAGCAAATTCATATCTTCAATAGACACAGTTAAAAAAATGAAAACTGATATTACTTAAATTGATAAAAAAGTTGAGACTTTAGCATAATCCATGAGTAGAATAGCTTAATTATCTAGAAGAATAGATTCTTAATTATCAATTAAAAGAGAAGAGATAATCAAACTAGATACAGTAAATAAAGATTTGAGTCGTCTTAATTCAGTTTGCAATTTTCCACATGTGATATAAAAAGAATTAGATCAATATAAAATTAGTAAAGGAAAGAATTACGATGAATATTTTAATGAGACAGCTTAATATTATAAATAATGTTATTCAACTTTAGATTAATATAAAAATGAACCACTAATTTAACCAATTTATAAAGAGACTAATTAAAAATTAGATAACACAAGATAAATACTTTGGAGTTCTTTAATTGAATTCAAATAATAAAATCCACTTTTATAATTGTATTCTGAATCAAAAGTGTCAATTTCAACTTAAGAAGCTAGATCAGCAGTTAAAAAGTTGATACAAATTATGGATGATGAAGAAGCTGTATTAAGACATTATTAAAAGATAATCAAAGAAAGATATTTAACTGTAGCAAAGGAATTAATAGATAAAGCAGCAATCACTAAATCTTCAGAAGTTGTGAATTTGATGGATTATTTAGAAGATAAAAGATATGATTATACAGTTGAAGAATTAGAGGAATATAAATAAATGAAAGAAAAAGAAATAGTTAATTCTGATTCAGCAATTTAAGGATCAATTTTATGGTTAATTAATTAATTATGTTAAATAATATTTAAAGAATTAAAAGTTGAAGTTTCTTTTTTGTTAATAGAAATTAGAGGAACTTTGAGAGATAAAACATTAGAATAATTATCAACTCAATGTATTAAAGAAATTATTCATGGAGTTTTTCAAGGTGTTACTGATAAGATGAGTTAAAAGAAAATTAATAATGTATAAGTTAATGAAGTATTTATTAAATTGTAAACTGAACTACAATCATTATTCGAAAATAATTCAATTAGACAGTAATTAAGAACAGAAATAATAGATAAATTTACAGAAAATGTTGAAAATATTTGTAGAGGATAGGTTTTTACATCATTTAGTCATTTAAGGGTTTAATTTCTAGAGTTACTTGTATTTGCAAAAAATGATTTATAACGTTTGTAATCTAATGATGAAATCAAAAGAGAAATTATGACTCTTATAACTGTAATCAAATAAAAATTGATTGCATTTACAACTATAAGATTATTAGATCTTAAAGCTTTTGTATTTTCTTAATAATAAAGTTATCTAAGAGAATAAGAGACTTATTTAAATTTGATCTAAGCTTCTTTAATTGAATTTGTTAAATTTATAGGTAAAATATTTGCCTTTAGATCTATTTCCATATCTCAAGATTAATTAAACTAATTGTTTAATGATAATTATATTATTTAACAAGTACTACCATTATTAAATACTAACGATTCTACATATTACTATTTATTTTCAAACTAATTCTTATAATTGTACTCTAAGACTTTGAGTAATAAATTATTTGAACTTGTAAGTTAAGTCTTTTAAGGATACAAAAGTATATTATATAATTTAATTTCCAAGTTCGATAGCCAACTGATTAAGAATTAAATAAATTAAAAAGTTACATAAATGGATCCACATAAAAGAATTTAATGTTATTTGCATAAGCATAAAGTGAACATTGGATTAATATCATGTTCTAATATTTAAATGAAGAAAATATTGTTTATTAACAATAGATTACATAAAAAATGTTATTAAATGAAGTCAAAAATTTCATTGAGGCATTGGGTCTTTTATTTCCTGATACTAAAAGAGGACTAGTAAAAAAAGTATCAATTATATAATAAAGCACTTTTAATATTTAAATGGAGATAGTTATGGTTAGAAAGTGTAAAATATTAGAAACAAATATTAATGATAGAAATAGTTTACTCATAACTGTTGTAAAATATGTTTTGAAAGTATTGTTACAAAAAGTAAGAAGAACCTATTTTTCAGAAGACTTGTTTAAATAATTTTAAGTGGACTTATATTTTGTTATGCAATTATTTTATGATATGGTTTCTGTAGATGAAGAAGGATTAATTGCAGGATTTTATATGGAAATCTTAGATTGTGCAGTCAAAAATAGTAAAAATGATTCTAAAATTGATCCAAAAATATTAGAAAACTTGTCATTGTAGGTTAGATTGTGATATTTATTAAAATTATTTAATTTATATGAGTAATCAATAGAAGAATACCATTTAAAAACCATCTTCTCCAAACAAATCATCCATATTTCAAACAGGAGCTTTAAAAAATAGAAATTAATCCCCAATACTTGTATCATAGAAGTAACCAATTAAATCTTAAGAAAAATCTCTAATACTTGATGAATCTATTACCAATAATAATTAATGGAAGTAAACTACTGAAATTCAAATAAAGAATGTAATTAAATCTTCCTATAAAGAGCTTTTAAGCAGAATCCAACTTGAAAGAAACAATTGAATCAATAGTTTAAAATATAACATTAAAATTAAAATAACAAGAAACAGATTTATTTATAAAAGAGTTAAATAGTCCTATATTAACATAAGATCCAAGTGTAGCTTTATATTAGGCACCTATTGAAAAGAGCAATTCAACTTAAGATTTATTCTCTAAAATTGTAGCATAAGAAACTAAAAAAGCTAGAGCTGTTAAATAATTTATTTTCAATTAGTTTTCTTCTAATGATCAATCTTTAAACATATCCATCAATTCTTCATTTAGTACTTAATAACAGTAAAAAACTTAAATAAATAATAATATTAATAAGAATAGATAAAATAATGGTGGAAGCCCTTCAAAATTCTAAAATAAGACATTTTAATAAGAACCCTTGTTAGATCAGAAATCAAATTAGGTTTTGAATTAATAAATCAAATAATTAGAATAAATGATTTAAAGTACAAATTAACAATACTTATAACTATAAGAATAAATAAAGAAATAAAATTCAGATTTATGTATTTAAATTAATACATAAGCATCTAAAATTCTATTATTAGAATCATATTTTAATAAAATTGATTAAGAATAAAATAGAGAAAAATAAATTATACATTAACAATAAATAAAAAATGAAAAATAAGAAATTAATGAAAATACATCTAATTAAGAAGTACAAAAATAATTATAATTGGTTATGAAAAACTTAAATTCACTTGCTGAACATTAATAATAATAAATGATGATTATTAAAACAGCTTTGACTACTGAATTGAAAAAGGAATTTTTATGTTCATCGGATTATAAATTAAATTAATAAGAATTGTAATCATAATTAACTATCTTAAAAGATTCAGTTAAATAAACATAATAATAAAGTTAAGAGACACTTATAAGAAAATAATAAATGATAGAAAATCTAAATTTAGAAATAAAAAATTTGATGAATATAAATAAATTGAAGAATGAAGAAATTGATTAAATTAAATTATAAAATGATGCAATTATAGGCTAGATAAATGAAAATAAAGAGGAAATAATTAAATAAAACTAATTTATATCTGAAATATATAATTTATATTAGAAAATAAATTAGAAGCTGCCAAATGTATGAAAATATATTTTTATTATGAATATCATTATATATATTGAAATATGTATATTATTTCTTAAATATATTTTTTAAAATTATAAAATTTTTAAGTACATTTTAATTTAATAGCTAAAGATTGTATTTAGCTATAAGATGTTAATATAGATTCAATCAAATTGAAGTTAATCATTTATACAATTTTCAATGATTTTTAGTAATTAATCCTTTCTTGTTTCATTTATTGAACCATCTCTTAATGTATGCCAAAGTAATATTGAGGTTCTTTAAGATCTAATTGCAAATAAACTAACCGCTTCTATTTTTGTATTCCAATCTCTGATTTAAACTGTATTTATAATAAACTCTCTATTTCTTGATTAAAGAATTTGTTTTAACAATATAGCTTATTCAGAAAATTCATTTTTGAAATTATAATCATTTATTTAGAATTCATTTATTTATTGATAAACTTATTCAGTTTGTGTCATAACCAAATATCTAAATTTTTCAATGTCTTCCAAAGCCATCCATTTCTTTTTGGCTAATTTTTCTATTTATTGTCTAGTAAGCGAGTAATTGTGTCTCTTGATATTAAATTTAAACTCTTCTAAAAATATTTCAAAAGAATTTATATTCATAATTAATTATTAAAAGTAATAATCACTTCATAAACACATTTAATCCAGAGATTCTTTTTTTCTTTTTTAAAATTGTTTATTCTTTTCTTTTTAGATTTAATTCTAGTAATGGAAGTTCCATAGAGAACATCTTTATTTAATTTTTTATTTTATTGTTGCTCATTATAGGACTTTGTTAAGGTTCTGTATCTAATCTTCTATTTTAACTGCTCTTACGATGATGAATGATTAGTTTTTCTTATTTAATCGAATTTAATTAAGATTAGTCAATAGATGTATAGAAATAGTCATTTATTTATTATTCCTATTGCAAACGTCTTCTTTAAAGAGAATAAGGCTTGTATTTTGAATCAAAAAAATATTAATTTTTTCTATCTGTTACTGCATCTTTATTTTTATTTGAATTCAAAATTTAATAGTATTAATTTCTTGAAGATTGGCTTCTAAAGCTAGGTGTGAGGGATTAAAATTTATTAATGCAAAGGCTTTTATCTTAAAATTGAGATTTATTCATTTTAATTTAAAAATAAGGAAAATAAAGGGAAAAACATAAATAACTCATGGTATCACTTTGTCTTTTTCCATAAACTTGTAGATCTCATTCTGATATGACTAAGTAAATAATTTGTCTTATCAAATTTTCCAGTAGCATGAATTCGAATATTTTCATGTACACTATTTGATTTTTGTAGTATAGTAGATGTATTAGATTGTCTAAAATCCTTTTTCATTAATTCATTTATTTTTTAAAACGAAATAGATTAATGAGTTTTGTTCTTTTCTTTATTTCTTGTCAAAATTCTTTGCATGACTTTAGCTGGTGAATTAATATTCTTTAATGATTCTGATCTATATATTCTAAATTAGTCTTCATTTTAATAAATACTCAATTTATGATGAGAATCTTTTTTGAAATATTTACTAGTATAATCCTAAGGAATATGATCCAAAAATTTATTTTTTAATATTCTATAAAGTTTAACACTTGTTAAGGATTTAGCTGAATGAGATCTAAATTATGTAAGTATTTCATCTTCACCAAAACATTCCTTAGATCCAACAATAGATAAAGGTAATGAATTTTTATTGTATGTCCTATATAATTAGATTTATCCATCAATTATAATATAAATAGAATCTACAGGATCTCCTTATTGATATATAATCTAATTTGGAATAAAATTTAACTCTTAAATTTCAGAGATTAAATTCCTTATTGTTTTTGCACTCCATTTCTAAAAGAGTGGAATTTAACATAAGTTTGCAAATCTTTCTGACTCTTACTTTTTAGTTTCTTATTCTAATTATTATAGTAAATCATAATATACCTATGATTCTTCTATAAGTTTCTCTTTTTAAGACTATGAGATGTGATTTTTCTAAAGGTAACACAGTTTAGGTATGTGATTAATCAAAGATCATAACTTATTCTCCAAAATATTATCCTGGATATAAATAACCTGAAGGAATGAGATTAGCGTATTATGAATCTAGTTTCTTTTAACTTGATATACTAAATTAGGTTACATATCAGTAGGCAATTAAATATTGGATTAGTGATTGCGAGTAAGAATTAAAAATTTGCCAGCAAGTATAAAATAAAGCTTAGTACTCTGATCTCCTATTTATACCTAAGGTTCATAAGGTAAATGACATTCATATTGGAGTTCTTTTAGAATTTTATAATATTAAGTGTCTCCTATTTGTCGATGCATATTTCTGAAAAATGGTTAATCTTATAATTTAGAGTGAATAAACTCAATGTCATATTGAGTTTTAAACATGGATCGTTTGTTAATTGCTAGTATTAACGAATACATATCATTTTCAGAAATATTCATATTAAAATAAAAAATGGATTCTTTAAATGATTCCTGTGTAAGTTCTAAGGATATAAATGATGGAATTCTTTAAAGAGAAGAAAGTAGATATTAAAGAAAAGGTATTAATGATTTCTAAGATTAAGGTTATGGTTTAATTTTTGCTGTACTTTTTACACTCTTTGGATTTACTGTGTTCCCCTAATTAATATAATTTCGAATCTTATCTTTGCTTTAAAACCTTCAGCGTAATTCCTTCATAAATATTATGTAGCTCAATATATATAAATGATAATGTTGATTTCCACTCATCTTTTAGGTTTCTCTTTAGGTAATTTAGGGATGTATTTTATTTATGAAGCAAAATCACCATTTTTTGAAAGATATAGAACAAGATAAGTATTTTATATTTAATAAAATAAGAATCCATGGCCATGGGATGAGAATCCAGATGAATGGTAAAAGAAACGTAAAGAAGTTTGGAAATATAGTTATATAAATATGACTTTGGGTGTGTTGATGTGCATCTTAGATACTTAAATAAGTCCTTTATTAAGGAATGACATAGATACATTTCCAAGTTTATTTGAAATGACTTGGTAAATTTTGTTTTCAATGCTAATTGAAGATACATGTTTTTATTGGACTCATAGAACCTTACATTCTCCAAAGCTTTATCCAATAATTCATAAAAAGCATCATGAATTTTACACTAGTGTATCATATGCTGCTATTTATACACATCCAATTGAATATATATTTGGTAATGTCATACCAGTTTTTGTTGGATTTAAGTTATTGGGTAATTAAATGCATATTGCTACATTACAATTATGGCTATTTTTTAGAATTGGAGAAACAATAGATGGTCATAGTGGATATGAATTCTCTTGGAGTCCATATAGATTGTTACCTTTTTCTAGTAGTGCTGAATCTCATAATTATCATCATTCCCATAATGTTGGCAATTATGGTAGTTTCTTTATTTTTTGGGATACTATAATGGGGAGCAATAAATCATACAATTCATTTATAGCTGAAAAGTATGGAAAAATCAATAAGATAAAAGATCATAATAAAAAAGAATGAATAATTTCATATTATTAATTATACAATTGTTTTATTTTAATTAAGTTAAATACTTTTAAATTACAGTGCATAATTAAACATTTGAGAATTTTATATATAATCAAAAGAAAAAGGATTCTTCCTTTTAAATTAAATAAACACTTGTTATTGACTTATAAACTCTTTCCACTTCTGTGTAATTTGCCTTTTTGGCTGTTAAACAGATAGATCTTATTTTATCTTTAAGTAGAAATAATGGTTCTTCATTTTGAATCAATAATTATTAATTTATTCCTGGAGCTTAAAGAAATAGAATTTAGCAAGCTTGTAAAATTGGTAATGATTCATTTAGAATACTATTCACCTTTTCTTAATGTTTTTTCTCTTAGGCCCTTCTTATTTGAGATCCTATTGATTTAATACTAGATCCAGAATGTGAATCCTTGTTTAATTATCGGCCTCCTGCCTTTCCTCTTACAACATAACGATGATCACTTTTATGATAAATACATCCTGTATTATCAAAGACTCCTAAACAAAAATATCCTCCATGACACAAAATAATTGCAAATTTTTAAACATTATCTAATTATTATAAATTGGGTTCTTATTATTGTTTTTACTTTATAACTTTTTACTTATTCTAATGAACTCTTTCAAGTATTTCTTTTTGTCTACTTAATATACTTTGCATATCATTTAATTAATAATTAGCAAATTCAGATGATTAAGCTATCTTTTCTAATATTTCTTTTGAACAATCTTCATTTATTTCTAAGAATTCATAATTTAATCCTTAATCAATTAGAGATCTATTTATAATAATGTAATTCTCATTATATTTAAATGCTTTATTATCTTATGTACTTAATTTACTATCTTCAGGCAATATAGAATTAATATTAACAGATTGCCAATTTAAAGTAAGAAATTGTTTTGGAAGATCTTTTAGTTAAATTTTGATAATTTAAACACCTAAATCCTTAATTTTTATTTCCATATTTTTTGGTACTTTATATAAGTCTTTAGGCAACATAGGTATTGTTTTTTTTCTAAAATTATAAATATCCCTTAGACTCTAGATGGTTAATAAAATATTAAATACATTTAAAAAGTGCACCAATCTTTATTCTAAATGCTTTTTCAAAATAAAATTCAATTATTATTTGAAATATTTATTACATCTGCTCAAATTAGCTAAATCCTTTGAATTAAGATTTGAAATTATTGTTTTGCTTATTTCAGGTTAGTTGAAAATGTTTGTGATCATTTTTAATTATGATAAAAATATTAAATTCTTTATTTAATATTTAATAATATAAATTTATAGAAATGATGTATTAATCAACAGATTTCATCAGAGTTATTAATAAAGAATATATGCATCTTATAACATGATTATAAATATATACTTGTTATTTTAGATATACATTAATATAAAGTATTAGTCATTATAATTCATAGATTTAAGCAGCCATTACAAAAAATAAGTGCAAAACCATAATTTTTATTTAATGATTAAATCAATTTTCTTAAGTCTTTTTATTAGAGTAATATTTTTAAATTTATTAAACATAATAAGCATCCTTTATTTATTATAAATATGTAAGATTAATTATACAAGCTTAAAATTTATATATCTTTTTCTAAATTAATCTTTAATTCTATTCAGACTTTCAAGACAATAAATTAACTAAATTAATAACTAAATAAAATCTAGTTCTTTTTGATCTTACTTTTTATAGGATGATCAATATTTAAAGTTAATTGAAATTGTATTTCCTTTTAAAGGTTTATTTCTTAAGTTATTTTGTAAAAATTTACTCTATTACCCAACCTCCCATATATTCTATTAGATAGAAATCTTTCGAAAACAATTTTTAATTTCTTTATTTTGTTTTAATAATAAGAATTTAATTATACAAATAGATGAATGAATTATTAAAAATTAATATTTATATTTAATCTAATAATAATCTTTAGATGATATCAATAAGTAATTTAGTTTAGTTTTGAAAAATTTTCAAAATTATATTAGTTTACGTTTGATTAATATTTAATAATTAATTTAAAAATACTCATAATTTATATAATAAGCATTTTACAACTCTTAATTTTTAGGTAAAATAAGATTCTTTTAAATTGAGTTAAAATGATTATTTCTTTTTTGTTTATTTTAACTAATTTAATTATTTTGATAATTCTAATAATTTTTCTTTACCATTTATTTATTTTTCTTTTATTTCTATAAATTTATTCAATCTCATAGATTAATAACATTTAAAGAATTATTAGCATAAATTTTATTCAAATATATCTATTTTTCTTTTGAATTTCTATAAATTTTCTTCATCATATGTTAATTTTTCTTCTTCTTTAGTTACATATTCACAAATAGTTGATTTCATTTTATCATCTTCTGATTTCACCTATAATTTACTATTCATAATATTTATTTTTTATTAAAGTTCAATTTATTATCTAATATTCTTTATGTCTTTATCTATTTCTTAAATCTGTTTCTACTCTTATAAAATATCTCTTAACCTTTCTTAATAATAATCTCTCCTCAAATGATAAATTTAAATTATACTTTTGTTAGAATATTCTTTTATTTCCCCTTTAACTATTTAACCTTATTTGCTATTCTCTTAATTAATCTTTAATTTCTTTTGAATTCCTTAATAGCCCATTCTTAATCAATTTTCCCTTAAGCTTAAACAGTGAAATTTGTGCTTGTTGTTAAACAACTAAAATCATTTTCATTAGCTAATGTAATGATATCATCTTCTTCATCTTGATAAGTTAATGACTCTAAAACAAATGATGGTTCAGTTTAGTAAAGTCTTTATTTCAATTCTTCTAATGAATAAACTTCTTCAAAGTTGAATTCTTAGCCTTAGCATGCTATTTTAAGATTCATTAATGATATTAATAAAATTTCTAAATAATTTCTTTTATAATTCTAAAATATAGAATTTTGTCTATTTATACCATAAATATTATATAAATATATATTTTTGATAGAATACATTTTATGTATTATAATAATAATTAAAATTAATTCTATAATTACTTTATATAAAGTATTATAAAAGTATATTCAATATGAAATAGGTAGAAATAATATAAAATTGTAAATATAATTAAATAAATTTAGTTTATTAAATGAATTAGATTTAAATATAGATCAATTAAAATGATTTATTAATTAAGTATAAAATTAGATAACTAATTATTTTTTATGATAATAATTAAAAAAAGGGAACTCTTCAAAAAAATTCTTGAATAACTTTAGATTGCATTTATTTAAATTAATTATGTCACCAAAAATTTTTATTTTAATATATATATAACTATCAATTGTGGCATTTAGAATGCTTTAAATATTAACTTTCAGCTACTTAACAATTTTTCCTCAACAAATCTCCTACTACAATAGAATCCTTTTTAGGATTTTTGAAGACTTCACACTATGAATTCGAGCTTTTATTACGCTTCCTTAATTCTATATAATCATCAACCACATATTTTAGCCATTTCCAAGCATATTTGAGAGTTATTTATTTATCAGATGGATGACAGACTCTTACCATATCGAGAACACAATTAAGAAACTTCATTTCATCAGGGCCTTATCTAATTTGGCTACTGAGGATTTGGTTTTCCTACTAAGCCTCACTATATTTATAGTGCAAGTGCTCTAGTTCTTCACTCAGATACTAATGTACAAAATACCTTAATTATTGCTAATACTGCATAAGTTAATTAACTTTTTCATTTGCAATTTGTAACTATTACTCTAATGATGTGGATTCAGTTTCATTTTTAAAAAACATTTCCTCCTTCATTGACAATGGTGAGAACTCTTATGAGTAGCTCATTTAATTTTAACTGTTATATAATTTAATTAATTCAAAATAGAACTTAATGTTAAATATATATTTTCAAATTATTTTATCTAAATAAGTTTATAAACAATAATAAGGAGTTTAAATAGAAATAAAATGAGTCAATATTAATAATAATTATTATTAAATTTAGTGTTTCCAAATATAAAGAAACAAATTAATTTAATTTACTTTTCATAATGATAAATCATTCTTGATTAATTTGAATAAACTTGTAGTTTCACTTATATTTGAAAATTTAATTGAAAATGTTTACAGCTAATTTGATAATTATCATTTTGATTATTTCTGTTACTAAATTTGAGGTCATATACATTTTTTATTTATCAAAAGTTTTAAAAAATGGTCAAATACTTAATCATTCTAACTTTTTATCCTTTTTTTCTAAAATTTATCATTTATAAATAGTTAATATCATAATCTAAAAATTCCTAATAAGGTAAGTAAAATTATTAAAAAATCATATAAATTATTTCTAAGCTATTTGATATTATAATCAAAACATTTTTTAATTATCCAATTAAGTTAATTATTATTATATCAAAATTTCTTAAAATTACTAAAATTTCCATTATTTTATACATATTATTGCTATTTATATTATTTCTTTTATTTAACTCAATTTATCTAAATTTATTTGTAATGAATATTTCCAAATATAATCAGATACATCATTTAAATAAATTCAGTATTATTTTTTAATATTTACTAATATGGATAATTATTATTAAAAGAAATATAATTATACAATTTATTCTAATAAGTTTAATTATTTGATTAATCTTCAATGTTTGATTTTTCAAATTATAAAATTTATCCTATTCTTCAAGCAGGATCTTAATTTTAATATTTACATACTATCTTAAATGTCTTAATAAAATAAATTCCAATTTGAGGATCTTAAATAAATTTATACAAAATCATCTAATTTAAAGATTTAAATATTTTATAATGAAGATCTTATTTCTATTAATATTTTCTATTGTCTCAGTAACAATCAACTAGAAATTTATTAATGGATTCTAATCGAAATATGAAATCATCAAATTATAATTAAATAATGAATTAAATTTCAAAAGACTCATATTAATATAATTATATAATAAAGATTGATATTTATAAAGCATTCAAATATTCATACTTATTTCTGATGTTAATGTAATTATAATCATTTATCAAACTATGCATATTTTTTAGCCAAATCATCCATTTATTTTTCTAGTCCATGATATCTATTGAGGAGTTCATTTCTTCTGATAGTGAATGTTTCTTCCTTTTCTATAAGCACACTAATTATAAGAGAATTAATGTTACTTTATTTCACTCTATAATCCATCAAGCATTTTTTCTTAAGATTCTATTGTATCTTAATTTTATTAAATTTTTTAATCTAATTCATTCATAATACCTTCATCTGATTATTAAGCTAATTAATCAATTCCACTTATTGAGCAAATTCTCTAAAACTCATCTAGAAGCAATTTTCTTTCCATTTATAAAGATTCCTATGCCTTTACTTCTTATTTAATTAATTTATCATAGCTTTTAGTCTTATTTAATTCATCTTCAAATTCTTTTAATTAGATTCTTGATTATTATAATTCATTATTCTTTTAAGACAATTCTGAATCTAATTTATTTTTGAGTTATTCTAATTCTTCTAATTTTGATTATTTTTACAATAATTTAGGATCAAGTCTTTATTATTCTTTACATAATTTTTCAAATTCTTATTCATAATGTAAACTAGCAGCTTATAATTAATTTTGTTTTTATTAACTAGCTTTAATCTCTTATTATATATTCAAATATATATTTCTTATTTGATTACTTTAATTAACTAATTTTTGGTATGATTATGATAATTCCTAAACTGTGGCTGTTGCTCTTTATAATTCTTCTCTACATTCATCTTAACAAAAATTTGAATAAATTTAATACTTGCTTCTTCTTTTATCTCAGTAATCTTATTACCAAGTAATTCAACTTCTTCTTATGTAGACTATTTTTAATGTTATCTTTCCTTCAATTATTAATCAATTTATTCAATTTATGCTTCACATGTCTTAATTTCATATTTTCTTTATTTTATTTTATTAGCATTCTTTTTTCTTGGTTTCCCACTTGAATGTACTTTTCTAATTAACTCAGCTAATTATTATTTTAACTAAATCTATTCTTGAAGAACCTCTTCTAAATTAATCTAATCAAATTAAATTTCCATATTTTACTTATTCATTTTCTTATTATTATATAAGTTGAGTAAATTGTTTATCTAAAATTTTCCTATAATTTCTTGGGTCTAATTTTGTTTCAAAAGGAATTCCATTCTCTTCAAACAATTATTATATTTTGAACATAGAATTTAAAATATTTATCAATAATAATTAATCAAAAGTAATATAAAGAAATATTATAAAAATACATCCATAAATATCTAAATCAAATCATAATTCAATTATATTTTGATAAATATGAAAATAAAATTTACTTATTATTTGATAAGTGAATTAATTATTTTTATCATCAATTATTACTAAATAACAAAGAGAAAGTGAATAATCTTTAAAAATATTTAATAAAGATTAATCATTATGGTTTTATCTATTAATTAAGGATAAACAATAATTTATATAGTTAATCATAATAATAATTATCAAATTTAATTTCATTCTAGATTTATAATATAATATTATTTATTATGATCTAAAATTCCTATTTTATCTTTTCCTTGCTCAAAGATATTTTTCTTAAATTCAGTATTACATACTTGAATAAAATGAAGATTTCTTAAAAATATATTATAAAAATATTACATATTTAATTATTGTGATAATGATTGAAGATTTAAAGTATCATCTATTTCTGTATTCCAATTTAATATTTTTAGGGTTGATTATACTTTTGAATGAAACATATTTCTAATAAATATATTAGCTAAAATGTGGAAATTAAGATTATTCTAATTTTTATATAATTAATTAAATGCTTATATTCTTTAATCTTGATCTTCATTATAAATTTGAATTAAATAAAGAATTAGTAATTATTTAAGAGATCCAAATTAAGATTGTGAAATATTTAATTAATCACAATAAACAATGAAGTTAAGTTGTTTAATATCTTCAATAAAAGAATAAAAATCATCTTATTCATACATTATTTTATTTTTTAAGAATTAATAAGCAAATGCAGTAAAAAAGGAATTATCATAGACCTTTATATAAGTAGTAATTTTAATTTCATTTGAATTAATACCCAAAGTTATGAAATCTTTTTTCTCTGATATTATACAGATATTAGTTACATGTTATTATTAATGAAGATATATTAATATATCATTAATACTAATATTTTTAGTAGTCTTATTTTCCATGAATTTCTATAGTTTATTATCTAATTTATCAACTTAAATTGTTAATTCTTAAACTTTCAAATCTAATTATTAAATGTTTGAATGAATATTTTTTTCTGAATATTATTTTTATAATATTTATTCTTAATCAGATCTAAAACTATTTTCAGAATTTTGAATTGCATCAATTCTCATAGAATTTTTAAAAGTTGTCATAATAATTTTACATTATTCTTATTCTTATTACATAATCTCATGATCACTTTATACTTAAGAAAGTCTTTTTTCAAATTTAGTTTAATATAATTAATTAAAATTTTATTATTCTTTAATCCATCTATTTAATCTTTATATATCTTCATGCATTGAATTAATTTATTTAATCAACACATCATTTTAAGTCTTAAGTGTATCAATTTCTTAAGTTATTGATTAATCTTATACTTTTTCTTAATTCTAATTCTGTGATTCTTGTTAAGATTTAATATTAGTAATACTTTCATTATCTATAATTTCTTAAGCTCTTTCTGTACAACTCTTTTAAATCATATCTTAATTATTACTTGGTTCAACTGAACTAGAAATATTTTATAAAATTTATGTATAATTAATAGCTTCAGTTAAGTTTTTGAATTCTTGACTTAAATTATTAATTCTTTCTTCTAATACTTTTTTATTGTCTTCCAACATTTATTAAAATTTCTGATTAATTTCATCAAAATTAGTTACAAATTCAGCCCTAAAATAACTAAGCATAGCATGCTTTTCAACTAAATCTGTTTACTTTTACTTTGTTGTTCTTTTTATTTAAGTTTCAGATAAATTACTTATGGATTATCTAGAAATTGTTGAAGATTTCTTAGTATTATCTTATTAATAAGTTATGCTATTTGTATTTTCTTATAATTAAAGGATATCATTAGATATTTTATTGATTTTTTCATCAGTTTATTCAATATTTGTTTATTATTATGATTAAATTGATCCAAAATCCTTTTATAAAATTGTTATTTAATTTTATAAAAGAGATACTTCATGCTATAATTCATTGATCAAAGTACTTTAATCCTTAAAATTTTAATCAATTTTTTGCCAATTTATATCAGCATATTTACTAGATTATTTTAAAGATGGTTTTTTAATATGAATTTTATCCATACTAGTCTCAATTACTTATTATATATGCTATTTTATAGAATTTGCTTATGATTTGGAATAATCTAAAATTGATTTTAAATAACTTGGACTGAAATATTTAATTTATTCTGGGAGAGAATTTAAATCTTTATTATGTATTTTTTTATAAGCAAGAGATGGTGTTTATTTATCAGACTCTTGCAATTCTTCTAAAAAATAGTTTAATTCTACAAACTTATATTGACTTAATTTATCAAAAACATCTTTTACATCAGGATTCTAAAATCCTTTTTATAATTATTAAACATTTGGATTTTTTGATTTTGGAGAGATACTTCTCTATTCTGTAGATGATTGTCTTTAAGGAGAATGAGTATGAAAATTCTTATAAAATTTTATTGCTCTTAAGATTTCTTCATTTTTATCAACTTGTTATTATTTTATATCTTCTAATTATTTTAATAACTAATTCCCTAAATTTAATTATTAATGATTCTCATGCAATATGCTATCAACCCTCTAACGGAATTCCTCTTCATATATGTGACTGATTTTTCTATTTGTTGATTCAGTTGTTCTAGGAGACAAATACTTTTAGTCTGTTTGACAATTACTATTAGTACTAGCTTTTTTATATATTTTAGAAGCATTCTAACTTTAATTTTACTGTTATTGCATTTTCTTAACTATTTTCTAATATTAATTATTAAAATCTAAATCTTAAATATATAATATTCTTTTATAAAATAGTGAGTGTGTATTAGTTATAAATTATATAATATAAAAGAGTGAAGTTTATTATAGATTGACCATCATAAGAACTATTTTAAATTATTTATAATTATATCATTTATAATTATTATAAAATTAATGAAAATAAATGAAAATAATGATAAGTCATTTCATTCAGCTTCAATTCAAAAAGCATCTTCAATGTTAAGTATGATTGAAGAAGTAAATAATCAATAAACTCATAATAAATCATTGAATGAACCAAAAATTAAAAAAGTTATTGATCCTCAACCTATAATATCTTCATCAATCGCAAGAGAAGTGGAAGAATTGGAATAGACATATAAACGTTAGTAATTTAAAGGCATTTAACAAATAGGGACAAAAAATTCTTATATGAAATATATGGCATTTTATTATTGGAGTTAATTCTATCATCTTTGAGAGGTCCATTATATTTGACAATACATAAAAGTCCAATCATAAGAACAGCTTGGAGATAAGGATTTACTGCTTTAATTTATTTACCAATTAGTATTTATGAATTAAAAAATAACAAAAATTTCATCATTTCCTTTAAAGGTTAAGAATTCAATTTATTAATGGCATCAGTAACATAAGCAGTATAATTTAATCATATATTTGTAGATTTTTGCTGTATCATTGTCAATATCTGTAACTCACACTCATGTCTCACATGCTCTTATGTTTTATAATAGTTCATTGCTATTTTATTGTGGAACTAAAATATTAATAAAATAAAATTGCCATATTTTGGAATATTTTGGATTCGGTGTTGCTTTGGTCTTATTAATGGTTATCTTTACAAATCATAGTTATACATTTTATTCCAAATAAGATGTTTCAATATTGGATAAAATAATATATGGAGATTTAACAGCACTTTTCGGTGGTGGAGTTTCTACTTTATATTAGTAATCTTATATTATAGATTTAGTGCAAAATATTACTCTAAAATAACCTCATGTTGTCCAACTTTTACATTATTTTCAATAATTAGGGCACTAAGTACTGTTGTATTGATAATTATGACATATACATTTGATAATTAGCACAATTTCTTTGACTTCTTAGAACCTGTTCTCTTTATACAAATATTTTTTAATGCCTTATTCACTGGTGTTTTGATGAATTAATTATAATCCTATGTACAATTATTTGTTGATCCTTTAACATATAATTCAGCAAACTTTTTTTAACCACTTTTTGGAAGCATTTTTTCTTATTTATTAGGATAAGTATAAACAGATTATATTTTATTAGGAATCTTTACCAGGTTCATTATCAGTAACTTGTATGATTCTTTATAGCATTGGTTTATTATTTATATAAATTGGAAGATCTAAGTCTGAAACAGAGGATCTAAATCTAGATATTGAATTACGGTAATTAGATACTGTTTATTTTGAAAATAATCCTTTACTCTCAATATTTTAATCTAATTATAGAGAAAGAGAAGATTAAATGAAGATATCATTATATAGAAGATAGACCATTTAAAGATAGCAAACAAAATAATTTGTTGATTATAGTATGGATTAATGAGAATTGGTTTAATTAACTATTATAATTAAGATTAAAAATTAAAATATTCAAAAATTTTGGTAATTATCTAATACTTTGTACTCTTAACTACCTCTGTAACTAGCTAATTCATCTAAGTTGATCGAACCTTATTCATAGTCTAATAAATCATCTAAATTTATTCCATTTTTTATTGTTTCTTTTTTTTTTAATCCTCTTTCTGATGGAGAAATATTCTATGTTATAGCAGTCTACAAATTTGAAACATCTTATTTTATTTACCCAAACAATTTATTACTTTTTTCATCTAATTGTAAATTAAGTTTTTGAATGTCCTAGATTTTATAATTAAGTTCTTCCAAATGTAAATTATTTTACTGTTTATTCTATATTCTAAGTTATTATTGATTTTATCGAGCATCTTAAAGTGTTTAAATCTATTTTTCTGGAGAAGTATTCATAACATTTACCACTTCACATTAATTATTCTAATTATATCTATTATTATTATTATTATTATTATTATTATTATTATTATTATTATTATTATTATTAGTATTATTGCTTTTATAAAGATTTTATTGTTACATTTTAAGAGAAACAGGAGATTGACTCTTTTTTAAATGGTTTTGTTTAAGCTTATTATAATAGTCAGGACTTTTTTATTTTTTCTTTTACTACTCTCCATTCTAATCACCTTCTGAATCACCAGGAACCTTTATGTTTTTTGGTTTAATTAATTTCCAATAATCTTTTTAACTTTAGCTCTCCCTAAGTAACCTATCAAATTATTAACGCATAGATTCTTTTTATTGTCCTTCACTAGATTATAAAGATTACTAGATTGAAGCTTAAGGAGATCCTTACTATTACTATACTTATTATTTTGGTGATTATTGATATTATTATAATTTAGGATTCCTCTATTATTGTTACTAAGAGAAATTATTGATAGGAGAAGTTCCAAATTAATTAGAATATTAGTTTTTCTTTTTATTTGAATGAATTTAAGTATACCCTTAATGAGGACTTGACTCAATTTATAAATTATTTNATTTATTAGGATAAGTATAAACAGATTATATTTTATTAGGAATCTTTACCAGGTTCATTATCAGTAACTTGTATGATTCTTTATAGCATTGGTTTATTATTTATATAAATTGGAAGATCTAAGTCTGAAACAGAGGATCTAAATCTAGATATTGAATTACGGTAATTAGATACTGTTTATTTTGAAAATAATCCTTTACTCTCAATATTTTAATCTAATTATAGAGAAAGAGAAGATTAAATGAAGATATCATTATATAGAAGATAGACCATTTAAAGATAGCAAACAAAATAATTTGTTGATTATAGTATGGATTAATGAGAATTGGTTTAATTAACTATTATAATTAAGATTAAAAATTAAAATATTCAAAAATTTTGGTAATTATCTAATACTTTGTACTCTTAACTACCTCTGTAACTAGCTAATTCATCTAAGTTGATCGAACCTTATTCATAGTCTAATAAATCATCTAAATTTATTCCATTTTTTATTGTTTCTTTTTTTTTTAATCCTCTTTCTGATGGAGAAATATTCTATGTTATAGCAGTCTACAAATTTGAAACATCTTATTTTATTTACCCAAACAATTTATTACTTTTTTCATCTAATTGTAAATTAAGTTTTTGAATGTCCTAGATTTTATAATTAAGTTCTTCCAAATGTAAATTATTTTACTGTTTATTCTATATTCTAAGTTATTATTGATTTTATCGAGCATCTTAAAGTGTTTAAATCTATTTTTCTGGAGAAGTATTCATAACATTTACCACTTCACATTAATTATTCTAATTATATCTATTATTATTATTATTATTATTATTATTATTATTATTATTATTATTATTATTATTAGTATTATTGCTTTTATAAAGATTTTATTGTTACATTTTAAGAGAAACAGGAGATTGACTCTTTTTTAAATGGTTTTGTTTAAGCTTATTATAATAGTCAGGACTTTTTTATTTTTTCTTTTACTACTCTCCATTCTAATCACCTTCTGAATCACCAGGAACCTTTATGTTTTTTGGTTTAATTAATTTCCAATAATCTTTTTAACTTTAGCTCTCCCTAAGTAACCTATCAAATTATTAACGCATAGATTCTTTTTATTGTCCTTCACTAGATTATAAAGATTACTAGATTGAAGCTTAAGGAGATCCTTACTATTACTATACTTATTATTTTGGTGATTATTGATATTATTATAATTTAGGATTCCTCTATTATTGTTACTAAGAGAAATTATTGATAGGAGAAGTTCCAAATTAATTAGAATATTAGTTTTTCTTTTTATTTGAATGAATTTAAGTATACCCTTAATGAGGACTTGACTCAATTTATAAATTATTTGTGATTGGATTATTGAATCCTTGATTAAATCCTCCTTTATTATTCTAAAAAGTATTTTAGGATGTCTTTTCTTAATTTTGAAATAAAAGTTATTATTATTACTAGTAATATTATTATTATATTATTTACTATTATTATTTTTATTACTATGATTATTACTATTAAAACTGCATTTAATCCTATTAATAAGTTATTTTATTTTTTTATGAGTATTATTATTACTAATGTTATTACTATTATTATTACTAGCATTATTATTATTATTATTATTATTACTATTATTATAATGCTTATATTTTCAATTATCCAAAGGATTACTATTACGTTAAACGGTAATTGTCATCTTGAAGATTAATTGTTTTTTATTATACCTTTTAATCAGCATTATTTTATTATTATTTATTATTCTAAGATAAATTTTTTTAAGTTTAAGATCTAGGGCCAGTATTCACAGGTATATCTATAAAAGTAGATGAATGACTCGAAGACCAATATCTATCATTTTATATATATGACTTTTCTTCATTGTGTGAAGGATGATTTTTTAAATTTGCAAAATTTTAACTGATTGATGAAATGCTTGCATTTTCGGTTTAATCATTCGAAAAATTTTCAGTTTATTCATACTCTAATTTAAAAATGTTCGTTCTCTCCAAAGAATTTGATCTCTTGTTATTAATGGTTTTTGGTACTTATACTTCTTGAAATATTTTATCCCCTTTTAATCTCTATTCCTTTTTATTTGGTTTCTCATCAGTTTGTGATTTTCCTCTTTCATTAACCTAATATTTATATATAATTTCAGATCCAAAACTATGATTATTACGCTATTATTTTCTATCAGATGAATACTAAAAGATTTCATCATTTGATGTTAATTCAGTTTAAGTTGTTACTGTTTTATATTTTCTTTGTTTCTATTAAGGTCTCAATACTTCGTATTTATACATTATCTTTGATTACATTTGCATTCTATCTTCCTTCATTAACAATTCATAAGAGACTGCATCATAAGTTAATGGATTCACAGTCATACTTGATACTTTATAACTTACACTACTTAAATCATACGATATTTAATCAATCACAGATGACATTAACAAACATTAATTTATTTCATAAGCATCATTGATAACTCTCCATTTTGAATTCTTCTAAGCTAAATTTAGAGCTTCCTATCTTATAATCGTACTAGTGTTAGTCTATCCCATTTTAGTAAAAATAACAATATAAAAATTTATCAAATAAATTTCTTTCGATAAATTTATAGAATTTCTTTATTAATAATTAGGTGAAAATGAAAAAGAATTAATTAAAGAAAAAGAAGTGAATAATATAATATCTTCATTTGAATAAAGAATAATAAGGTAAATTCATAAAAATGATTAAGCATTTTATGTGTTAATGGTGATTAATTTTCAAACTTAAAGTGAACTTAAGTAGATTTATTTTAATCTATAAAAATGTAACTAAATTCTAAATCTGTAGATAAGAGAATATGCTTAATGTAAACAATTTGATAAATCTGAATTAGTTCTTTCAAAAAGAGATAAAAATATCCTTATAACCAACTTAACCATAATTTAGTCTTATAATTAATCAATTTCTTAATCTATAATTTCTAATGAAAATTGCTTATAAGCTTAATATTTCTAATAAAAGATTTTAAGATTTTATAGGATCTTAAAAATTAAGTTATAAAATTAGTCATTTAATAATGAACGAAAAAAAATTACCAACAAGATAACGCCAATCAATGATTTTTTTTCTAATAAATTTGAATTTATTATAAAAAGCGTTCTTGATTTANAAAAATTTTCAGTTTATTCATACTCTAATTTAAAAATGTTCGTTCTCTCCAAAGAATTTGATCTCTTGTTATTAATGGTTTTTGGTACTTATACTTCTTGAAATATTTTATCCCCTTTTAATCTCTATTCCTTTTTATTTGGTTTCTCATCAGTTTGTGATTTTCCTCTTTCATTAACCTAATATTTATATATAATTTCAGATCCAAAACTATGATTATTACGCTATTATTTTCTATCAGATGAATACTAAAAGATTTCATCATTTGATGTTAATTCAGTTTAAGTTGTTACTGTTTTATATTTTCTTTGTTTCTATTAAGGTCTCAATACTTCGTATTTATACATTATCTTTGATTACATTTGCATTCTATCTTCCTTCATTAACAATTCATAAGAGACTGCATCATAAGTTAATGGATTCACAGTCATACTTGATACTTTATAACTTACACTACTTAAATCATACGATATTTAATCAATCACAGATGACATTAACAAACATTAATTTATTTCATAAGCATCATTGATAACTCTCCATTTTGAATTCTTCTAAGCTAAATTTAGAGCTTCCTATCTTATAATCGTACTAGTGTTAGTCTATCCCATTTTAGTAAAAATAACAATATAAAAATTTATCAAATAAATTTCTTTCGATAAATTTATAGAATTTCTTTATTAATAATTAGGTGAAAATGAAAAAGAATTAATTAAAGAAAAAGAAGTGAATAATATAATATCTTCATTTGAATAAAGAATAATAAGGTAAATTCATAAAAATGATTAAGCATTTTATGTGTTAATGGTGATTAATTTTCAAACTTAAAGTGAACTTAAGTAGATTTATTTTAATCTATAAAAATGTAACTAAATTCTAAATCTGTAGATAAGAGAATATGCTTAATGTAAACAATTTGATAAATCTGAATTAGTTCTTTCAAAAAGAGATAAAAATATCCTTATAACCAACTTAACCATAATTTAGTCTTATAATTAATCAATTTCTTAATCTATAATTTCTAATGAAAATTGCTTATAAGCTTAATATTTCTAATAAAAGATTTTAAGATTTTATAGGATCTTAAAAATTAAGTTATAAAATTAGTCATTTAATAATGAACGAAAAAAAATTACCAACAAGATAACGCCAATCAATGATTTTTTTTCTAATAAATTTGAATTTATTATAAAAAGCGTTCTTGATTTATAATGTACTTGAAATTATATTTTTGTGTAATATTATAGTATATTTGTATAAATTCTGAGTTCCTTTGAATGATTATTTTGTAAATTTTAACAAAATTAAGAAATACATATAGTAGTTTACTATTTTGGTTTCTCAGAAACTATTAGAAATGATAATTAAAATTGAAAGTTATAAACTTTATTTTTAATAATAAATTTTTTATCAATACAATTTTTAATAGTATAGGATTTTATGGGCATTTGTTCATCAAAAAAGGAAATAGACAAAATAGAAGTACCTAATAAATCATTTTTCGATTTTGAAATTAATGACATTGATGGCAATTTAGTTTAATTGTCACAATTTTAAGGTAAAAAAGCTTATATTTGTGTTAATGTGGCTTGTTCTTGTCGTTTAACCACATAGAACTATGTTGAATTAGTTGAAATGTATAAGCAATACAAGTATATCATATTAAAATTAATAGAGATTAAGGTTTAGAAATTCTAGGGTTTCCATGTAACTAATTTAAGAATTAAGAAAGTAAACCAGAACCAGAAATAAAAAATTATGTTACATAAAAATATGGAGCTCATTTTCCATTATTTTAGTACTTAAATAATATATATTTTATTAGGAAAATAGAAGTAAATGGAAATAAAGCTCATGAAATTTATTAATATTTACGATATAATAGTGAATTGAAGATAAATAATAAAAATGAAGTAAAGTATGTTCCATGGAACTTTTCAAAATTTTTGCTTGATGGGAATGGAAATGTAATAAATTATTATTGTCCTGATGTTTGTCCAAATGAAATGATTAAAGATATTGAAAGATTATTAAAGAATTGACTACAAAATATGAAATCAATCATTTTATTATATACTATGAATCATATTAACAAAGTTGTCATCAAATGAACTATCTTTTCTAGTTTTATTAATTTGTTATTCTGCAGTAGATTCATCTTATTAAATATTGAAATCGATAACAGTTGTTCTTGATACCGATCTCGGTTTTTCAGCATAATAAAATGCATAAGGTATATAAAAACAAGGAAATTGTTGAACTCCTGTAAAAAATATTTGAATGCTTATTTAAAAAACAGAATATGTTTATTCTTTGCTTTATTAAAAACAAAATAATTCTTTGTTTGTATTGTACATTATTATTATGAGGACTATGAATGTTATCATTGTAATAGTTTATGCTAATATAACTAATTTAATCTATTTTAATTTCATGGTTAATGTATTTTTTATCATTGAAGAGTTATCAAGTAATTTTGAATATTGTTCTTAATTTTGGTTTTATGATTCTTCTTTCCTTCTTATATAATAGATAAGTGATTATCCATGAATTTATGTGAATATAGTGATTATAAGTATTTGTACTTCTAATAAATCGAGACTGTAATAAAAATAACTACTTTATGAATTTTAATCATACTTATTGCAAGAAGAGTCATCAATTTCAAAGAAAAAGAAAAACTATAATGAAAATACTACTAAATAGAAGGCTCCTTTACCAATAATCAATCTTAAATATCTATTTTTTCTTTTTTCCACTATATAGATAAAAATGAATAATTACAGTCATCTGCATATTTGAATCGATATCTCAAATTGGCTAAGCTTTATGAAACAAGTATAAAGGTAAATAGTTGTAATAAGCTTGCAGATATTATCATTCGATTTGAATTATAAATGGTGTATTGAACTAAATGAACAATTGCTTGTAAACAACAACAAATCATTGGTGCTATTTCATATCTTAATGATCCATGAGCTTTATAATAATGGAAGGACCAGCTTATTGAGATTATTGCAATAATTAGAGACAGTATAGCAAGTATAATATATCTAAAGCAAGATAAGAAGTTATTATCACATTCTTCTAAAATTAAAATCATTTCTAAATAATAATATTATATTAATTGATAATTCATCTATTTTTATTATTAACAGTATAACATAATTACTTAGAAGTAGATTCATAGTATATATTTATTAAATGTTAACAATATTCAATAATCATAAATATAAATTATTCAACATTTTTATTCCTTTTTTTGTTTAATTTAACTGTAGAAAATTAAATTTGTAATTATGAGAATGTAATTATCCATATTTTAAGTTTATTTTTGAACTAATTTTATTATATAATCATTACTGTTTAGAACATAATAAAAATAAAAAATATCAATAAATGTCTAACCAAAATGACCAACATAATCAAATAGAAGAACACATACTTAAATTATATGATATATAGGATTTCAAAGGCAAAGGAGCTTATGGAATAGTTTGGAAGGCAATCGATAAATAAACGAAACAATAAGTGGCATTAAAAAAGGTTATAACAATTATGATATATTTTAGATTTTCGATGCTTTCTAAAATTAAACAGATGCTTAAAGAACATTTAGAGAAGTTTGCTTTTTATAATAATTAACAGATCATGATAATATTGTTAAATTATTAAAAGTAATTCAAGCTGAAAACTAGAAAGATTTGTATATGGTATTTGAATATATGGAAACTGATTTACATAAAGTAATAAGAGCAGGATTACTAAGTTCTTTGCATATGCAATATATTATATATTAGTTGTTAAAATGCTTAAAATTTATACATTCAGGTGAATTAATACATAGAGATTTGAAACCTTCAAATTTATTGATAGATTCTGATTGTAAAGTAAAAGTAGCAGATTTTGGATTAGCAAGAAGTGTTGCTTAATCTGAAAATTAGTATGGTATTATTATTCATTAAATAAAATAATTAGAAATGCCAATTATGACTGAGTATGTTGCAACAAGATGGTATAGAGCACCAGAAATCTTGTTAGGATCTCATAATTATTCAAAATCAGTAGATATGTGGAGTGTTGGTTGTATACTTGGGGAAATGATATTGGGTAAAGCAATATTTGCTGGAGCATCAACTTTGAATTAAATTGAGAAAATAATTGAATTAATTGGAAGACCTAAATAAGATGATCTAGAATTAATTAATGCATCTTTGGCATAATAAGTTATAGATGGAATTTAAATGTAAAAAAGAAAAAGCTTTGCATCATTCTTTCATAATGCATCTACAGATTGTATTGATTTTATTAGATAATGTTTAAATTGGAATCCTTAAAAAAGAATGACAATTGATGAAGCAATGAAACATTAATTAATGAAAGAGTTTGTCAATACAGAAGATGAAAAAACCTTGAAGTCAATAATCAGAATACCTTTTAATGAAAATAAAAAACTTACTATTAAAGATTATAGAGATAAAATAACTCTTAATTATGAATAAATTCTAAAAGAAATTGAATAAAACACATTTAATAAAAATCTAACCAAACAATATATGTCTACTCCATAAAACATTTCTAGTTATTTAAATAATTTCGATTCAAAATATAAACAGAATACAAATTATCAAACATCTTAACCTGTAGATAAACCTAAAAAACTAGATTCTTTTTATAAACCTGAGGCAATAAATCCCTATTCAACTTAGAAGAAATCTGACTATTCACCAACTATGAAACCTACCATGTCTACTAATGCATCAAATATTAGTCCTAAATTTATTCAATAAAAATATAATACTACTTAAAATTAATCTTATAATCAAGGATTAAAAAAAACTTATACTAATATAGTGAATAGACCTCACAATGATTTAAATAAGAGTCCAGAGATAAAGAAAAGAACAGAAAATATTAACACAAATGTCACAAAATCCTATTCTTTTCATGGAGAACCATATGATAAAAGAGTAACTAATTCAAGCTTCAGTACTTAAAATAAAAATAAACCATCAACTTCAGTCAGTTATGTTAGACCAGTATAAATATAATAGTTATCAAATTATAATACAGCACAAAACTTTTCATAATAAAAAGAAATATTAAGGGCCAAAGATCCAATTATGCTAAACTAAGCCTAAAGAAGTAAATCATTTGAAAAGTCACCCATTAATATTAATCCAACAAGTCCTTATCAAAGACAAAAGACTGAAATTCCTAAACCTAAATTTATACCTTAAAGTATTAGATCATTTCTAATTAGGCAATATTAACAATAGTGTGGCTTAAGTGCAAAAATTACTATAAAAGTGTTGTCAAGTATAGAATTATTAATAACATAAAAAAACCTCAAGTGTCATTGATCCTACAAAATAATAACCATAATAAATTTAATAAACAATCAATTATAATTATTTTGATATAAGAAATTCAAAATTTATGTGATTACTATTTTTTTGTATTATTTATATTTATATTATAAATAAGATAGTTTTTTATACTAACTCATTTTTATTATTAGTGAGATTGAAAAGGATTTTTAAATTGTGGAAAGGTGAGATTATATATTCTAAAAGAGATATAAATATATACTTACTATTAATTTATGCGATCTTATGAAACTTTAAATTAAGAGAATTTAATAAAATAGGGATGTATTAAACAATCTTAAGCTGATGGTCTATTCCTGAATTCTTTGAGCATTTATGTTATAAGATCTAACAACAATGGGCATTTTAAATTCTCATGGATTTCATATTGATTTAGTCTATTAAATTCACATATCTCTTTTGAAGTCAAATTTGAAGAATATATGCGCTTTCCAGTCGCTAATATATGTGCAATAGCTCCTAAACTATAGATGTCACATAATTAGTTATATAGTAGTGATTCTTAATATATTTCTGGAGCAACATAGCCAGGAGTTCCACATCTAAATTCCATATTCTTAGTGTCTGAGAGAAATGTTGCATAACCAAAATCAATTAGTTTAAGTGATTTGACATCTCCTTTCACTTTAAACATTATATTATCTAGTTTTAAATCTCTATGTATTATATTAAGAGAATGTAAATGTTTCAATGCTTTTAGGATTTATTTAAATATAGATCTAATCTCTGATTCATCTAATTTAAGATGCTTCTTTTGAATGTATTCAAATAGAGTACCTCCATTCATATACTCATAGACAAAGATGTGAGTATCCTTATCAGAAAACATTTCTTATAACTTCATTAAACCTGAATGGTGTTACTTTAATAAAGTTTTACATACTCTAATTTCACTATTGATTTAAGACTTAAAATAGTTAACAATATTTACATTTTGCCCTTTCAAACATATTTTTGCTACAAAATATTCTTTTGTGAATATATTTCTGCATTAAACAATCTAATATTATTTTAAAAAATTTACTTGACATAATTTGCTTTCTTTTAAAATCTTAAAATTTTCATATTTCTCATGAAATACTTTAATAGTTGTTTATATAAGTTAAGTGTATGTTAACAAATTATGTAAAATAATGACTGAGGAATTTTATTTTGTATAATTGTTACTCTTGGCCTAACCCTATAATTAAAATTAATCAAAAGGCATTGTACTATATAATTAAATATAGAGATACTTTTAGGTGAGTTACAACGGACTTAAAGAAACAAATTCTCCATTCTAATCTTATAATTTTGAAGGTGTTTTCGATTTTTGCTTTTCTATATTTTTTGTTTGTGAATTTTCGAATTCAGAATTGATATATCCTAACAATCCTCTTTGTTTCATTAAATTTAAGTTGATTTATTTATATCTCTATTATAGATTTATATATTTAATTTATAGTGTGAATGAATGATTCAAGAATTCTCAGAAAAAATACTTAATTATTTTTTTAAATAATTAAGTATTTTTGGTTCGATGTAACTGATTAAAATTGCTTCATCTAATCATTATTTGCTGATTGTTTTTTAATTATTAATTATATATAACATTTTATATTATGCTGAATTAATTAAAAAAATTGTGGATAATATAAAATATATAATCCAATACTTCATAAATAAGAAAACTAGTAATCTAAATTTAAAATTATCTAAATTAATCTAGAGAATAAGCAAAGTCAATATAATATTCCCTACATATTTTTTCTTAATCATATTTTTTTTAAATTTTTTATAATTGAAATTAAAGTCAAATTTTGAGCTTAAATTCAGAATAATATGGTATATTAGTATTAAATATAAATAAAACTTATATTAATCTATTATTATTTAATATATTACTTTATTATTATTATTTGATTGTATAAGACTATTTTAAAATTTGTGGTAAGATTTAGACTAACTATAAAAGAAAAATTATTTTAACTGATAATTTAAGAAATTTATTAAAGACTAAATCTATCGCATAAAGCTTACACATCTACTGATTTTGGAATTAATCAAATAGTATTATCCCTATTACAATAATTAAATATTAATAAAAAAACAATATTCTGAAATAAAGATTGTTTTTATTAAATTCTCTATTTACATGCTTATAAATAAAGCTTATATCAATACTATTTTTTTAAATATATTTATTTTATAATTATATAGTACATATATTTATTTGTGTCAAACATTCTAAAATTTTAATTGATTTTTATGTTTTATTCCAGAATAATTACTTAATGGAATTGTGTAATATTTTTTAATTATTTGATATAGTATTTGCTTTAATAATGTCAATATTATCAAGAAATTAAGTTCAATAGTCCTATTTCAATATATTTTACTTCTAGAAGAATTCACTTTGAGAAATTGCATCATTTATTGTGTCTACCTTATTTAAAAATATATTATCCTTTTAAATACTCTCTTAATTAATAATAAACTTTCATAAATAGAACACAATCTCTTAGTATTTAAACTATAGATAATTGAATAAGATGTCTATATTAGCTCACTTATTTTATTTTAATTAATACTATTGCTATATAATTCTATAAATTTTATGTACTGAATATTTACATATTAATTAAAAATAAAATTTATCTTTTTCTAAGACCAAAAAATATATGAATTGAACCATTAACTAATAAAGAAGTTTTTTTTTTATTATTATAAATCTAATTTTTTTTTGCAGCAGTCTGAAATTCAAAATATTTTATTGTTACAAGTTTTTATTATGGTCCTATATTTTTATTTAGAATTATACTAATAAAAAAAATTTTATATGAAAAAATATTGATGGTTAAGAAAGATTTTAATATAATTCAAATAACAAAATAAAACTCAACCTAAAAATCAGATTAGTTAAAATAAAATCCACTAGAATATTTGATTGCTACTCCTTGGTTACCTTAAATAAGGTCAGGTACTGTCCAGATTAGTGAAATACATCTTTCTTTCTATTATCTAAATTATTTTCAATATTATTTGAGATGATTAGTACTAGTTTAGACATTTTCTAAAATATAATTGCTTTAATATTTTAAATAACCATAAATAATCTGATTTGAATAAAAAAAATAAAATTATTTCATCATGATAAAAATTATAAAACTAGAATATCAAAAGGTTTATCGAAAAATAACCATAATTTATAGTTAAACATTTTTAACACAAGAACTCAAAAATTCTAAATCATATTAAATTAAATAATTTTATTAATAATAAAAAATATATGACTTTCTTCTTTAATCATAATTACTTAAAGGTCTGATTATTTTAATGATATTTAGAAAAAAAAGTGGTATTAATTTATAATCTAATACTTTTCAAATTTGCTTTTTGTAATAGTCATTTCATTGTAAATCTGCTTTTATATTGACTTTAAAGTATAAATCTGTTTTAGATGTAGTAATTCTAATATTTAAAAATATTTTTTGTATTTTAATTAGAATATAATACTTTAGCGATATATCCAAAAATAATAGCAATTATGAATGGAACTAATAATATTGAAATTTAGTATAAATAAAATTCATTTTAAATTAATAAATCTTTCTTGATTTTCTGATTAACATTATTACTCTTTTAATATAATTGATTAAAATGGAGTCTTTAGCAAAGGAGATTTTAAACAGGTTAATCTAAGGATAATTAATATTTTTTACTTTTGTTTAATTTTAGATGTCTTTTCAAAATATTGATGATTAAGACATTATTAGGCATTATACCTTTTGTCTGAAGTATTAGTCATTTTTAAAAATAAATCAACAATGATTTCGTTCTTTGTTGATTCTCTGATTATGTTACATTATTTTTGATGAAGTTAAGTAAATGTCTTTTATGAATGAGAATCAAATGTAAATTTTCTTCCTGTTAATAATGTAAAAAATATCTAGCCAAGACTGTAAATATCAATCAGTTCATCATAGGGATTTTCAGAATATAGCTCCGGAGCAATATACCCAGGTGTCCCACACCTTTCAATAATGTATGGTTAATCATCAATAAATGTAGAGAATCCAAAATCAATTATTTGTATAGAATTTGGGTTGTTATAATCTAATAACATAATATTATCCATTTTAATATCTCTATGCATTAGATTCTGTTTATGAAGAAACTTAATTGCTAATAACAGTTTCTTCATCATTTTTCTAATATCAACGAATGAAGGACAGAAATTGTTTTATGCCATATAAAAATTTAATGTACCTCCTTCACAAAAATCAAAAATCAGAATAATCTTATCCTTTTCTTGATAAAATTCCCTTAATTTTATAATAGATTCTTAGTGTAATTAACTCAAGTATTGGCATATTTTTAATTCATTCAAAATAAGTTTCTTTATTAAAGAAAAATCATACCTTTTATTAACATTCTAGATTTTGAGTAAAATTAAACTTCTTTGCAATAACTTCTATATTCAATTATTTATTATAACATTTAGTAATCTAAACATACTTGTACATATTACATCTCCTTATTTAGTTTTTTTTAATGTTTAAATTTCCTTGTAATGAGACTTGAAGTTTCTAAAAAATACCTTTCCATCAAGGTATTATTTTAGATTTAGAATGGTTTACTTTGATCCTTAATATGTCTATGAATAATTTTCAGTAATAACAATTACTTCACAATAATTGGAATTCCTATGATAAAATCTTAGTTATACTCAAATTTCCATTCAAAAATTGCTTCTTGTGAACAATATTCAATTTTCAATTCATCTATAACACCTATCTTGGATAATTGCAATTTATTTTTACTTATATTGTCAAGTAGGTATCATAAATAGTAAATTTCTATTATATAACTTATCCTTCATTGCAGAATGATGATAGATAACATTAAAATAAATCAGATTCAGAAATCTTCATTAAGGAAATTAATATTTAATATATAAATGCAGTAGTAGCTTATTCCAAATAAAACCATTTGTATAGAAAATTTTAGATATTTTCTAAATGATAAGGATAAGTACAAATTAAAAATTTGATATTTAGTTACAAATTATGCTATTATGCAAATTTAAATGTTTAAAAAGAATAAATGAGTTAAAAAAATCTAAAAATTTAATTGGATAAAGTGATCAATATACCATAAAGGGAATATTGGTTTTGATTTAAATATATGAATTTGCTTTATCTGATAGTAAATATATTATAAATAAAATTCAATAGACTAAAATATTGCTATTGAATAATTTCTTTGAAATAAATAATTCTTTTTTTTCAAGTAAGGTTTCTTGATTTTTTATCAATCAATAATTTTAAAACCTAATAAATAATAGTGAACATTTATTGATGAATGTTTAAATTAATTCCTTTTTATTTTAGATATTTATGTTCTACCGGTGTTTAAATTTTCTCTTAATGTATTCTTGTTTGGAGATTTGAGTTGACCTTAAATTTTATTGATTTCAGAAACTGTTATGCTTGAATTTGTTTTGAGTTAACTATTTATTGTTTTGTTTTGATTTCAGAGTAAGAGACAATCATAATAATATGATGATTTTTTGAATATATAAAAGTAAATTAGAATAATTCATTATAAGAAAGAAATGTAAAATAAAATATAAAAATAAAATGAATACTTAACTAGCATAAATTATAAAATATACACCTGTGAGTGAATTTAAGGTAAGCTTGAGAAAATTAGTTAATTTTGAAGAGAAGTATTAATAATTATTAGTTATAATAGTTAATTTACATTTCAACCAATGGATCTAGATAGTGTATTTATGTGTGAATTATTAAATGAATATGAAAAGAAAGATGATGAAAATTTAAAAGCTTGGGTTAAGACTGAAAAGTATTTATTATCAAAAAATGAAATTGATATTGAACATTTCTTTGAAAGATAATATTTAATGTTAATGAAAGAGCTAGATAAAGATATTTACTTTTAATTAAATGAATAATTATTCAAATTCAGAGTGAGATTAAATGGTGAATTTTCTATCATTTTTAGATTAAAATAGTTTGAAGCTTTTGAACAATTATTGAAAAAACAAATTTAGCATTTATCACCAAGAATGACAATTTCATTAAGAAAATAAATTCAAAATCGAAAAACACTTTCTAATAGACCTTCTAGTTTAGGTAAAATGTTTTTAAGAGCATTTAGTAAAAATAACATTGAAATTGGTATTTTATTCAATATTACATAGAATCTCAATAATAATAAGAACCATTATTTACTTTTAAGAATATTAATGGTTTAGATTGTTATTAATTAAATGAATTTGATTAATTTTCTAAGTAAGAATAAAACATTATTTTAAATGTCTCTTCTTCTCATAATAAATTAGTGGATGATTCAGATGAAGATGAAGAACTTGAATAATTTTAATTAGATTCTATTAAAATTAAATAAAATGAAATTAAGAATCATAAAATCATGTAAAGATAGTAATATCTAGAATATATATATGGTAATTATATTTATATAAATATATAAGGAAATACTAAAAAGTTAGAATCAGTTATAATGTCTTCAATACCTTTTAATACAATATAAGAAATCGAAAGTGAAAATATGATAAGCATAACTACTTTACAAAGACCATTATTAAATAGTTAATCAGCTGAATCAGTTTTAATTTATGGTAACAAATTACCAAATAAAAACTTTATTCCTAAAGAAAGAGATTTATGGAAGATTGCTAAACAATTACTAAAATAAAAATACAAGCTTTTTTCAAGTGAGCATTTTCTAAAAGCTCAAACACCACTTAGAAAACATAAGATAGCATTAATGAAGAAAAATCTAATGAAAATCTATAATAATGATATTTGTTGACAAATAATTAAAGTAAATACATAGTGGAAATATTCTTATTGAATTTCTTTGATTTAATAGAACAATTGAGATTTTTATACTTGTCTTAAAATATCCTTTATAAATTATAATATATCTAGATTAAGTTTACTAATTATTAATTTTTCTAATAATCTAATCAATAATTAATCCTGTGTATAAAAATTTAGATTATTAGATTATTTCTATATGAATTCTTTTTAATATAACTATAATATTTAAAGTCATTTCATAATTTATACATTAACTTATAATATATAACAAATACAAGAACATATAAAAAAGTCATTTACATATAATCGATTTTATCTAATTTTAAATTCTATAATTTTGGTGACTAATTTCATAATAATTTAATATATTTTAGAATGTATAATCTAAAATATGAAGTCTAGAAAATAATGAAGTAATTATAAAATTAAAATTTTTTAATAAATTAAAAATACATAATTTCTTTACTATTATATTTTGTAATAATGATTAAGTATTATTTAAAGAATAATTAATTAATTTATTAGAGATGAACATTAATATTTGTCATCCTTGTTATCCAAATTATTGAGTCCAATTTTCATACTATTTTAAGTTATCTTATGAAACACTAGGTTTGCATTTAGGAAGTACAGCCAAAAAGTCATTCTAATATTTATATGTAAAGATTTACATAAATCATTTCAGGTACCAATAATTATTAATTTGATAAATCTGTTAATTTAATTTTTTCAGCCATTGGATCAGATTAAGAACAAGCAGTATATTTAATTTAATTTTAAGTTTATACTTTTTTGAAATGAGTTGCTTTTTAAACTACTCTTAATTATTCATAAGATGCATCTCTAATAAGAGTATTGATATCAGATCCTGAATATCCTTCCAATTTTTTAGCAAGATCTTTAATCTAATCTAAAGTTAGATTATTAGGTGTTTTTTTAAGTTAATTTTAAAGTAAATGTAATCTTCCTTCATAATCTGGAAGAGGAATATATATTCGTTTTTCAAATCTTCTTCTTACAGCTAAATCTATACCCCAAGGTAAATTGGTTGCACCTAAAACTAATACTGAATCATTATCTGATCCAATTCCTGAGAATTCAATTAAGAGTTAATTTTTAACACCTTTAAGATTATCTGAAGATCCAGAACTTTCTCTATTACTAGCTAAAGAATCAATTTCATCAATAAAAATTATAGTAGGTTTTTTCTCTCTTGCTAATTAAAATAGTTATTTAATGGATTTTTCTGATTCACCAGTATATTTTGATATTAAATCTGCACTTGAAACACTAAGAAAAGTTCCATTGCATTCTGTTGCACAAGCTTTAGCTAAATATGTTTTACCTGTACCTGGAGGCTAAAATTAAAATTATCAATTAATACTCCATATAATAAGATACCAGTCCAAGGTTTTCGAGCTCCTAAAAATAGATTTGGAAATTATATTGGCATGATAACAGCTTCTTTCAAAGATTATTTGGCCTATTCTAATCCAGCTATATCTTCCCATAAGACATTTGGTTTTTCTTTTAGTATAATATTGTCTAAATTGATTTTCAAGACTTAATTTTCAACTAATTTAAAAATAATTATTACTATTTAAACTTTAATTTTCTTATTATTACTCTTAAATTTTATTCTATTGCTCTATTTGATGTTTTTCAAAAGTAGATAAATATTGTTTCATTTATTCAAGCTCTTGTAAATACATAGACAACTTCTCTTTAGCTAAATTTTAATATTTTTTATTAGTTTCTGCTTTAGTATATTGGAGAAGGTCTATACATCCTTATTTCATAAAATCAAATCCTTTTTTTTTTATTTCATATGTTTTGCCTCCCATATATAGTTTTTTGCCTATTTATAATAATTTTAATGAATATACCTTCATCTATTTGTTATACAGCATTTAATCTAATTTATTCTAATTATGCAGTACTCATAATAATATATATAAATAATTTAATTGAACAAATAATATTAATTTTCATTTAAATTATTTCATTAAATTTAAAAAGGTTAAACAGAATTATCTTATTGTGACATCTCCCCTTATTTTAATTATTAAATTGAATCTTCTGGATAATTTCTTGGTTATTCTAACTGAGAATGTATGATTCTTAGACTTTAATATTTTATAATGAAGGGAGACTTTTTAATTTTTTTGTTAAAAGGACTGCCTTCTGTTTATTTTTATGTCAATAATATTCTTTTCATTTCATTTTCAGAGAATTCTTATCTACAGACAGGACAACTAGTATTTTTTTTAGTCCTTCAATTTATATGATTGTTTACCATTCAGATAAACATTAATCATGAAATATATGATGACATATGGATTCACGTACTAATTCATCTTTCTTATATGCATTCAAACATACACAACATTCCTCATTCATTATTTCAGGTATAGCCTTTTTTATTGGCATATATTCATTTAAAATCTCTCTTTTTAAAGCTGGAACATCTGCTGCTATTACTTTAAATTATCTTCTCAAATGAATATAAATGGATGATATTATTAATAAAGCTAATAGAATGATGCCTACAATCACTAAGATTGCCCATAAAGGAAAGTAATCTTATTGATTGTTTATTTCATCTAAATACATTATTATTTTAGCCTCGGATGTTATATTAAAGTTATAGATTCCAATAACTATTATATAAATTGTCTCATATTCTTATCTCTTTAAATCTACTTTGTATGAGTAAAGCTAAGGTATTACAGTAAAATAGGAATTAAAAGAAGGCAATTCAGTTTAATAAGGAGTACCTGCAAGAACAAAGGATATACCTATGTCAGATTCATTGTTCTCCAAATATAACTAATATTATATTGAAAGATATACTGTATAATCAGTTTTATCAAGCAAATAATACATATAAGCCCAACTCTAATTTGCAATTATAAAGGATTTTGTTGAAACTTGTTCCTATGATATTTCTTTATCACATTTCAAAGAAAAGTAAGGAAATTTACATTAGATCTTAGGATTTGGTTATTCTATGACATAAATTGAGTAATTAAAACTTACTCTGTTTTAATGAGGATATGTACAGATTTATTTATATTAGACATTAATTGTAATTTTGTTAATCTGATTGATATATATATTTTAGTAAGGTAATTTAGAATAAAAAGCATCAGAATCAATTACTTAATATGTTGTGTTGTTTTTATTGTATGATATATTTAATAACAGTGAGTATCTTTAATCTATCGGGAATTGAAGAATTTATAACTTTTATGATTTTATTGATGTTCATACCTGTATATTATAGGAGTTCATTTGATTTAAAGTAATATTCATATAGTTAATTTCTGAATTATAATTATTGGAGTAGAGAACAGACTCACATCTAAAATTTAGTATTAACAATAAAATAAACATATATTAATTATTAAATTATATATTAAAATACAAATAAAGTGAATTCATAATGTTTATATATTAATTTAAATATTGTTATTCTCCTTTTCTTCTATAATAATTAAATAGTTAAATACTAATCTAAATTAAATATAAATATTTCTTAAGATCAAATATTAATATAATAAATAGTATTTATGATTTATAAAAAAATAATTCAAAGTGATCAATTTATAAAACAATAATTAATATTTACATCAATTTTATTTAGTCTTGTTAATAATATCTGATAAAATAGTTGGATCAAGATATTTAGATTTTTAATTAAAATCTTTTTCAAACTTTTTTGTATCATCTTAATCTACTCCTAATTCCAATCTATTTTTATTATTAATTTTTACATTTATTTTATATGTGGTTTTTATCCATAAAGTGTTTATAATTCTGGTGGCAAAAATTCAATGTTCTTTTTAAAAAACATATTTAAATCATTATTTTAAGGGAGATCTCTAATTGGTTAATAAGATTCAAAAGATGGATAATCCAAATATGAGATCAATTTCTATTTAAATTCTTTTAATTATTAAATATTTATCTACCTATTTAATCATCTAACAGTAATTTTTATGCAATACAAAATCTTTTTTCATAAGCTTTTTATATTTATTCTCTAATTTAATTTCCTATTAAAATAAAATTTTCTTTGTCTAATTTATTTTCATAACAATAAGCTTGTACGAATTCATCAATACTAATTATATAAATTGATTATCAATACTAATTAAATGCATTTTCTAAATCCCATTATATGATCTCTTTTATTTTTGATGTATTTATTTGTAAATTAATCATAGAATCATTTTTATCTATAAATTACTCAAATGCTAAAATGTCTTGAATATGTTTATATTTTTTATGATCTTCTATGGCTTATTTTACTTAAAATTTACAATCTTCTATAATTTCTAATTTTATGATTAACTAACTATATTACTATGTGCTTCAATTGCAGTTAACTTTATTACTTTTTTTGGGTACTTTTCTTCTAATAAATCAATTATGATGACAAAGAGATTTCTATATAATTATTCATCTGAATAATCATCTTCAAAGTCCCATAAAATTTATTCTTCTAAAATGGTCTCCTTAATATTCAGTGAACTTAAGGGGATACTCAATTTGATAGGATATAGATTTTGAGCCATTATTTGCATTCCAGGGGGATATGGACATAATTTTATGTTATTTTGTAATTTTTCATTTTGAGTCTTAATTTTGTGAATTTTCTTTTTAATGCAATCAAGTTAAGTGATTGATTCGGATAGTTTTGTGTTCTGCATTAATAACAAAAAATTAAAAATTAAAAATATTTAAAATCTTTTTATAATATCAATTATTTAAAGATATAGCTAAAATGATTGAATAGATTTACATTTACATACTTAAACATCATTAAACATTATATTATTAATTATACTAAAAAATCATTATATTTACACACTTATCTTATATAGTATAACTTTTATTTTCTATTTCCACTTTAAAACTTTACAATTCTAGTAATATTTTCTAAATTTACAATTAAATTCTTATCTAAAATAATCCAATAAGGATTTCATTATATAAAGTTGAGAACTAGTAATAAAGATTTAATGCCTAGATTAAAAATAAAGAAATTATAATTGATCAATTATAAATATGAAAATTAACTTATTCATTATAAATATCAATTACATTATACCAATAAATGTAATTTAGTATTAACACTTAGTCAATCTAATCTTAATATGATATTTTATTATATTATTTAATTTACTAATAAAAATATTATGAGAAAAATAATATAATTATTGCTTGTAGTAATCAAATTAGTTCAAAGTTAAAAAGAATAAGCAAATACAGCATCATATGCAGCATAATAATAAGGAGCAATGGCAGCAGCAATTGCTTAGGCAGCACCTTATGCAGCCATGGGTATTCCAATAACGATCAAACCATAAACACCTCCTCCTCCTCCTGATCCACCTTCAATAGGGACTGAACCAGAGCCTTCAGAATATAATGATCTATTTACTTATTCAGGTTACTTTGATCCTTATAATGATGATGTTCATGCTTTTATGATTAATGGAAAGAGAAGGAAAAGACATAGAGTAAATTGTGGAAGGGATAGAAAAGGAAGATATTGTGATTTTAGACGATCACATCATCAGCATGGTTTATATAATAGAGATTGCATTCATTATGCAGGATCATTAGAAATTTTTGGTGTTTGGTAGTGTGGTTCCAGAAAATAATTATCAACTGGAGCTGTTATAAGATTTTTAGTGGAACTTCATGAACTAGTACTTGCATATAAATAATAAAAAAATGATTATGCAATTTAAAGATTTTAAAGAGTAATGGAATATAATAGAGATCTATATGCTAAATTAAAAAGAGCATTTAAAGCAAATATAAAGAAAAATATTGAATTTGTAATGGAAATCTTAGATAAAACAAATGAATAAATTATTTAAAACTTTTAATAAATTTTAGATATGTCAAAAGAAATCTTGACGGATATAAGAAAAGATAGAGAAGAAGAATTAGAAGAATTAAAAAGCTAGTTATAAGAATTATTAGAAAATTTCCCACCTCCTTCAAGCATTTGTTAATAATTAAGAGAATGTGATTCTTGTTTATCTAGAGATGGATGCATTTGGTGTACTGAAGAATAAAATTGTTAAGAGGGAAATGCAAGAGATGGAGCATTTTTTAAAAGTTGTGATATTTGGGTAAGTGGTTCTGAATGTCCTGAAGAGGCATAATATAATATAGAAAAGAAGGTTAGTTTTAAGGATGAATTGGAAGATTATTATAATTAACCAGATTTAGAATTAGATTAGAAATTATATTTAGCATCAAAGTAAAGAGATATGGTATAATTGAAAAATTAAATTGAAAATAGAAGAGTTGTTATTGATCAAATGATAAGTATAGAAAGAAATTTGAAATAGAGAAGTATATAAATTATTGATGAATTCTCTAAAAATAAAGAATATGATGGAGAATTCTTAGCTAAAATTGTTGATGAGGATGCAGAAGGTTAATGGGCAGATTATAAAAAAGAAACTAAATAATTATTCAAAGAAGATTAAGAAGCAGAAAAATAATAAGATGAAGAAGAACTTGAAAAAAGAAAATAATAATCTGAAAAAGACAAAAAGAGAGAAGAATTTGAAAAAAAAGAATTAGAAAAAAGAAATGAATCTACTGTTATCAATAAATCTAAATATAAGGATAAAACAAGTGTGGAAGATGTATTAGAAAAAGAATAAGGAAAATTAGAAAAATAGGAAGAAAAGTGATTTTACAATTAAAATAATTAATAAACTTATTTAATTAGTTAACTTAAAAAATTCAAAGTATTCTTTATTAAATTATAATTCAAATTAATTGTTAAATAACACATAAAATTAAGACTATTGATATAAAATCAAAAGATTTGTTAAATAAAAATAAAGTTAAAAGTAATCTAATTTAGATTATGTTAAGGTTATCATTTAAGAATTAAATAGTAAATGAATATAGAGTCTCTCAATATTTCAACTTTTAATAAGTTTATTTTGATATTTAATTTAAAATCTATAATTTTTAGGATGAATTATTTTGTTTGATCAACAGAATTATATTATTATGTTAATTATTCAAAAAACTTATAAAAATATTTAAGAAGATTAATCTGATCCTACTTAACTATCTTTATATTAAAATATTTATAATTATATCATCATTTACTATTTATAAAGTAATATAAAAATTCTGTAGCAATACATTTAATATATTATAAGTTAACTCAATTCATTTGGTATAAAAAGAGCTAAAAAAAAATAAAAGTATTATAATTATAGAATCAAATACTTATTTATTATTTACTTTTAAGTTTTAGACGATTTGAACTATAAAAGAATTCATTTTAATTTTATGATTATTTTATAAATAATTCTCCTGTACATATTATGTTTATTTAATTTAGATAGATATAGTATCTATTTAGAATAGTATTAATAATATGATATATTTAAAAAAAAGAATATATATTATTTTATATAACTATTAACCTAAATGCAGTAATAATAATAATAGCAATTAAGATCATCTTAAATTAGAAGACAATCATCAAACAGTGCACTTGATGAGTAACCATTCCTAAAATTTTTGGCTGAAAGTAATTATTTAGAAAGTGAACAATCATCATAAGAAAAACATTAAAAATTAACAAAATGCAAAACTGAACATTCTCTTTAGCCAATTTAGTTCCTCAACTCTAATTCATTTACTGTTAGCGATAAGAAGGTATGTTCAAATAATAAAAATTCTAGTTTTCATTTCCTACAAATGAAATTCTTGAATGGGAAACTCTATAAATAACTTTGCCACCAGAAGTTTATTAATTTCTATTGTATATGAAAACATAATGTAGTAATGGTACTATTGTTTATACAAACGAATAAATATAAGGTTTATTAGATGATAGTAAAGTAATCATGTATATATAGATATATTAAAAATAGTAAAAATTAATTAGAATTATTTTAAAAATTGATTGATAAAGATTGGATATCAAAAACAACAAGATTATTTAATGATATTGCTATTAATTTTTATGCATTATCAGTTAAAAAGTTAACCTATGAAAATTTAGTTTGGGTTATCAGATCCATTAAAAGAGATTTGATTACTCCAACTGAAAGATTAGTTTAAAGTAGAATTAAAGAATGTTATGGTTTAAAATACAATCGAATAGAATGGGAACTTATAATGAATTAATTGAAATCTTAAAAATAATAAATTAAATTCCGTTCATCTAATGGAAAACTTATAGAATTGCCATTACTTTAAGTTAAAAACATTAAGGATCCATTAATATAAGAGGAAACATATGGAATTTATATTTATTAATAAAATTGGATTGTTGAGGATGAATTTCAACCAGAATTAGATAAAAAATAGGAGTGGACTATATTTATAGAATTTTTAATGGACTTTTTTGCTAAAACAAACGCCTAAAATAATAAAATCTTAAAAGGAGGTAGATATGGATGCGCATAATTTATTAAGTTATTAGGACCTAAGAAATTAAGAGAATTATCTCTGGGTAGATTAACATTATATGTCTAAATGGCAGTTAATAAGAATTATATTAGATATAATAAAACTATTTTAATATAAGAAAGCAGAGAGAAATCAGAACATACAACTGATAGTTCTGTTGATGGTGATCCTTAAATTAAATTAAGAGTTTAAGAATTATAAGAATAATTGATAGAATTATTATTGGAAAATCCAGATGGGTATGATATAATAATTAAATAAGAGTGTATCGTTGGCATAAATACCTACATTATTAAAAGAAAGAGTCAATTTTGAATTGAATTTAATAGAATTAGGTTTTCCAAAACTAAAAAATTTTATAGAAAGTGTTAAGGATGTCATTACAATTGAAAATAGTGGTCGAAATAATTTTATTGCTAAATTAAATTATTCTAAATTACCTAAAAAATATTAAAGTATTTCTATTATTTTTAAATTATTAGAAATAAAATAAAGTGAATCATTTACTTAAAAATATATTTATACTGTCTTATAAATGATAAAAAATATTTTGAGTAAACATAAATATGGAATCAGTATTAATTAATTATACTATGATTTATCTTAATAATTAGGAGAATGGTTTAATTATTAAAGATTTTAATGCTAAAGTTTTTTTTAATTTTTATAAAATTATGCTGAAAATATTTTAGTTATTGTTTGTTAGAAAGGGAATTAATATTTAATTTATGAAAGAGATTTAAGATTTTTACCACCTCCATAACCAACTCAAGATATTAATGATCAATAATTTGAATATATATTAAGCGAAGCTTTTTAATGTAGTTTAGGTTTATCAATACCATAATCTAGCTTTTCTAATAGTTGGCTAGGTAAGGTTGGAGATTCATAAATTAGATAAAAATCACCTCCTAGAATTGAAGATTCTCATTAAGAAATTAAAGATAATCTTAAATTTATTGATGAATTATTAGGTATATATATTTTAAAATATTTAGGAAATGAAAATAAATAAAATGATACTTATTCAATTCAAGATTGGTCAGAAAAATCTATGAATCCTTTAGGAATGATTAGTTCAATTAATTATGGTCATAGTGAAATATAAGATTTTGATCTAACAAAGGAATTACAATTCTCAATACAATAATAATAATAATAAAATTAAGATATAAAAAAAAAATGAAATCTTTTGTTTTTATACTAAATTTTTACAATTAATGATAAATTTACTTTTTTATTTACTCATTTAATTTATAGTATTTTAAGAAGAACTAGAAATTTAATTATTATTCTGATGAAATTATAGTTTTAATGATGATAATAATCATTTGAAACATTCTATTCTTTTAATATTTACTTCAGATCAATGATATAATTTATAGTTATAATTATTGTAATTTTAATGAATTTAATTAATATATTAATTAAAAATTTTAATTATTTTTTTTTCAATTAAAAATGCAATAAACTTATTAAATAAAAGAAAATCGAGCTCATTTAATTCATAAGGTAAGAAAATTATTTCCATTTGAATTGAATGAAGAATAAATTACATATTAATCTATAATAGATCTGAATACATTTATATTGAATTAAGAATTTTATGATAATGTTGAGAAATCTAGGAATCATTTATATACTCTATTTATAATTTTTTATAGAATTATAGAATAATTAATTAAAATTTATTAGATAGTTAACATATCAAGATTAAACCAATCTAATATATTAGTAGATCTCTCTAATGAATAATTACCAAATATACACTTTATTAATCTTCATGAAAATGATAATCTAATTTCATTTGATAAGAATTATTAAGAAATAAAAAATATATGTATGCAAGTATTAACAACTCACCAAAATTAATTGATTATGAAAATGAAGGAAATATCAAATCATTCACTTAATTAAGAATTAATTTAATAATAAAAGAATGAAATAATTAAAGAGATCCATTATGCAACTATTTTATCAAACAATTTCCTTGACTTACTATAAAAACATTTTTATTTAAGAGATATTTAAGTGTTTCTTGAATAATAAAATATTTAATTATGTTTGAAGAGTCCATTAAAACAGAATAAGAAAGATGATGTTTTATAGAATTATGATAAATATTGATCAAAAATTAAATATTAAATATTATTTATTGAAATATTTTATATATAATAGATCAAATGAAAAATGTTGATTCTTACTTAGATACTTTATTTGGAGATTTTGCAACTACTAAATGTTTCAAATATGCTCAAAAAATAGTTTCTATTAAATCATAGAAAATTTTCCAAGAATTAGACTCTAATTAGTTATTCATAAATGGAAAGAAATAACATTTAGATTTGTCTTTTCGATCCTAAACTGCTTAAATTTAAAATCCAACAAGGTACTATATCAAAAATAGTAAGAAAGATTGATTGCTTTGGTCAAATTGAAGCTAAAACATATACAAAAGAAGAGATAGACTCTATGAGAAAGGAACGAGGATAGAGAGCATAGATAAAATTAAAATAAATATAAGAGACTTCAGAGAAGAGAAAACATGACTTTATGGAATCTTGGAAAAAGACTTAATAAATTTAACATCAGAAACCATTATATTAAGTATTATAAGAATAAGAGAATGAATTGATAAAATAATAATAACAAATAATATAATAAAAATTAGAATAAATCAAATTAGAAAGGAGACCTTTAAATAAATTAGATTTTGAAGAACATAGAAAAAAATTTTGTGATTTAATTATTTAACCAAGACTTAAATCTAATGAATCATAAATAAATAATTAAAAAAAATCTATTAGTCCTGAGAAATCTATTTACTATTTAAAAATTCAATAGGAAAAAGCTAAATAAAAATAATTAGAATTAGAGAGAAAAAATCATTTAATGGAGTTATAAGAGAAAAAGAAGAATTTTTCAGAGGAAACAAAAAAAAGATTTAAACCAAAGTTAAGTTTAGATAAATAAAATGAGCTATTAGAAATTTAAAGTAAGTTACATCATAGATCTGATTTTTAAAAATATTAAGTTTTAGCAAATAAAATAAGATAAAAAAAGATTTCATATTAAATATAAGACACAGATGAAGAGACTAAATCATTAATTAATTTTATTAAAAATAAAGATTAGAACACTTCATATGATATTGCTAGTTAAGATACTCAATTACCAAAATTTAAACATAAAAGTTTTGTTATTGAAACTAATACTTAGCATTAAAATATGAATTATTGGTAAAGAGTAGCTTTAAATCAAAATTTATCAGTTAAAGATAAGAATCTATTAATAATAGAGGAAGCAAAAAAGTAGAAATAGATTTTAGTTTAGGTTAGAACATTTGGCAAAATAATAAGAGTAATTAGCACGTGTTTCAGGTTATGATTGCTTATAAGCAGACAATCTTTTGATTAGTTCGATTAAAGCAAAGTTAACAGTTTTAGAAAATTGAATTTTTGGTTATAAATAATAACTATATAATATTAGAAACATTTAAATTATTATTTTACAATAACTAAAATTTAATATCATAATAATATTAAACAATTTAAACTTATTAGATAATTATTTTTATTTTATTTCAATGATTTCTCTTTTTTTTTTATTCTATTAAAACTAATCCTGGTTCATTTATTTATTATTATTGTTATTAATTTTATTGCCCTTCCTCTTAGTTCTATTATTTTTATGATTTTTATTTATTATTAGCCACAGATTATGCTAGTAATAAAGCAGCCCAATCAGCATTATCATTCTTTTTTTGTGTAAATTGATCATCATCACGTTAATTAGTTTTTCTTGGATTTTTGGAGAATTTCTTACGTCCTTTAGAGAAAGTTTCTTTATTTATTTCTTCTTCTTTAACTGGTTAATCTTGTTTTTTTTATTAAATCATAAATTTCTTTTCTCCTAAATATGGTGCATATAATAATTTTTTATTTAATTCTTCATGACAAAGTAAACAAACATTACTATACTTAATCTCTTCTTTATCTTTAGTTTTTGTTAATAAATTAAATGTTTTTAACTTAAATATATATAAATAAAATATTACTTAACATTATGCACAAGCATTTTTTGTAATATCAACTTATAAAATGGCAGGAACAAGTTAATAGAGACACCAACATTCATTACATGATATACAAATTTGTTATCCTTTACTAATAAATGGTTCTAAAATAAGTTCACCAATTTTGCAACTCTTGCATTTTCCAACCATCCTAGATTCCTTTGATTTTTCACAATCAACATTTGGACATATATTACAAGTGCATTAATCTGATGTTACCAAAGGTGATTAACTAAAACATTTAGGACAAAGAAGAGTAGTATTGAAAGGAGATTTATTACTAGTACAAAATAGTAATTCAAACTAATAATATATAAATTAATTTTACTTTATCAAATGGACATCTATAAGCTCCATATGCTTTAAATTTACAATCTGGTAATAAAGGATAAGTCTTGATACACTATTTACAGATAGCAGAATTATTTGATTATACTAAATATCGATTGCAATCTCCACATCTACTTAAGATTATTTCTTCAACTTATTATTTAATTTATTTATTGATTCCTTATTGATGGTATTAAATTAATTAAAAATCATTGATTCTATCTCTAAAATGTATATATTTTTTAGTAAAAATTTGTATAACTTCATCTATGACTTAATGACATTTAAGTTTTCCTTTAGCAATTTAATCAACTTAAGATTCTATGTTCGATCTTAATTAAGGTGCAACTAGATCTGGATCAATTCTTTTATAACCTCTTACTAATGATAATCCTAAATCAGTAGGCTTTAATTTTCTAGATTATCCTTCAACTTTAACATATTATCTTTCACAAATATTATTGATATGTGTTGCCATAGAAGCATCAGTACCAATTTTAAATTTATCCATCAAAGTAATTAGTTCAGTTTCTGTTAAATGATCAGGTGGACTTGTTTATCCTTATTAATATTCAACAAAACCAATTTATACTTTGTTATTGGTTACAAATTTAGTTAAATCACTTTTGTTTTCAGTGATTGCTAACCAAGTAGCTATTTTAGTAAATCCTGGATCCAAAATATATTTTGCTTAGTATTTAAACTAATGATCATTTACAATAAATTTTAATGTATGATTTTCATATTTACAATCTTTTGAATGAGCAGCCAAAAACATTTTGACTACATATTCATACATAGTCCTTTCTTCCCCATAAAGATCATTTTATGGTACATTTTCTGTTGGAGTAATAGGTGGATGATCTCCTACATCAACTCCTTATTTTGGATTTGAATGACCATTTGTTTTTAAATATTTACTATGTTCACTAATAAGTGGTTCTTTATATTTCTATAAATTATTAATAATTTTTGGAGTTGGAAATTCATGAGGATATGCAGTAGTTTCTGTTCTTGGATAACTTATATAACCTTTCAAATATAATCTTTCTGCTACATGCATAGCTTATTATGGTCCTAAACCTAAATAAGATGAGGCAAATTTCAAAAGTGAAACTGTATTGATACCCTCAGGTCTAGGCTTTGATTTTTATTCAATTTATTAACTTATTACATCTCCTTACTTATAATTTAGTAATTACTAAACAACTAATTTAGCCTCTTGTTCTTTCCATATTTATTAACCCTATTTTTTTAATATAATAAATACAAGCCATTCTACTTCTTATTTGAATCCTACATTATTCACTATACTTAATTTGATAGTATAAAAAGCTTTAGGTACAAAATTAGCTATTTCTTCATGTCTCTCTACACAAAATCCTAATGTAGGTGTTTAACAAGGACCAAAAGTTACCATTTAATCCATTGAATACTTTTTTTAAAAGTGAAGAGTTTAAAATCTTGAGAATGCTACTCCAACTTTTAAATCTATTATCTATCTAGCATCTACTGATTCAGATTCTAAAATATTTGGACCTGAATTCAATTAATTGTAAGCATATTTCAAATCTGTTTATGTTATTGATGAAAACTTTGCTCTCAATTTTCTAAATAAATTTTGTAAATTAAATTACTTTGCTCTTCCTTATGAATTACATATTTCATCAACTTCAAAACAAATATTCTCTCCTTCTCTATCATTATCCAACCATAATATTAAATAATCTATTCCTGAAGAACATTTCTTTAATAAACCTATTGCTGCTTTATTTGCTGCCTTTTTTATAGTTTTTGCTTAAAATAGTTCTATTGGATCACATGAATTCTTAAATCTATAATTAATAATTACCCAATTTTCATATTCTTTTGGAAAATCTCTAGAAAATAAATGCCCATTAGTTGCAGTCACTGTAAAATTAGCTTATTATCCCTTAAACATTCCAGAAAAATAAAAGAATGCTTATCTACCCTTTTTTGCTCTCACTTTGCTACCAATTGCATATGCAACAGCTTCTGCAATTGAATTTTTTTCTGCCACCTTTAAATTGACATATTATTTACCATTAATATTTTTAAATTGGATCCTTAGTAATTTGTAAATTCTTCATCTTAATAATCATAATCTTCAAAGTCTTCCTAATCTCCATAATCATATTGATCCATCTTTATTAATTAATATCTTTATTTACTTATATATATAAATAATTAATATTAAATGGTTAATATTAATTTATATTATCTATTCATCTCTCCTCATTATAATATTAATTCAAATAATTCCTATTTAATATACAACTACATTTCAAATGTTAAAAATAATTATTATAAATCTATAACAATTAAAATACTTTTAAGCTTTATTGTGTTCTCATAATAAGATTACAAATTTTCTAGTATGCTATTAGATATAATTTTCATTATTCTAAATATTTAAAATATAAATAGAGTTATGATGATGATCTAAGTTTCATAATGTCTTGGAGATATTGAAAATGAAATTGTTGATATTCTTGATTTTCAAGAGAGATCCTCTCATTATGATATACTTAAACAAAATTTACCTAAAATTAGACACGATATGTTTCATTAAGAAATTGTCAAAAAAGAAAAGAATCACTCTATTAGTTTTAGAGATGAAGTTAAATCAAATTATGGATTAGTTGATATTATAATAGTAGAAAATTGGAAAGATTATAATATTATATCAGAAGATGATATTAGAGACAACTGTTCTTGTAATATCTTATGACTCTTTAGAATTAAAATGAGGAATTTTGTAATATTATTAATAATACTATTTTATTCATAATAATTCATCTATACTAGATAGTTTTAGACATTTTTAAATAACAAAATATGAAATTAATCTAAAATAAATTATTTAATGATTATTATTATTTTTATTACTTTAATATTAATTTCAATATAAATTATGTATGATTGATTATTTTTAATTTCTATAATTAAATTAACAAAATGCCATCAAAATTATCATAATTAAAGTATTTTATGATTTTATATATGATGTGAATATTATAATATATTATTTAATTCAATAATGATTCAAAGATGATGTAATTAATAATTGAATCGAATAATATTCTTATATCTATTAGTATTAATTTATAAATTATATATAATTAGAATTAGATATAATTTATACTGTTTCATTATAAATTAATATAAATTTTAATACATAATTTGTAGTAAATCAAGTAAAAATTTAAATTGAAGTAATGTAATAAAAAGAAAACAAAAAAATATATGAATTTTTATTATATTATCACTATTATATGTTATTATATTTAAGGATTATTGTTAAAAATGAGTAAAATATAGAATTATAAAATTTTAATAAAATTATATTAATTATGGAAATTGTAATTAAGGAGGCACTTGTTTTACTTGGAATAAAAGGATAAATGCAAAAAAGTGACTTAATAGAAAAGTTGGAAAAGAATGATTGTCTTCCTGGCTTTGAATCTGAGAAATTAATTGAAAGATTGTAAAGTGTATAAGGAATTTAAATTACAAATGATAAAATTTCATATAAGAAGCTATCAAATAGATTGCATTTGTATATTGAAGACAAAAGTGAAGATAAAAAGTATTTAAAAGTAATGGATGATATATATTAAATAATCTTAAAGGATAAAGATGGATTGAGTTATCAATAAATTTAATAAAAATTACCAAAATCAGGGAAGTTATTGGAATTAAATTAAATATCACATTATTGTAGAAAATTATATGATTTGAATTTAGTGCATATTTCATGCAAGAGTCATTGTAAATAGGTAAAGGCAAGAAAATTTTGTGAATTTTTAAAATGGAAAGGATTTGAAAATGAAGAGGAAGATAAGAATTATGATTAATAACAAAATCATTATAAGGAATTTAATTTCTATTAAAATCTTTGGCTTAATTTATAAGAACCATTACTTGAATCAGAAGTGAGATAAAGAATGAATAAATGTGAAGAAAGTAAATCCTTTTCAAGATTGATTGATAATTTATTTAAAGTAGAATAAGATCTAAATTAAGTTGCAGAAAGAAGAGGCAAAATATTTATGTATAGATATAAAGCAAAGGAACCTATAAAAAAATGGCCATATGTTTCAACAAATTAAAAAGTAACAATTAGAGGAACTTTGGTTGTAAACTTTGATCCTTAAGTATTATCAGATTTACAAAGATTGCTTTAATAGAAAGGATATGTAGTGGAGTAAGATAATTATAAAATTGGGGAGTGTTTAAATAATGTGAATAATAGTTAATTGGATATTAATAATGATAAGAAATAAAAAGGTTAAAGGAAAATATAAGTGTCTTAATAGAAAATTAATAGATTTGCTTGTATTTGCAATTATTTACTAATTGAAAAAATAGCAACTGTTAAAAAATTAAAAGATTAAATAATAGATAGTGAAAAAGATGAAAATAATGGTATTATTGATACAAGAACGATACATTCATTATTAAAGACATTAGAAACTATTGATTTTTTAAAGATTCATATAATAAAAACTATAATAGTTTAGAGAGAATGTGATCGATGGCTAATATCTCATTGGAGTGTTAATGAACAAGATGAGAATGTTTAAAAGGGATTATAAAAATTGAAAGAACTCTAAAATGATAAACCATAATAAAATAATTACCTAGAAAGTCAAAGTCAATCAAAAATTGTAGCTAAAAATAAAGGAAATTAATAATAATAATAATAATAATAATAATAATAATTATAAATAAATATTGAAAAAGAATAATAAATAGAAAGTGATGAAAGTCATAAAATTTATTAAAGTGAAGAAGATAAAGGTTAATATGAAAAAATTAATGCAAAAGAATATAAAATTAAATAAGCTACTCAAAAACTCAATTCAACCATTAATAAAATAAATAAGAAGGATATGAAGAAAGCCTTTAAAAAATTAAAACCTAATTATGATGTAAAGATTGCAAATGAAATCTTTTAGAGAGTCAATCTTTAAGATAGTTCTATTGGAGCATTGCTAGGGTTAGAATAAAAAGTTTATAATTAAATTGAATGTACTAAATCATTTTCATATTTGGATGAATGGGAAATAGATACAAGGTAATTAAATCCATTAACATATATTTAATATTCAAATTTAAGTGATTAATTAACACCATTAGAATATAAACATAATAAATAATTCAAAAAAAATAATGTAAACTATGAATCATAAAAAAATGCTGCAGAAAAATTAAAGAATTATTTATTAAGATATCCCAATTAGAGTTTAGGTAAATTAATGCATATTTTTCCAAATATCAATATTTATGCATTACTTAAAAAAATGTTATTGGATAATACTATTGAAGTACTAATATATAAATTTAATTAATAGATTAAAATCTTAACTAATAAGAATTAGGATCTAGATCAAGCATTGGATTAATATACAATAGATTAAATTAAATACAGGATAACAGAAAATTATTTAGGATATTTTTGAGTTGATTTGTTATATTTAAAATATAAAACTTTCTTATTTCTTAATTACTTAGAAATATCAACGTTAAATATGCAACCTTCTAAAGATAATCAAAAATAATTTAATTAAATTCTTAAGTAATGTATTTCAGGTTTCAATTAGAATATCAGGTTTAATAAAATTTTATAATTATTTGCATATTATTTTAGATATTATAAATGAATAGAAATGAAAAGCAAATCGAACATTACCGTTACAATTATAAGAAAGGAAAAATTGGAAAAGGCTCCTATGCTACTGTCTACAAAGGAGTTGATACTAATTCAAAGTAAAATGTTGCCATCAAATAAATTCATAAGGCAGATCTTCAAAGTGCAGGTTCTATCTTATTTATATTAACTTAGATGATGAAGAACATTTATTGAATGAAATTAACATGCTTAAGAGAATTAAAAATCCAAATATCATAGAAATACTTGATGTTCTTTAAACAAAAGATCATTATTATATTATATTAGAATATTGTAATCTTGGAGATTTAGATTCTCTAATTAAATAGAAGAATATTATCAAATTAGAAGATCATATAACTTTCCTATAGGACATCTTAAATGCCTTTACAACATTAATTAGATAAGGAATAGCACATAGAGACCTTAAACCAGCAAATATTTTAGTTCATTAAGAAGGAAAAAGAAAGATCTTTAAATTAGCTGATTTTGGTTATGCAAAGACAATATTCAATTATAATGCATAAATATTAAAGAGTAATTTGGGAACACCTGCATATATGAGTCCTTAATTACTTAAAGAAGAATAATATACAACAAAAAGTGATATTTGGAGTTTTGGGATAATTTTATATTAAATTATATTCAATACTCGTATATTTTTAAATTATTGTAGTACCTTGGATAGGAAAATCAGAAAATGATTTAGTTTAAAACATACTAAGTATTCCTATAACATTTCCATAAAATCCAAAAATATCGACAATATGCCAAGATTTAATTATTAATTGTTTATAAGTTAATGAAGATAAGAGATTAAATTGGGATGATTTATTTAGGCATCCTTATGTATGTAGCTATTTTGGAAAAGTTGATATTATATAGAATAGTGGTTTAAAAAAGATTTTTATATTATCTTAAAGTCTAAGATAGAAAATAGGATCAGAAGAATAAATGGATTAATTATTAATAAATTTAAATATCTAAGATAAGTTATGTTAATTAAATGTTGAAGAATTCAAGAATCTTATTAAATAAATAAATTAAAGTGAGAGTTTAAGTGAAGATGATATATAATGTTTATTTTAAGAATTTTAGATTGATGGGAAAGTAAATTATAAGGAATTTAAAACTTGTGTATTTTATAATCATCCAAAGAGAGTGAAAATAGTAAGACATTTGTCAAATTCAAATATTAAAATTCTTGCCAAATTAGCCTTAGCTCTAAAATAATATAATATTAAAGAATTATTTGAGTAATTTGCTACAACTAAAAAGGATGCTTTAGAGAGACATCAATTTTCAAAAATGATTAAGATGTTTGCAAATACAAATTCATTAACAACCTAAAATGTAATAATTGACTATAGTATTAGATAAAAGAAATAATTGATTTTTTTGATGATAATGGAGATGGAATGATTTAAATTTCTGAATTCAATAATGTTTTGAGATATGTACAATAAATTGATAGAACTCCTAATAGTGATAATAGATTGGATACAATAACTGAATTAGATGAGATTTCATTTATTCAAGATAATGACAGTTTTAGAAACATAAATGAAAATTTTGAAAGAAGATCAGATTAAAAGATCAGTATTTGCAAATGTATTACTTTTTGATTTTAATCTCATTTAATTTTAAAATAAGTTTGAATTTTAAATGAATCAATTAAACTATTTATTATTTTAGAATATAAATAATTTTTAGCCGATTGAAACAGTAAGTTCTAAATTTAAATTATTTATGAATTAAGAAAATGAATTTAGTTTTGTTACAAAAAAAAAAAGAAAGAGATTTTAATTTAAAAGAACAAAAAATATAATGATAAATTACGCATCAAGACATTTCTATTTCGCCATATTCTAGCAATCTCTTTTCATATACTAGATATTATTGTTCATCAATAAACAATTCATAATTCATATATTCCAAGAATTCTTATTCTAATCTGTTTATCTCTTTTACATTTATTCCCCCAACCTTTGCATAGTAATCATTCTTATAATAATCATCATCTTAAAATTTAATCGCAATTACAATTGCTAATAGCAAGAATCTATAAAAGATTTATTAAAAATTGACATACCTATGTATACAATTGGAATTTAATACTAGATATGAGTGTTTCTCTTAAAGTCTGTCTAAGTATATTAGAGCTATGACAAAGCATTATTCACTGCAATGTGTATATTTGCTTATTCTTTGCAAATAATTGTAAATTGAGATTGCTGGAGCTGCTATTGCATGAAAGATTGAATTTGATTCTAATTCAAGAGAATCAGTTTCTTTAATTATTTCATCTAAAATGTTTGAGATTGTCAAAAGTATTGGGTTCGACTGCTGCATTAATTTTATATATACAATAATATTAATAATAAAAATATCCTTTTTTTATCAAAAATGCTCTATTGACAATCGCAATCATAACTGGACATTTTTGATATCACTCAACTATTCTTCAATGACATACGTTACTAAATCTTAAATAAGTTTATTCAACCAGATTCTAATAAAAATTGTAAGACATTAAAATTTGAGGAGATAAATACTGTATGAAAGCTACATTAAGAAATTACCATATTGAACTCAATCTCAGTATATTACATCCTTCATGATAATGAATTATGAGTGTATTTTTACAATGAAGAATACAAATATTTGAATTAAAAATCTTTATTAGGTTATCATTATAGTAGGTTATCTAAAACATAGAAATAAATTGAAACAATTCTACATAAATATAGATAATCCTTGACCTTTAGATACTTTTAAGAGAGATAGACATTTCAAATTTCCCATTAAGTATAATATTCTATAACAATTTACTGCTTAATGGTTCCATTTGTTAATAAATAAATCTATTATTTTACAAGTTCTATCATTTCAATATTTAATAAATCTTGTTTTTTTTTAGATATACAACAATTAAATCATAATAAGGTTCCAAAAACTTTTATTTTTAATAGATTTCAATATAATTTTATAAGATTTCATTTTAATTAGATTTTATCTACAAATTTTATAATATTTAGGATACTCTAAGTTTACATCAAGATTTGATATGTAACTTAACCCTTATTTGATTACTATTCTCTTAAATTGAAAATGAATACAAAATGGTTGCTACTTTAGTATATTGGGTCTTTTATATGAATTTGTTATATATATTTATGAAATTATCTTCAACTATTCCAATATGATTATGTAATCAGTAAAACCTAAATTATCATTAATATATTCATATTAATTTATTTCACTTTAAGTTTATATTTATAAGCAATCTATTATAGAATTTCCTTTGTTTCTAAATAATACTTTATTTTAATATTTATAAATCTTGTTCGAATCAAAGTATTGCTGGATGTAATTTATACATTTAAGTATTATTGTTTAATACTAAATATTACCATTATTTAATAATATCTAACAATAATTGAAGATGTTCAAAGATTTCAGGATAAATAATTTAGCAATCAATTATAAAAAATTGAAATTATTTTGCTAATCTTTCTTAAACTAAATAAGGAAGGACTTTTTCAATTGTATCATTTTTATATAGTTTTGTATTGTAATCTTGTTAATTTATGAACTTTTAGATAAGTTTAAAGGTAGTCTAATTTAGTAATTTTATAATTCTTAATATTTAATTCTTATATATCATAAAAATTAAATTAATTATAATTATATGAGTTTAGTATATTTTTTATAATTGATTTTCAATCACTATATATTTATAATAATAAAATAAAGATATAGAAGATCATTGTTATGATTATAAGAGTAAATTTATAGTTTTTATTGTATTTCTATTGTAAGTTTGAAATGAGAGCAATTCCTCATGTTATAACTAAATTTAATATTTGAAATTACTTCATCTATCAACTCTTGATTATTGAGTAATACTCTTGGCAAAGTATTATCAAATCGAAGTATGAAATATTTGGTAGTCTCAAAAACCACATCTTTTAAATCTTCATACTAAATTATTATAAATTAAAATACTTCTATTTTTTTATCAAAATTTAGATACAAATCTGATTATTTTATGAATTATCTGAATAATAAATTATATTCATGATTTGAATAGAAAAAGTTTATAATTTCTAATTAAGAAATTGCAATAGTTCTATAATCTTGAAATATTTGTAATGATTTTGCTATAACTAAATAGATTAAACTTAAAGCAGTTAATTTTTCATTTTTCTTATATTTATAATCTATAAGACACACATCAAACAATTACACCAATTCTCTATATCTATAATAAGATTAATTAGTTTTATCTTTAAATAATACATTTAGTTCTTTTGTAATAATAAATTCATCCCATAATTTTGTGTAATAATTCAACCAAAATATAGGAGTATTTGGATTCATTCTGAAATCAAGGCATTTTAAAATTGATACTTCCATTTCCTCCATATCTTTAATAGTATATTAATCTTATATAAGTCGATGAAAATCTTTTAAGGCTTTTGGATATATTTCTTCACATTTATGAGCTGTAAAAATGGCTACAACTCCAAGAAATTAGAATTTAGTTATTGAAATATTTGGTTATCTGTGAAGAAATCTTTCAATGTAATTTATAGATAAATAAAATGTCTCCCTTTTAAAATGGAATGAATGAGCTACTTCAATCAACCAATCAAATAAAATAGCCACCATATGACTTTAAATTTCATTCTAGTTTTTTAAGTAATTTTTTTAATAACTATAAATTTCTTCAAATTTTACTTATTATCTCATAAATTCAATCAAAGTATCTGACTCATTATCTTAATTATCTTCTAAAAGGTTATTAACAGTAAATGAATATAAATCTTTTGAAAATTGTTCACAAATCAAATTCTCTTACTTTTATGAATTTAATTATTGAATTCTATTTTATGTGAAAGGAATTTCTTCAATCATTATAAGAGAAATAGTTTTCTCATTCTTAACCTTTTTAGTTGTAGTTTACCTATATTTGATATATTTATTTAATACTCTTATTAACATGCCGCCTAATTGGATTTTAAATTAACACTATTACAATTGTTTTTGTCTCTTAAATTTCTTTATTTTTAACACTTTTTAGGTCTACTTATTTACTTTTTTGCATTATTTTACATATATATTCTCCTTTATTTACAATTAAAATAAATAATAACCAAATTTTTGGGATTGAAAGTTATTTAATGAAATTAAATTTACTGAAAAAAGTAAAATTATAATCTCTATAGACTATGTTAACTAAAATCAAGTTTTAAATTATGATTCATGAATCTTCTGATTGTTTATTAATATTCGTATACTTATTTTATGAATTTATCAAAAATATTTAAAGAGATGAGAGAATTTCTAAATAATTATTTATAAATGATTTCATTTTGATATTAAATTAACTCTCTTTTTATGATAAATTAATATGGATAATATAATAATTCATTTTTATTATCATCTAAAGATCTTTAATTTAACTTAAGAAAGTATATTTGACAAATATTTATATTTTAACAAAAACAACTCAAAATCATTATCCTCTCTTTTATTTTTTGAATTTGGCAATGATAGTTTCAATTTCATTAGGTGGAACTGGATCATGTCTTTTGTATTCTAGTGAGAATTCTCCTTATCCAGATGTAAAACCTCTTAATTCAGTTGCATATCCAAACATTTGAGACAAGGGAACATCAGCATTTAATACAAACATATCTCCTCGAGATTCAGTATTTGTAACAGATCCTCTTCTTTTGGCAATACCAACCATGGCCTATTAATAAGAAGGAGCTGGGACCATAATTTCAACTGCCATAACTGGTTCTAAAATTTCAGGTCCAGCTTATCTAAAGGTTTAAGCAAATGCATATTTAGTTGCTGTCATAAAAGCATTTGAAGATGAATCCACAACGTGAGTTTCACCACCTTCTAAAACAAATCTAACATTAACAACAGGATAACCAGTCAAAGGACCTTTGTCTACTGATTCATAGAATCCTTTTTCAACAGCAGTAATATATTCATTAGGTATACTAGTACCAATAACATGATTTTCAAATTAATTAGAGAATTAACCTTCTTCTAATTATAGTGGTTCCATATATCCAATAACTTTGGCATATTGACCAGCACCTCCTGATTACTTTTTATGTAAATAATCAAATTGTTATTTTTATGTGATAGTTTCTCTATAATTAACAGTTGGTTAACCTAATTGAACATCAATTTCGAATTCTCTTCTCATACGTTCTGCATATATTTACAAATGTAATTCACCCATACCAGAAATAATAATCTCTTCACTTTCTTTATCCATATCAACATTAAAAGTAGGATCCTCCCTTTAAAATTTAGATAAGGCTTTTTAAAATCTTGCAGAATATTCCTTTTTAGTAGGTTTAATAGATAATGACATGACTGGTTATGGAACAAACATACTAGAACATAAAACTTAATAATTCATATCTCCATATACAAGAGTATCACCACTTGAACAATCTACTCCAAAAACTGCAAAGATATCTCCAGCTTCAACATCATTAATTTCTTCCATTTAATTTGCATGCATTTTAGCCATACGAGCAACTTTTACTCTTTTCTTTGTTTTCATATTATAAACATAATCACCTTTCTTTAATTTACCTTAATATACTCTAACATATGTTAATTATCCAAATTTATTTTCTTCTAATTTAAATGCATAACCAACAAATGGTAATTTAGTATCTGTTTTAAATTCAATCTTTTTCTCTTCTTTCTAATCTTAAGATATTTAGAATCCAAAGTTTTATTTTTCTTCTGGAGCAGGTAAATAATCTACTACACCATCCAAAGCCAATTAAACCCCCTTATTTTTATATGCACTTCCCATAAATACTGGATAAAATTTATGTTCTTAACAATTCTTTCTAATAGATGACTTTAATTTCTCTTCACTAATTGGTTACTCATTCAAATATAAATCCTCTATTTCTGGATCAATACTTCCTAAAGTTTCAATCAATTCTTATCTCTTCTCCTTTGCTTCCTCTAAATATCTCTCTGGAATTTCTGTTTCCTTTACATCCTCTCCTTTCAATCCTTCAAAGAAATAAGCCTTCATTTTAATCAAATCTACTAATCCATTAAATGTTTAATCTTATCCGATTGGTATTTATACTGCTGCTACTGTTAATGACAATCTCTTTCTAATACTCTATATGGCACTCCAAGGATTTGCTCCCATTCTATCCAATTTATTTATGAATATGATTCTTGGCACCTTATATCTAGACATTTATTTATGAACTGTCAATGTTTATGGTTGGACTCCTGCCACTCCACAAATCAGCAATACTCCACCATCAAGCACTCTTAATGCTCTTTCTACTTCTATAGTAAAATCAACATGTCCTGGTGTATCAATTAAATTAACTTAATGTCCTTTCCATTTCAAATGAGTTGCAGCACTTTAAATTGTAATTCCTTTTTCTTTCTCAAGTTCCATAAAATCCATTGTTGCACCAGCTGAATCTGCTCCTTTTACTTCATGAATTTCATGAATTCTTCCACCATAATAGAGTACTCTCTCTGAAAATGTTGTTTTCCCAGAATCTATATGAGCTGAAACACCAATGTTTCTTATTAACTTGTGCAAAGGTTGACTAAACCAAAACATAGGAGTTCGCATAAATGACTTGAATCGGAATATATTATTCATCTCTTTAATTTTTACGAGAATTAAAAATTTAATTTAATTTTTTCTTTTTTTTCTTTATCTATCCATCCTAATTCAACACTTTATTCTTAATAAGAAGTCTAAACTTATTTATTCATCTTAAATGTATTAATAATAAACTTATTTAAATAACAAAAAGAATTATCATCCCTTTAATACATTAAATGATATAGAAGTAAAGTAATTGCTTATCTAAATTTCTTAAATATATATAAAATTTTATTTTATATAAACTAGATTTTGTTATTTTATTATTAAAAGATAACTAATAAAATAGTTTAGAACTAAAATTTATATTAAATCGTTAAATAACTATAAATTATTATAAAAAATGTATTTACCACAAAACTACGCGGGATATAAATTTTTAAATATATGATATTATTAATGATAATTAAGAATCCTTGATGAATGGAGTATATTATATGTATAAATTGTTTAGTTCATAATATCACACAGCTAAATATTTAAGTTGACTTATAAAAAAATATGTTTAAGGTGTTATTAATTTTAAAGATTTTTATTAGTAATATTATAATCATGATACAAATTCTTCATCTAAGGTTGATTCCATATCAAAATTTATATTATCTAAATTGGCCAACATTGATTTTTCATATACTTTGGCATCATGTTCTTGTTCTTCTATTGCTTTTTGATCTAACTAAAATTCTAAATATTGTTCATCTAATATTAGTTAGATAATACCAACAATATTGCATTACTCATCAAATTATTTTATTAAATCATCATATTCTAATTTGGCTCGCAAATCTCTAATGTTTTCAAATGTTTTAAATCTTATTTACTTTAAGTGCTTCTATGCATTTAATTCAATTTTCTATGATTAAATGTACAACATACCAGCTTTGTTATCTCCATAGTTTTTTCTTCCATTTTTATGTAATAATTAGTTTAAATATTTTTTAAATAAAAAATAAATCCATTATTTTTGCATGGTTCAAGTTAAGAGATAAGATAGAAGAAAAGTTTATGAATACTTATTAATGGAAGGTGTTATTGTAATTAAGAAGGTATATAATTAATTATATGATTATAGGACATGGCACTCCCAAAGCATGAAGAAACAGGAGTTAAGAATCTTGAAGTCTGGATGTTATTGAGAAGCTTAAGAGACAAGAAATTAGTGGATTTAGTATTTTCATGGCAATATTACTACTATTATCTCAAAGCAGAAGGTGTAAAATATGTAAGAGATAAATTGGGTATTTTCTTTAAATTCTACATTTTCTTAGGTATTGTAGAAGATGTCATTCCTGCAACATTCAAAAAGGCTGATAAGAAATTTGAAGATGATGCTCCTGAAACTAGATAAAGAGGTCCCAAAGGAGGAAGATCATTTGGTAGAGGAAATAGAGGAGCTCCAAGAAGAAATGAAGAAACTGAATAGCCTGCCTAATGAGTATAATTACATAAGTATATTACATTATCCATCTTTTTTTTTTGTTATTCTATATTAATAAAAGTAAAGAATTCTTTAATAATATAAATATATTCAAGAACCACAATTTAGGCAAACCTCAACTTCATCACCATCTTCAGTAACAATAATTTAAGGTTTTCCCTTTTTAACTGTTTTTCCTTCATTAGTAACAATCTTTTTAGATGCACTTTCATCAATCAACTCTTATTTTGATTATTATTATGATATTTTTATTTGTCCTCCTTCTTTCAATAGTGCTTCAACATCTACTGTAAATTTTATGGGATCTGCTGCAGGTCTAGTTCTTAGATAATACATTCCTATATATAATTATATATAATAGATACCTGTTTTTAATCCCTTTTCCCAAGCATAGAAATGCATAGAGGTTACTTTAGACATTGTTGGTTCAGCCATGTGGATATTTAAAGATTGACTTTAATCAATAAATGGAGCTCTGGAAGTGGCTAAATTTAATATAGCTTTTTATGAGATTTCCCAAACAGTTTTATATAATTATTTGATATTATTTGGAATTTCTTCTATATTCTAGACTGAACCATTATTCATGATTAATTTATTCTTGATTTGAGGTGTCCATAAATTTAATTCAATCAAATCATCAACTAAATGAGGATTGATACACACAAATTCTCCAGCCAAAACTCTTCTTGTATAGATATTCGTTGTATATGGTTCAAATGATTCATTATTTTATAAAATTTAACTTGTTGATGCTGTTGGCATAGGTGCAACCAATAAAGAATTTCTCATTCCATATTTAAGAATATTCTATTTGAGAGTATTCCAATCATATAATTTTGGACTAACACCCCACATATCAAATTATAAAATTCCTTACTAAGCTGGACTACCTTCAAAAGTATCATAAGGTCCTAATTATTTTGCTAATTCTAAAGATCTTTAACATGCTCCATAGTAAATTGTTTCAAATATTTTTGCATTTAATTCTAAGGCATCTTCTGAATCAAATGGTATTTTCATTCTTTGTAAAGCATCTGCAAATCCTTAAACTCCAATACCAATAGGTCTATTTCTTTTATTACTGTATTCTGCTTATTTAACAGGATAAAAGTTCAAATCAATGATGATATTAAGATTTGTTGTGATTATTTTTGTAATCTCTAATAACTTATCAAAATCAAAAGTTTTATCTTCTTTGATTAACTTTTATAAATTAATACTAGCAAGATTGCAAACAGCAATTTCATCTGGTGATGTAAATTAAATGATTTCAGTGCATAAATTACTACTTTTTATAGTTCCTAGATTCTTTTGATTACTTTTTTAATTACAAGAATCTTTATACAGCATATATGGTAATCCAGTTGATATTTGAGCATCAATTATTTCTTACCATAATTATCTAGCCTTCATTGTTACTCTACCCATATTTTTGGATTCATATTCAGTATATAATTTATTGAATTCTTAACCATAACAATCTTAAAGACCTGGACATTCATTTGGACACATCAAAGTCCAATCTGAATCATCTTTAACTCTTTACATAAATAAATCTGGTATCCATAAACCTAAAAATAAATCTCTTGCTCTTTATTCTTCAATTCCATGATTCTTTCTCAATTATAAGAAACTTATAATATCACTATGCCATGGTTCTAAATAAATAGCAAAAGATCCTTTTCTTTTGCCTCCTCCTTAATCTACATATCTTGCTGTATCATTAAACACCTTCAACATGGGTACTAACCCATTACTTATACCATTAGTTCCTCTTATATAACTATCTTATGATCTTATCTTTGATACACTTAATCCTATGCCTCCAGCTGATTTACTTATTAAAGCACATCTCTTGAGAGTCTCATATATACCTTCAATTGAATCATCAACCATATCTAATAGAAAACATGATGACATCTAAGGATAAGGAGTTCCACTATTAAATAATGTTGGAGTGGCATGAGTGAAGTACTTCTAAGACATTAAATGATATGTTTAAAAGGCTGATTGTAGATCCTCTTTATGAATACCAATACTGACTCTCATTAATAATTATTATGGTCTTTCTATTGGCTTTTTTCCTTCCTTAAGTAAATAACTTCTTTCTAAAGTCTTAAAGCCAAAAAAGTCATACTAATAATCTCTTTCATAATTTATCTCTTTTTGTATGATATCTTTATTATCCATTATTATTTTATAAACATCATCTGCAATCAAAGGAGCTGGCCTACCATATTTATCCTAGAATTTTGAACAAAAAATTTACTGTGAAAGAATGTAATTTTGTTGCCACTTCACTAAAGGATTCACTTGTTTCCTTATGAAGGTTGTTGACTGCTATTCTCGCAGCTAATAAAGAATATTGTGGATGAACTAAATTCATATAGGCACATGTTTCCGCCGCCAAATTATCTAATTATACAGTTGTTATTCCTAAAATAAATTCTTATTATATTAAATACCTTCATACATTCCCTGAATAACCTTCCACATTATTAGGTTAATATTGATGTGTTACAGATTTGATGCTAAATTTTATAATCTCTCTGCTATTTTTTAAATATCAATATTTTATTTTCCTCCATCTCTTTTTAAAACATATGATATATTTTTTTATTTAGCCAATTCTTATAAATGTTCAAAAGAATAATCATGATCTTGATCCATTTTTTATATATTAATATATTTTTAAACTAGTCTTTTTACTTTATATTATACAGTATTTGGCTCCAAAAGTTTTAGTTTGAAAATTATTATATTATATTGTCAATAACGTTAACCTGGAGAAGTGAATCCACTACTATATGTCAACTAAGATTCCGACAAGTCCCTTGGTTCTATGTCAACCTCTTATTATGGTTTATAAAGGGAAAACTGTGATGATGATCCTGGACTATAATATTGTTACTATCTTTAGAATTATCCTGTGTTGTATGCTAATATAAATATTTATTTGTACTTGAATTGTTCTTATTTTCAACTTCTAAATTGATTTAATCTCTTATTTATTAAGTTCTTTTGAATATTTCCTATTCTCTTTCTCTCAACATAGATTGTAATTGTTCATCATGTTCTCTTTCTCTTATATTCTACATTTCATCTCTTAATTGATTTCTTAATTAATTTATCTTTTCTCTTTCATCTTCAACCAACATTGAAGGTGAAAATTATTACTATTTCTGACTTGATTGAAAATCATACAATGCACTTGATAATTTTTAACTAGTCATTGGTTCTCTCACATCACCTGAACTTTATTCAAAATTATTTTAATAATTACTATTTTAATAGTAATTTGGTTAATATGGTTAATTTGAAAAACTTTATGATTTCTTATATTATTCCATTAATTACTATTCTTACATTCTTAATTTCTCTTAATGTTATTTAGATATTCTATCCATTTCTTATTCAAATTGTTATCTTCTTTATATACTACTTTATCTTTTTTTATCTTCAACTTATTTTTTGTCTCTCAATTATAATTCTTCTTTACTGATTTAATCTTAAAATAATTAATCTCTTAATTTTTTTTCTCTTTCTAACTAAATCATTTTTAAATCTTATTAAAATTAATGTATTCTCTCTTAATACTCAACTTCTTCTAATTAAGCTTCATTTTCTAATTCTTATAATTATTACATTCTTAATTATTTCAATTATTCAACTTTTATTTATTATTGTTGAGAATCCATTTTCCATTATTCTTATTTAATTTAATCTAATAATTCTTTTTCCTTTTATCTAAATTCTAATTGAGATTAAATTTTTCTTTGATTTTCTTACTTTGCTCTTTATTCCATTTAATTTTAAAATTTACTAAATATTTAATATTCTAAATTTTATAAAGCTTCTTCTTCTTATAAAGATACAATCCTAAAATTGTCAGCCAATTGAGTTTTTCTGAATTATTTATTTAAATATTCCTATTCTTATTATTACAAATCTAATTATTTTTTGACTGCATCATTCATATTCTTCTCTAAATTTTCTAATTACTTAATTCTTTATTATCTAACCTATTGATCTTATTAAAATTATTTTTAAGCTCTCATTTCAACTTAATAATCAAACATTTCTTATCTATCTTTTTCAGCTTACATAGTCAAGAGTTATTTCTCTTAAAAGAGTTAATCCAATTATTCCATCTATTGAGCCATTTATTATAATCTTGAAATTTATTATTATTTTTATATCAATCTTTATTCATCTTCTTATAATTATTCTCTCACTCTTGCTTAATATTAGACACTTCCTTTTGGATAAATACTAAAAAGTTAATATTAATCCTTTTATAATGGCAATAAAAATTAGAAATTAATCTAATATTAATCCATATCTAATGATTTGCTTAAATTTATTGTACTCTCTATAAGTTTTTCAATTTCAACTGTATTACTTCTGCCAAAAAACAGATCTAATTGATCTTAATCATTCATTTTCATAATAGTACTTTAAAAATAAATAAAGTATTCCACCATGAATAATACAATCATTTAAGGTAAATCATTATATAATATCAAATGATCTATTAATTACATCCATTAATTCTTAGTCAATAAATTTGTATATAATTATCTTATAGATGGCCAAGCAAATTTAATTGGTGAATATCCTAAATATTATTTCATATGTTAATATAATTGAGGTTCTACTTAATTAAATACTTGATCATGAAATTATAATAAAGAGATAGGAGCATTAGGGAAATTTTCAAAAAATCTTTGACAATGTTATATCAATAATGAGAGTGTCACTTCAAATATTAATAATTCTTCTCCTCTTTTAAACAATTTAACAAATGGAAATACTAATTAAGGCAAATAATCAATTTCAGCAAATAAAGGACAATAATATGCTAAACAAGATAAAGTTCTTTATAATCTTGAAAACATAGATTCACTCTATAAAGGATATTGATCAGCTAATTTTTAATAAGCTGGATGGATTCCTTAATTAATTAAATTATTATAAGCTTCTTAATTCATTGGTAAATTAAGTAAAGATCTCCAAATCAAACTTCTTTTATCATCTGGAAATATATGATATTACTTTAAGAATTATTGTAATTTCTAATAATTTAAAAGTTCTTTCAATGGATCTTCACTATTCTTATAAATTTTTCCTAAAGTATAAGAATTAATTGGTTAACTCATACTATTAGATTTACTGTTTTTTTTACTGACAGTTGATTATGAAAATGATCCTTATAAAGTATTAGTATTATTTCCAACTTTCTTAATATCAATATTTGTTGTTGTATTATTAAAATTAAGAGTATCTGCATAATTTTCTTTGATCATAGTACTTACATTAACACCAATAGTTGAATTAAGATTCTAATTCTACTTGTTTAATTTATTAAGATCATAAAGAGCTATCTCTCCTGTATTTAATATTATAGCAATCTTATTTTGATATACATCAAAGTGAGTGGGTGTTTTCCCTTATAATATTTCAATGCATTTTATAAGATTGCCACTACTATCTATTTAAATAATCATAAAATTCTTAGTTAAAATTAATATTTATTATTTCTTAATTGGTTTAACTAATAATACACCATTACCATATCCTTAATTTACATCTTAAGATATTAAATTATTTTGATTATCTAAGATATAAAGTTTGTTAGAATAACAATTAATTATCAATCTTTATCCATCAATAGATGGTACTAATTAACATTATTTGATATTAAATTGTTCAGGTAATTAGATTCTACTAATTATTTCAAATGATGATAAATTCCAAATTGATAAAGATTTATCTGCCATAACTGTGGCTAATTCAGTTGAAGAAGGTAAGAAACTGGCTCCTACAAATATACTTCCTTTTGAAAATAATGAATGAACTTTATCAAAGGAGTCTAAAGAATGTAATATACATTAATCTTGACTTACAGAAAGTAATAAATTTTAAGTGTGATTGGTATGTAAACTTATGATTTGATGTTCATGACCTTTAAGTGTTTTCAAATTTCTTCCATCTTAATTTTTAGAATAGAAATATACTTTAACAAGACACAATTTGAATAGTTTTATTTTACAATGCAATTGCTAATTAACCTCCTTTGTTGTCTATATAAGATATCAATTGGGCTGGACTAATTGTAGGAATGTTAATGTATCTATTTTTGTCATGATAAAAAATGAATGGATTTCCTGATTAATCTATACAAACCAAAAAATCAAAATAGTAAACTATTTTTGGTTGGCTTTTCAATTTAATCAAATCGATCAAACCATTGATTGTTTATCCTTCTGGATTCATTAACGATCCATTCTTTACTGCTAGTGTATGTAACTATTAACCTTTGTTTTTCATATTAATTTAAATTTTAAAAAGTAAGTTATACTCATAAAATTAAACAAATCAATTTTCATTATTAATTCGAGTTCAAATCTCATTTAAAACTTAGTTTTTACTCATAGTTATATAGAGATATATATAATAATTAGACTAGAGATGTTAAATATAATTACTTTACACTATAAATATATAAGAACTTTCTATTTAATATAATAATATTCAAAAAAATAATTAAATAATAATGATGAAAGTGATATCATGTATTTATCTAATGCTTTATTTTCTCTAGTTTTCTGTCTCTTCTATGTGCTTACAAAATATATTCTTGTCTGTATATTATAAATTAATAGCCTTAAAGTTTTATAGTTATTCAATAAACTTGTGTAGATTACTTATTTTTATATTAAATTCATTTTTTGTATTGAATTACATTATAAACTAGGTTCTCCTAAATTATAATTGTTGTAAATTGATTACATTAGTTTAATAAAAATTATTATACATGAAATTCAATTAAATTAAAGAATTTCTATTATGAAACTTAAGGTCTATATTAGTTTTTGAGAATTGAGTAGAAAATGAAAAACAGAAGGTTATTTGAAATATATATTATTTAAGTTTAGAATTAAGGACTTAAATGAAATAAATAAATAATTAAATAAAAAATGTAAAAAGCAAATATCATTTTTTTCTATGGACCACCAGCAACTGCAAAATCTTATGTAGCCTAATAAGTTGCAAAATAAACAGGATATGTTTATTTCAACTTAGATGAATTCTATGTGAAAGTAAAAGCATAAACAGAAATTGAGAAATTGAATAAATTGATGTAAGTATTTTAAGCTGAACCAAAAAACTATGTTGTTGATGGATTTCTAGATAAAAAGGCTTAAGCTGTTGTATTCTTTGAGCATTATCAAAAACCAAGATACATCGTATATTTCCAATCTAGTAAAGATGAAGTTGAATAAAATATTAGAATATTAAGTACAGAAGAACAAAAAAAGTGTCGTTTTTAGAGATTTAGTAACTTCCTCTAAAATCGTGATGAACTATTAGCTTATTTAAAAAAGTTTCAATTCTTTGTAACTGTCGATGCAGTATAAAAAGGATTGTCAAATAATTTTTAATAATCATCTGATTTAATTATTCAATCAATCATGAATATTTTAAAGCCAAAGGTTTTGGTAGCTCTAACATATAATAATGAAGAATTGGCAGAAGTTTATTTGAATAAAGTAGAGACAGAATTAGGATTTAAGCATTTACATTTAGAAACACTATGTGAAGAAGAATTAGCAAAAGGAACTCCATAAGGAAAATAAATGGGAGCATTCCTTAATTCAGGTTAGGTTGTACCACCATAAATGTAAATAGAATTATTGAGGAAATACTTGTATAATGATCCATAATAAAATAAATTTATTCTTACAAGTTTTCCTGAAAAATATTAGGAATTTAGAACATTTGAAGACAAATTGTTTCCAATTACAGGATTAATTAATTTCTTAAAAGAAGGAAAAACAGTTTCATTTTCTGCAAAAATAAATCCTGTATTACATTATTCAGCAGAAGGAAAAAATTTGATTATTTAGAATGAAGATTTGGGACCATTTTAATCTTATTTAACAAAAAGAGTGAAATTTGGAATAGTGATTGGTCCTGTAATGTCAGGTAAGACAACATTTGCTAAGTATATTTCATAAAAATTTGGTTTTAATTTGATTGAATGGGGAGAAACAGCAATAGCTTAATTAAAGGAGAAATTAAGCACAGTTCCTGGAGAATAAATAGAAGAATTAACATTGCCTATGATAATAAAATATTATAAAGATTTATTTAGTAATGTTACAAATGAGAAATATGTATTTGATGGGTATTATAATAAATTAAATTTATTAGATTTCCTCCAGGATGTGAAAAACCAGAGTAGATATTATAATTCTTAAATTTGGGATAGGCTAGTTGGGTATTAAATATTGGAATAGATTAAACAAATTAATGGATTAGATATAAAATAAAGAGTGAAATGGATGTTGCAGCTGAAATGACAGATGATGATAAAGAGAAAATGATTACTAATGCAAAAGCACATGAAGAAATATTAAAGTAAGTATAAGTCTATGTATAATAATAACCTGATTGTAAATTATTTAAATAAGATACAAATTATTCTTTGGAATAGAATTTTAAATCAATTGATTAGATATTTGGAAAAAGAGTGTATTTGGCATCAATTTTAACTAATTTAGATTCTGATATCTATGAAGCATTAAAATTAATTTATATTAACATTGCTGCAAAATATAAAATGGCATTTGTTGATGTTGAATAATTAATTGCTAAAAACTTTGAAAAACTTTCTAATGATTATGAAATGAGATGGACAAAACAAAATTGTAAAAATCCATCTAATTTCACTCCTGAAACTATAATGAAATTAGTTAAGTAATACATAGATGATTTGCCTATTTAAAGCAGGTAAGAATTGATATTAATTATTATAATAGAGATGTATTGTTATGGGGTTACATATCAGCTGATTAATAAGGAGATAAATAATAATAAGAATAAATATTCCCAAGAGCTACAGATGAATTAATGATGGTTGAGAAATCTTTAGGATAAATTAAAGTCTTATATGCAATTACTGAATAACCATTAAATTCAGAAATAAATGATCCTGAATGGGTATTAGAAAAACCAGAAGTTCCACCACCTAAATAAGAAGGAGATGGTGGTGATGAAGAACCAAAAGATGGAGGAAATGCTGATGGTGAAGAAAATGTTCCTAAATTTAATATTTATAATTATTAATGGACAAAAAGTGAAGTTCCTAAAAACATGGCTTAAATATTCATGAAAGTCAAATAACCAAATCCAGTAAATCATTTTAATTAAATTTATAGGTGTAACTTGAAGTTAGTGATTATAGCTTCAAATTAATTTATGATAACTTTGATGAACTTTTCTAATCAATTTAAGAAAATAACAATCATACATATTTTGCTTAGATATAATTACAATAACCAATTATGGATTGAATTATTCATTAAAAATATATATATATATAATTCAATTAGTAAATAATTAATGATAATTACATTTATCTTGTTGATTATATGTATTCAAGCAAAACTAAAACTAAAGACTCATTCAATTTCTAATCATTAAATCAAATTAAAAAGACATACAACAATTAATTCAGTTCCATTAGATGATTAAGGAAACATAATTTATTATATTAATGTTAGCTTTGGAACTCCATCATAAATATTTTCTATTGTTGTAGACACAGGATCAGTGGTATTAATATATGAAAGCACTCTTAGACCACTTGGATATCAAATCAAACATGTGAAGGATGTATATTTCCAAGATTTGATCCCAATATATCTATTACTTTATAATAAGCTAATGAAGATCATTCAATTAATTACAATATTGGTTCATTGAGTGGAAAATTTGTTTAAGATTATGTTGGACTTCCTAATGGAAATTTAAATGTATCCATGAAATTTATGTTGGCAAATGTATTTACTATGCCAGGAGTAAGGCATTTATATTTATTAGATAAAATTCTAAGGTCTCTTAGGATTATCTAGTTATAATGACAGATAAAATATTTTTGAATATGGTTATTAATAAAAGTAATTGGAAACTTCACTTTTTGGATTAGATTTAAATCAGAATCCAGAAGAGTCGTTCTTATTTTATAATAATTTCAGTGATGATTATTTAGATTAAGTCATTTGGATGCCAAATGTGTTAAATCATTAATGGGTATATTTATGAAACCATAAAGGTAGAGTATGAAAGTCTATGGGTTTTTTGTTAATGAGATTGATTTGACAGACAAGATTACCTTATAAAATGGAACTGTAGCATTAATGGATTCAGGTTCCTCTTGTTTATGGCTTGATGAAGAAATTATTAATTATATGTTGCATAGATACATTTTAGCTAACTGCATTAATAATTATGCTTGTCCCTGCAATTCACCTTTGTATCCAAATTTAAATATCTATTTGGCAGGAGTCAAAATAGAGATCACATCTGAGCATTATATGATTCCATCAAATAATGGGTATTGTAAACCTTGCTTATAAAAAGCAGGTTCAACAACACATGATTATACTATTTTGGGTGATCCTGCTATGTAAACTATTATTAGCATTTTTGATAAAGAAAACTAATAATTTGGAGTTTATTAAGGAAATAAACTGCATAATTTATTAATATTTTAAATTATTTAGATATCTATGATAACAATATAATTAATTGCTTTATGTTTATTTTGTTACAAGTATTATTAATACAAATGAGTTTGATTATTAATATATATAAGATTTTGCTAAAAATAAATATTAATAAATACTCAATTAATTCTGAGTATACTACAAATTTACAATTATCTTTTCATAATAAAATCTAAATTTAGTTTTACTCATAATATTTAATAATTAACTCTTCATTAAAAGAATTGGAGAATCTATAAATGGAACTATTTATATATTTTTATTAAATAAAATAATGTACTTAAAATTAAGTATGCATGCCCTAAGTTCCTATTAAAATTATGATGAATGAAAATTCATTAAATTTTTTGAATCTATAACTTTTTTTTCAGAATTCTTATTCAAGTTGTTGATCATTTTTTTGGAAAATAAAACTTAACTATATTTACCTGATAGATAAATACTCTTAAAATATGTTATTTTTTATTTTATTTTCCTCAAAAGCCTTTTCTAATTAACATAATCTAATTATAACAAGTAACAAAATAATTTGGAGATTTTCTTCTTTCATACCTAATTGATAAAAATAATAATTTTGTCATTAGTTTTTTTCTTTTTCTTGATAAAACAAACTCAGAAAGAAGATCTTGACAATCAATCTTAATTTATTTAATTATTTTATATGGAATTCAATTTAGATAACTATTTAAAAATACCATTCAAAAGTACTCGTTACAACAATATAGGATTTACAATTCCTGTAATTAACTAAAGAAAGGTCAAAGGTAATTTTAGATCTGTTTCTCTTAATAAATAAAGACAACAAAATTATTATGCACTCATATTACCTAAACTAAATAGTTCTTTTTATTTATTAAAAGAGAATGAAAATGAGAAGAAGCATTGTGAGGTAAAGTCAAAAAAAGAAAAAATTCAGAATTATTTAAAAAGATTCACAGAACCAGAAAATGCTTCAAAATCAAAAATAATGAGAGATCTTGATTATAGAAAACAAATATCCAGATAGATGAAAACTCAATTATGATTATATTTTAATATAATAAAATAAATATATAAATAGAATGGGTAGTTGTTGTTCTCATAGCGAAAGTAGGGAAGGAATCCAGTAGGGAGGTCAAGATTCACAAAGAATGCCTAGGGCAATAGCAAGATAGTAATAGAATGGGAATGTAATCTAAGATGTGAATGAATAATATAAAATATATTTTGATATTTTGGAATAACAATTTAGTGGTAAGGGTTTAAAGAGAACATAAGCATATAAAAGTCATATAGATATTGGTTAGATTGAAAAATTGAGGGATATTTTTTGGGGTAAGTTATGAAATATATAATTGATTTAAGAAACCAGAGTCGAGGGGAGACAAGAGATTTGGTAGATCTTAAGGTCAATCATAAATGAAGAAGAGGGTATTGGGATAAGTGTATGTTAGAAACTGGCCGATTTCTAGTTTAGGAGGCTGAATTGAAACCAATAAAGGATTCCTTTCAACATGTTTATGATAAATTTGGACAAAAATATGATGTACCAATATTTTGCATAAATGATCCAATAGAATTCTCAAATGAGAAATTTGAGGACAGAGGTTTAATAAAAAATTATGGCAATGAAACTGTAAAATTACTGATTCGAAGTGTGAATTTGAATGGTAAGGATATGGAAGTAGAATGTAAGTAGAATTAGAGTGTAGTGGATTTGAAAGAAATAGTGAATGTTGAGTTATAGAAGGGGAATCAAATTTAGTGTGAATCAATGAAACTATTTTATAGAGGAAAAGAGATGCAAGATTAGTATTAAGTTGGAAGATACAATTTAAGTAATGAAGCCATAGTAATTGCTCATTTGAAAATATTGTAAAAGACATGATTAATAAAATATCATTTATAATCAATAAATCATAATGAGTATTAGAATAATGATATCTAAAATTCTATTGTAATCTGGTGAAGGTAGATTGATTTATTCGATTACAACTGGTTTAATATAAGCAACACATATTTTATTAGTATTGTTCCAAAGGCATTAATCATCTTGATTACATTATTATTGATTATAGTTATATTAACACAAAGGTTGACAAATCTAGAATAATAAATAAATAGTTATACTTTTGTGTTAGAATTGAATTTGCAATGTGTATTTGGACAATCTTCTTAATTATGATGTTGACAACTCTTTGATAAACATTTTTAACTGATTTTGTCATATGTACAATATTGTGATTAGTTTAGACAAATACAAGCATCTTTGATTTCTTAACAAGAAACACAAGAAAAATCAATCATTTGAACACAAACATCAGTTCCAATATGAGTTCCCATACAATCTCCTTATTATAAACCAAGATAGCGACAACCTGTAGAAGTACATGAATATTGTCCACTAGTTGTTAAAAACCAAGCACATTGATAATCTCCTTATTTTTTACTAATACAAGTATCAGCAACAGTAATTTAAGTACAATCTAATTATATTTAACATTTTTCTAAAGTAGGATTCCAATCACAATCATTAAGTAAACATTATGATTTACCCATATATTCACATGATCTTTTTCTACAATATCCTGCATAGACACATTCATTACTATATAATTCACATTCTGATTTCTCTAAGATTTAATTGCAATCTAAAGTTTAACAACTATTATCTGATTTACTTCTACATGTTTGATTATTAACTTTATATTGCAAACAAATTAATGAAGAATCAGAGATATCCTCGCATTTATGAGCTGGTAAACATTTAGCTTTGGAATTCAAATAACAAACTGTATGATCAATAGTAGTTTAATTACATTTATTGACTTCTACATCTGCACATGTTTTTAATCTACAAGTTCCATAATTAGTATTTTTTAAATATTATGTTATATCTTTACTAGATTTTGATTAAGATACTTCAAAATAACAATAATCTATATTAGTACATTTTGTGTATTCTGTAATAGTACTGCAGTCTGGGAATTTATTTAAAAAAGAAATGCATTAACAAGAATTATTATTCCATGAACATTCATCAAGTACATTACATCCAAGAGCACTCAAACCATTTGTATAACAATTATCAGTAATAGTAGATGCAATACATCCATAAGTCAAATCACTATATTTACATCTATCAATTGCTAATTGACAAACTGATTTATTTGCTTTTTCTGCTTAATTACAAATTAGATTATAATTTGGATCCCAAGTTATACATTTTTAATCTTTAAATATACATCCTTCAATACTAGAACATGCTATTGCATTTATACCTTAAATTTCACAAACATTATATTCCACTAATGGTATTTAACAGTTTTTCTTTAAACTATTATATACACATGGATCATCTTCTACATAAGAACAAACTATTGAGTTGATGTTATATTCTATATTTTCACAAGTAGTATATGGATAATATTCTTCACAATGATAATAATCAGAATCATCATCTTTAATCCAAGCACAAGGTCCTGTAGTTAAATTTAAACATGCATATTTATTTAATCCTGGATCTTCACATTTGGCAGTATTAATATTAATTAAATCACATCCATCATCAACTGAACCACATGGAAGTTCAAAATTAAGTTACTTACATAATTTAGGACCTATACCATCTCTTTTACAAGTAAATACAGATTATAATAAACGATTCTATTGTTATTATTCTTCAACAAGTAATCTATTTCTTTTGTATATACATTTAAAACTAACATCATCCCATAAACAAGATTAAGATTTGATTTTTAGACAAGCCTATTTATTGATACCCTCAGTTAAAGGTTAACAAGTAATTTACTCTTAATCTATGACCAATTTACATGTATATGATTTTGGATTGTATTATACAATATCACCATTATTAATTAAACTGCAAGCATTACTATTTACTAAAATAAGATCTTTAGGTGAAAATATGGATGATTTATTGAATTCTATTTATTAACATTTACCACTCTACCATTTACATTACTTACCTGTAGTTTATACTGACAAACAAGATAAGTAACTTAAATATTCTTCACATGATGAATTATTAAAATCAGTAAACAAATCACATTCTCCAATTTGTAGATCTGTTTCTTAACTCCATGAAGTCTTTTTTATTTTTATTATTGAATATTTCCAATAACATTTACTAGATTATTATTAAGTACATGCAACTTTATTTATATTATTCAAACAATTATTTTCAGTTTTTGATTCATTGTATGTTTCACATTAACCATTAATAAACTAACATGTTTAACCTAATCTTTCAACAGCTAAACAAGATAATTTATTACCATAACCTTATTTAATATCTTCACATTCATCTTAATTCTATTTCACTTTATATTTACAAATCTATAATAAATTATCCCAAATGCAAGGTAAAATATCAATTGATTAACATTATTAATAGGATTAAGCTTAATTACATGAAACTGGTTGTACTTATTCACATTTCTTTAATTCTGTATTAAATACACAAAAAGTGTCTACTTTAGATAAACAAACTAATTTTGATTAATTTGATATCATTCCACACTCCTTATTTTCTGCCACATATGGAACACATGCTGGTGTATCAGGATTCCAAGAGCATTTCAATTTATCTTAAAATAGACAAGATTCTATTGTTTTTGCATTTTAACAACATGCATTTGGATCTATATTGTCTTCTACATTACAATTAAGAAAGGCTGAATTTGGTCCATAACAATAATCAAGGAATTTGCATTATAGAGAAGGAATTGTTGAAGTTAAACATGCTATTTAATTAATACCTCTAACACAACCAAATAGACTTCTAGTTGTAGTAGTTTTACATGAATATGAATCTTAATCATAATAACAACCTACGTCTGCTGGTTACTCACAAAATAGTGGATTATTAATATTAGATATGTTTTTACAAGTTGTACTCTAAAATGTTTTAGGATTTATAAAACTACATTGTTAATTTGTATATAAGCAATATTATTGAGATTTAATAATTCTTGTACATCCATATTAATTGATAACATTCTCACAATTAACTATTGAATAATCTGTAATTGGTTAACAAGATTAATTACATCCTTCACTTTATACATTTTTACATTCTTCAAGATTAGATGAAGCATCTGAACAAAATAACTTACCAGATTCTAATATTGAATAACATTTTTTATTGAATTAACATTTATCTGTATTAGTTAAGCAAGATTATAAATTATATCCTTTATTTTCACACTCTGTTATAGGAGGTGAAAGTAATACAGAGCATTCACGATTGGCACTATCATATTAGCATTTGACATCATCTTTATTATTAACTTCACAGAAGCGTGCATTATTAACATTAACAATTGTATTACAATCTATATTCACATATGTTGATAAATCAGCCTCTTAACATGTTGATGTTACTGAATTAAATTGACAATTTGAGAGAGGATTCGTAATTCTTAAGCATCCCCATTTATTAACTGGCTTATCACATGTCAATGAACTAAATTCACTAGCTGGTATCTCTAGACATTCATCCATCCAATAAACAGCTAAATTATTTTCAATATACATTAGACATGCTTTCTAATTAAAAGATATTCTATTAGACCAATTATAAAACATAGCATCTTCTGATTAAATAGGGTATCTAAATTCCTTACAAACATTGTTAGTATTATCATAAAAACAAGGTATATCAGTACTTTATGAACATGATAATGGGTTTGTCTTTAATGAGTTCAAACATGATATTAAAGCAGTCTAAGGGGAGCTTATATCAATACAACCTAAAGTTGAATCAAATTTACAAAATTATCCTTTGGTTCTAATAGATAAACATTTGTCTTTATTAATTAGATCAGTGCATTTAACATTTTCATAATTATCTGTGCAAAAGCCATTTAAATATATGCACAATGATCCTAAAGTATTAAAGATACACCCTATTTTATTTAAACCAGGTTATGAACAGACTTCAGTTGTGCCTGAGACAACATTACAAGCTTTAGTTTCAGTGTTCCATTTACATGCTTTATCAGTTGGATTTTCTCTAGTTTAACAGACCATAGAATTAGTAGGTACTGATGAATTGTTTAAATCTTAACATAATGTTGTTATAGGGACAGATTAACATTAATTATCTTTGAATTAGCATTAAGCATTAATTGATATGCAAGCTATCCAACTAAAAGTAGGATCACAAGTTGTAGTACTAGTGAGTTTTTCTCTTGTAACAGAGAGACACTATTTATTTACGTTATCATATTGACATTGAACAGTTGTTTTATTTAAACATGCATATTTGTTAATTCCTACTTATGAACAGTTATTAATAAATGGTTCTCTAGTAGTTGCTTTAACACATCTCATTTTTTCAGGACTATAAACTATACTTGCAGTTGTTACATCATCAAAATAGGAACATACTTTAATTGAATAAGGAAATTTATCATCCTCATCAATATTTGTGTATCCAGTTAAATCATATTATTGACAAGTATTATTAATAAATTTACAGACATCATTTTGAATAAGACAAGCTTCTATATTTAATTTATTTGAACATCCATTTGTATTACCTAAATCCTCAACACATGATTTTGAAATTACATCATATTTACATTTTCCAACAGTCTTATTGACACATGCATATTCATTTATTCCAGGAGAATCACACTTCAATTAATCTGCAGATATAACTTCTCTACATCTATATTATTCATCTCTTATACATGCTCTACTAATTCCTAGATTTGAACATACTAGACTATTGAATTTATCTAAATTTCTATCTGGATCTGGATTATCAGAATCACTACTACTATTTATTAGTACAAAATTATTGCATCTATTGTAATCTGGATCAAAATTAAAACTATAACAAGCTTTATTTGTAGATGACCAACCACATTATTTTGATGTCATATTTAAACAACCATACTAATTTGCAATACTACATGTATAATCAGTCTCTGTTTCAACCTTTACACATTTATTAACATCATCCCATTTACATCTCTCATAATTTGATTAAATGCATAATGACTTTTATTTAATATCAGAACATTTGGCATTAATGGGATCAAAATTAGAACAAAGAGAAGTAGATATATTTACATAACAATTTGCTTTAGTTAATTAAGGACAAGCGTATTAATTATATATTGTACAATCTGTACTGGTTTCATTTGACAAATTTGATATCAATGTACATTAATTTGAATCCCATTTGCATAGAATATTTGGAGTATTAATTAAACAAGCTGATTAATTTAGATTATCATCACAAGTAGTAAAAGTTTCATTGCTTATAACTGAACATCTATAAGTGTCTGCATTATATACTACTTTAGATTCAAGACAACTAATACAAGCCTTTTTACTTACTTTATTGCTAATTAATTAAGAACAAGTATATCCAGTGGCATCTTCACATTTACTAGAATAAATGCAAGATTGATCAACTTAACTACAAATTTCATCTTTATTGGCTATTTTTAGTTGATTAACTTCATAACATAAGTAATATTAATTAGTGCTTGTTTTCTAAGGTACAGAAGCTGTCTTTTAACAATAATTAAGTTTAGTATAGTTACATCCCATGTCTTCACACATTGTTTAACTCATACTTTTATCACATTTATCTATTTTAGTTTCTCCTTATGAAAGACTTGGTTCAGTTGATACACATTTATTATTTAATCTACATGCATCACTAGCTGAAGCACAAATTACTGGACTACTTTCGTTCGAATATAAAGCACATTCTAATCCTAATTAGACACTACCATTGTTAATGCATTTTGTTATTCCTCTTGATATTGATTTGCATTATTTTCCTGGTTACAGATCTGGATCAGCTGAAGATAGCTCACAGATTATTCCAGGTGTTTAACTCACATCACAAGTTTTAACTAATGAAGTACAATCAGGTAATTTATGTTAATTATTACTTAAAGGTAGACACCCACCTTAATTAATATCAAAATAACACTATTGTACAACCATTTCTAAGCATAGAGCTCTTGAATATAAGTTAGAACAACTAGTTAAACTATTTGTTAAACTTTAATCTTCACAAACAGCCTCTTTTTCGCATTATATTTCATTGCCATCCTCATCATGATCACATACATAATTGTAAGAGGGATGAAACTTAAACTCAATTGTTGGTTGCCAAATTTCACAAGTTTTTGTAACTGAATGCCAATAGCAATATTTCTCAAAATGGCATTGCTACGCATTGTTAGTGATCCCATAACATACCCTAAATCCATTTGTGGTATCTAGATATTAACTTATTGAAGCACATGCAATTCTATTGTAAAAGTATCCACTTATTTATTATAATTTAAGATTAGTGCATGTTTATGTTTCAGTAATTTCAACATCAACACATTTTAATGTATTTTGATTAAAATAACAACTAGACGGTATTTGCATACAAACTTCAATATTTATTGCAACATTAGTAGAACATTTGGTTTATTCACCTGTAAATGGTTTACACTTATAATTTAAGGGAGATTCATTACGATCAAAATAACAATCATTATTTAGAGTATGAAATAAACAAGCATATTCGTTCATGTGAAGATCTTTGCATTTATAATTCCTATCTGTTAATGAAAGACATCTATAATCAGGATGATGATAATAAGGACCTCCAGTAATTGAATAACAACCTAATCTATTGTATAAATTATCAGATAAGACAAACTATTTATCTGTTAATGTCAATTTTATGCATTTGAATTTGCTATTATCCCAAACACAAGGTTCCTTTGTTACTTATACACATAAATTCTTGTTGAGATAATCCTCACATCCTAATTATGAAATTTCAGTTTGATTTTCATAACATACATAAGCTTTAGGATCCCATCTACAATATCCCCCTGTATTTTTATAACAAGTTATTGAATTTGCTCCAGTGACATCACAACCACTATCAGATTTGATATTTGTATACTTGCATGCTTTATTACCTGAATCATATTCACATAATTATCCATCTTTAGTAATTCTTACACAAGCACTTTAACTTACAGGACCATTAGAATTAAAATAATCACATTCTACATCAATTGGTGCATCAATACATTTATCATTAATAAGTGAAAATTAACAAGCTGTATTTGGATTTTCAATGCATGCTTTATAATTCTGATTATATGAACAAGTATAAATTTCCTCATATTCATCTAGAGTAATATCTTAACATCTTAATAATATAGGATTCCATTTACACAAAATATTTTAAGTGAATCTTAAACATACATTACTATTTCCTTTAACTTCATCACAAGTTGGATAATTTGTTACAACATTTGGTTTGCATCGTTTATTGAAATCATCATATAAAAAGTATTTTAAGGTATTTCTATTTGTGATTGTAGCTTCTATTGCTAAACAACCATATCTATTAAGAATTGCTGGGAATTGTATGAATATATCTAAATTTCCATAATTAGAATAATTTAAATTAACACAAGATTTTCCATTGTGATAACATAATTACTTTGATGACCATTCAATCATATGACATGAATTTCTATTCATTTAAGAACATCTCATTTAATTTGCATTATAGTAATTCTTAACTGCATCTGGTTTTGAAATATCAACTACTTCCCAAGTCAATTACTAACATCTTAAATTGGATCCAAAAAAACAATAAACACCAGGAGTTTAAGATGAAAATCTACTACATGAATGAGCATTTATTCCTATCTTCTCTGTGCAACAAGGTGTACTACATAAATCAGTATTTTTAGAACATGTTCCAGATTCAGCCATAAATTTACAGTATCCTCTATCAACATCACTATTAATTCCAATTCTAAAATCATAATCTGGAAATTCCATTTCTATTGCAGCACATACATTTGCATTTACTTTAACACCTGATGAAAAATTAGAACATTTTTAATTTAATAAAACTGTTTAATTTAAACATCTACTTTATCTATCTGACCATGAACATAATTGTCCAAAGGTTATTATCTTAGTACAAACATCCATAGTAGGTGAACTAGATTAACATTACATATTTTATAGTAACTCAGTCACTTATGTTGCAGTATCGGGATTAGTTGAATCTAATTATTTACATCTATTCAATTCTGTATCAAAATAACAACTACCTACTACTTAAGCACATGAATATGTATTTAATCCAGCTGTATTACATGTCATAGTAGATATTATTGAATTAACACAACTCTTTTCAATTTCTAAATATCTACATGGTTCTTTTCCATATTCAACAAGTGCACATGCTTAAGGATTAACAAATTACATTTTTAAACATTCTACTTAAGCTACATCTACCTTTTTTCTTATTTATTAACATTAATTTTAATTCCATCTACAAATCTATCCTTATGTTGTAATTGATGCACATGCTACTCTATTTAATCCTTTCTTTCTATTTTAACATTCAAGAGTATTTAATAAACTTGAACTATTAACTATATCAATACTCTCACATTTTGATGTATCCTCATTAAAATAACATCCTTTTTAAGAATTCTCATAAACTTAAGAACAAGCATTAGGATTTGCAAATTATAAACTAAAACATGTAGTTTCAAGTGCCTTAATTTCTATTTAAATACATCCATTTAAAGTCCATTAACATGTTTATCCAGGTTTTGTTATGCTAACACATCCAAATAAATTTATATATGATGAATCACATAAATCATTAGCATCACTATTCATACATCGATGTGTTTATGCATTATATTTACATGATACATTTGGTTTAGATATTGCTTAACATACATTTCCATTATATTTTGATATAGTGTCATTTTTATCTAATTCACAATCCAAATCTTAATTTATAATTTATCTAATGCAACTTAATCCATCCCATTTACAATATTAATATTATGTTTATACATTCACACAAGCATCTTAATTTAATAACATTTCACATTAATAATATTTTAAATCTTCTAAAGTAATTTCTTCACATTTACCATTTGTAAATGTACAATATTAATTTTTTAATGATAAACATAGTTCTTTGGTTAATCCATTTGTATTGCATGTTAATTTATCTGCAATTGTTGGTATTTTACAAAGAAAGTTTTATGTATCAAATTTACATTTACCTTCAAATTATTGACATACACTTTAATTTACTTCTCTAACATTTTCACATTTTGAATCCAAAGTTTTCACAAAATTCTAACACTTACCTGATTTCCATTAACATAATAGTTTTGGATTATAAATACCTAGACATCCTAATCTATTCAATTCCATTTCACATTTATTTATATTTACTGATTTAATGTCTTAACACTTATTCTAAATAAATATGCCTATTATATTTGTTGATATTAATACATTGTTGATTAGATGTTGATATTGAAATACAAGTAGCTTAATTTATTCCTAAATCAGTACATTTCAATTTCCCTAACACTTATTCATTAACACTAATACACTTGTAATCTTAAGAAAAACCGCCATTCATGCCTATTTTAAGTTAGAATCATACATTTCAAATTCTATATCTTTGAACATAATGATGGTGTCACAGAATTCCCAAATATAGACTCACATTATTCTCCTTCTGGAACAATACTTACATATTCAGTGCATTTATTTCCATTCCAAATACAATCTCTTCTTGCTACATTTGTGCATGCATACTTCGAGAACCTCTCATCACACCCCAATCTTATCAGATGAGTAGGTTTAATAGATACACATCTCTTTCCAAATGTGCCTTAAATCAATATTAAAATTCTTACATCGAGCTTCCTCTCCAATCGAATTAGTAAGTTAATTTAAGCATGCTAACTAGTTTAATGTAGGCTAACAACCATGACTAGTTGATGAAGTATCCATACAAGAACTTTCAAACTAGTTATAATAACCTATTTTAGATGTGAAATTTACATTTGATTCCTATTGTTTAGCTAACACATGCAATTGAATCTAATGGGTAATAGTTACAAAACATCTGATGTGTTAACATAAATGAATAGCTAATTAAAAGCAGCTACAATATTTTCATTAATAATATTAATATAAGTCTAAATAGTTTTTTTTTGTTTAAATTTGCGATATTTGAAAAACCGGAATTTATAGATATCTGATTAATGTATAATAATTGTATAATATTTTAATATATTTCAATTTTTAATGATTTTGTCATTCTAAATATTTATATTCTTGTAATAACAATAATAATCCAGGATTACGTTATAAAAATTTTACAAAAGCATTGGCTTCTATCTTTAAAATAGATCCCTCTCTAATAGCCTTAACTGTTGTTGTTAATTTTTCACCTTTCAAAATAGCGTTAATTTCACCTATAAATGAACCAGAATCAAATTCTTCCAATTTCTAGTTTATTTAATTATTTTACTGCTTCATCACAATCAATAAACACAAATGCTCCTTTTCTAATGAAAAATACAAAAGTTGCTTCATCATCCTTCTTCCATAAAATTTGACCTTTACTAATATCTTATTATTACATAATCATCTCTAATTATGTTTTTTAAGTAGGAGTCAATTATGAAAAATGTGAATTTCTAAATAAATTTATAATTTCTTACTTAAACAAAATTTATATTGCTTATTATTTTCTTGCCTCCATCAATTACATCATTTATTCAATTACAGGTCCTTATCCTTCAAATCCATCACCAAATATAAACCAAAAATCATGTTTATCAAGACTTAATACTCTTAAATCTGTAACAGCAAGTACTGAAGCTTTTCTTCTTCCAGTTTAAATTAAAGCAGATTCTCCAAAATAATCTCCAGTTTATAAATATCTTTAAAATTTATTCTACTTCTAATCAGAAAAAACTTTAGCTAAACCAGATTCAATTATATAAAATTTATGTCCCTCTTAATTCTCTTAAATTACTAACTCTCCTTCTTTATACTTTTCTAATTTTAGAGCATCCATTAAGAATTTAGCATTATTCAAAGTTAATTTATCAAAAATGTCAATTCTACTTATTATATCCATTTTTCTATTTAAAGGGATATCTTATTAGACATTTGGTCTAATTAAAATAAGAGTATTCTCAATCCCTGGTTTTGCTACTTTCAATCCAGATCCTTTTAGTACATCTTTTGCAGCTACATGTACTAAATACATTCGATTTTTGACTTAATTAGGTAATTATGATAAAACAGTCTAAGATGTATGTATAGGAGGAACTCCAGCTTCATGTAAAATAATATCTTCAGTGAATTTTGGAGAATTCAATTATCTACATCTTGCTTAATTTAAATGTCCTTATTTATGTAATTCCTCTATTTTAACAGGATCATAAAATGTATCTCCACTAAAATAAATAGATTTGTTTTGATATTTAACTCTGAATCCAATACAAGGAATAGAATGAAAAGCATAAAAGAATTCAAATTCTGCTCCATATATATTTAAAGGAACTCCTAATATAGCAGGTCTAAATATAAATAAACTTTTAATTTATTCTTATGATAAATTAGAAATTGCAGAATATTTTCTTAAAAATGAATACATAATAGTTCTTGTTGTGATTATTTCAACTTTACTGTCATCTAGAATTTTATGAAATGCTCCTGCATCATGATCAGCATGACAATGACTTATAATAATAGCACTAATCATCATAGGTGGAATTCCCATCTTTTTTAAATGATAACTAGTATATGGAGGAGGATCCACCATAATTCCTCTTCCATTAATCCAAAATATATAACCAGATGTAGAACCTTTTGGATCAAATCCATGAGACTAATTTAATTTTATTATATATACACATCCTAAAACTGTTACACCAAATTCAGGAGCTTAAAATGTAAGACCTTCATTAAGTTCTATACTTCCTTTCTTTTATAATTTAGCTTCTCCATTTTTATTCCATAACAATAAATTTGGCATACTTCCTATTTCTTAATCATCTTCATCAGAATCAACTTCATCAAAATTTTAAGTCAAGCTTGGAGGTTTTTTACCATGTTTCATCTTTTTCATTATTAATAATGATGGAGGAGCTATTTCAGATTTCCCTGAACTATCTATTTTATGTAATGATAATAATTTATCATATTCTTTAGGAAAACTAAATTTATCAGGGAAACTTATCAATAGATTATCATTGTCATATATTGTAAATTCTTTTTCTTCTTTAACAATTTTTACTTTCCCTATTTAAGCTACATTATTATCAAAAATAACAAATTTTAATAATGTTTCTGAAGTAAGTTTTTCATTTAAATTCATAGGATTTTTTGCAAATATTGCCAATTCTTTCTTAAAATCTACATATTCAATAGGATCTACATCAGGATGATAATCATTTTAAATTTACTATAAGCTATATACTAAAATATTACACTAAAATCTTTAGGACCTAACAATGTTTCTTAAAAAACAATCTTAATTGAGTTTGCAGTTTCAGTATCGCATATCAATGTTACTTATCTTTTTTTAATAAAGAAATTGAAATAAGCTGGGAATTCAAATTCAGCAACATTTATTCCAAATTATTTATTGAATCTCTAGGTAGGTATTATATAAAATGTAGGGACTTCTACTCCTAAAGACATAGAATCTTTAACAGTCTCTGGAGGTAATCCAAACTAAATAGGACCTTCACTTGTCTTAATAATAAGACCCCCTCTATTTAATTTCATGGTTTGTACTGTAGCAATCTACTCTTAAGGTTTTAATTCCTAATTTAATTCATTAATGTCTTAGTGAAACTATTCTTTTGATGTGCAAGCCATATAAATTGATAATAAATATAATGATTTAAATAAAATCCATCATATCATATTTATATATATATTATTTTTTTAAAATATCATTTAGCAACAATTCCAAAACTTATATGTTCTTATTATACTGTAAGAATTTAAGTAATTCCATTTCGACAAAGAAAGCAAGCTTCAGTATTTCCTATACAATGAGCACAAAATTTGCCATGACCACAAGGCATAAAAATCTTTTCTCCAATTTTATCTTAACATATAATGCATAAATTTTATTCTTCAGAATTCACAGATTATAAATCATTACTTAACATTGGTGGTTAACTTGATTATCTTTATCCAACATTTGTCATAATTGGTTTATAATAATTAGTTGAAACTCTTTATAAAATTGTTGTTGCTTATTCATAAGGTTATTGTTTTTATTCTAAATCCTTTCCAATTTCTAAATTAAATATGAAATTTGTATAATATAATTCCAAATCTCTCTTTTTGTAATAAGTGAATAATGTTAAAATAATGAATAAAATAGGTAGAATTATTATCAAGGCATAATGATTGATATATAAAAAGATATTTGTCAAAAATATTGTTGTCTAATATAGAACAAATTACACATAATAGGAAACTTTATATTAATAATATTAAATACTTCTTTATTTTTCATTCTTTTTTATCAAAGTTGGAATTACTTTTATTATAAAATATAGAACTGATACAAAAGTTATTACTCCATTTAATATTAGTAATATTAAAAACAACCATAATACTTATATCCAATCCCAAGAAACAAAATTATCCAATTTTAGAGTTACTGATAAAGTTTCAACTAATATTACTATCTTCCATAGTACATTAAACTATTATGTCATTCTTTATGCTATACGAACTATTAGAATGCAATAAATGCATAGTATTTCTTTTTATTGCAATATATTAGCAATCTTAGGATCAACAATAATAATGGAAACATTATTAACATCATATAAAATTGAATTTCCAGCATAACAATTAAAATATAACACATTTTCATTAAACAATAAATGAACGATTCTAAATAATAATAAACCCTTAATTCCTTTTATAAACAATAACAAGTTTAAACCAATTTGCCTATTAAAAAATATCACAAATATTACATATATCAATAAATATTAGACAAATCACAATCTAGATTATTGATAAAATACTTTCTAAATAAAAGGAAATTAATAAATAAACATATAGATATAAAATGATTTCTAGGTATTATTCTCTAACAAATTCTATTGCTAATTATTTTATTTCTGCTTCTAATTATAATTTCATTTGATCTTGTTATTCTTACATATTTTATAATAAACTTATTAAATTTATTATCAAAAAATCTTTATTTATTATTTTTCTATAAATATTATTATATATCACTAAAATCTATTCTTTTTTAAGTAATATAATTCTCATTAAAAAATTACAAATTAAAATAAATATCTGTTTCATCAAAACAACCAAGATCAATTCATAAGTTGCAAAATGAATTATATTGATATATAAATATTTCTAAGCTTTAAATTGATATATTTATTTTTACTACAAATTATTAATAATTAGAGATATTCGTATTTAGATCACTCTATTTTTTAAGTCTCTATAAATACATATTTGATAGACAGATATAAAGTTATTTTCAATTTTATATTATATAATGTTAATTATTTATATTAATATTAAAAACGGATTGTATGAGGAAATTAGTTTCTATACTTTTGATTTCTCTCACCTTGGCAAGTCAAATTCAAGGTCCTTTATCTAATTAAGTAATGAATGAATTAGAATAAACTCATTTGGGCAAAGCTTTCTTGAAATTACTAAGCTTAAAATCAAAGGCATAACAATTTGATTTCTCTAAATTATATGCAGCACTTGATGACTTATAAAATTCAATTAAATAAAGATTGACTGATGAATAACAAGCATATTAGTAAGATGAAGTCTAATATTTCACAGATAAGGAATTTTTTTCAGGTCAAATCACACAATTCTAGAATGAAGTAATCTTATATCCTTACTTTATTAGATTGCATAATTAGAGATAGATGTTACAGATTTTACTGAAAGTAGAGACTTATTATAAATTGCTTTAAATGGAAAAATAGATGAATTGAAGGAAGTTTAATCATTAGCTGATGGATTATCTGCTAGAATCAAATAAGAAGAAGGTATCTTCAATGGTCAATAAAATTAATATACAAATGCTGTTTAAGCTCTTGATTCAGCTTTGTAATTGATTGGATAACTTAGAGATGGTTCATTCATTTAGAATAGAAGTGTTTCATTCTTAGAAGAAGGTCTAAAACAATTATAACATTAAAGAATTATGTATGCACCTTTGATCACTGCATTTACTTAAATCATGGCACCAAGTTTCAATGATTCAGAAGCAACTGCAAAAGTTTAAAAGTTAATTCAAAATTTGAGAGACACTGTTGTTAAAAACAAAACAGACTTAGAAAATGCTTATTAATAAGTTAGAGCAATCGATGATCATAATATCAGCCAATATAATTAAAGAATAACCAATTTATCAACTATTGTAATACCTACAATATAGGCTGAAATCTAAACTAGAGATTGTAATTATAATCTATTATTGTTTAGCTTAAATTTAAACTAAGTAAAATTTACTTAGAGATGCTTAAACCAATTTTAAGACAGCTTCAGATAATTTAGATAATACTAATAACAGATGGGTTGAAAGGTATTATAATTATTATATTTTAGAACCAATGAACATAATAAATTGATGGATTAGCTTTTAACTTAATAATCCCTATTTCCCAAGATTGTAACTCAATTAGAGGGAGCTGGAGTTAGAAGAAGATGATTTTCTTAAATTTAGCAAATATAATATTTAATAATATATATTTTTTAATTATCTTAATATTATATCAATATTATATTAATAAAAAGAGTGTTTATGGATTTATAAATTATGGTAGAAAATGGATTGCCTTTTTGGAATTATAAGATCAATTATTGGACTTAAATAATAATAGGATGCAATAAGTGAAATTTTAATAATTAAAGAATATATCTAATTACAATAAATCATTTGGTTTATTCGATAATTTATAACAATAATGTTTGATTCTTCATTATATTTAATTTTGGTCTTGAAAATAATGCGAAAACTGAAGTTATTAAAGTATTGTTAGGTGTTTACCATTCTAAGAATTTCTTATATTAAGATTTATGTTTAGCACATAACAACTAATAAAATTCAAACAAAATTCTTTTCATTCTTTATTTTGAAATTAGAATTGTTGGTTATTATTATCTGATATTTTAAATCATTTAATTCATCTAAATATTGAATTTGCTTCTTTATTATAAATAAAATTCTTAAATCAGTCTAACTTTTAGGTAGAAATTTATAAATGATTACTATAATTATGCTTGTTTTTTAATGAAATTTTTGTCTGCCAAACTTATTTAGATGAGTTATGATATTTATCTTTCAATTTTTTCATTTATTTAATTTGAGTATGAAGTCAGAGTTAAGTTGGCTTATATTAAAATTCTAGCTTTTAAACTAAAATTTTTTTCTTAAATCTGCTTCCATCTTTATGCATATAGTTTTGGAGAATTAGACATGCATTTTAATATTTTATTAATTTTAAAATGAGCATAGAGTGATTCAATTTGCTTAATAAAATTTAGTGTAATTATCCATTAATTGATGTATTTTTTCATCATTCTTGATTAATTTATAGACTTATATGATTATATTAACATTCTTTAATATCTTTGAACTATATTTTATGAGTATAATTAAAGTTTTTTCTGTTACACTTATAAAATTCTACTTTTTAAAGGTATTGATCCACTTTTCTATCTCAGAACATTGAATCTACGATTTTCACTTAAAGATTTTATGGGGGGGACAATGCTATCACTTAAGAGGGACTTTTCTATACTATTGTTATTTATAATGATAGTAGCATTATTTTTATCAGAAATACATGATTCATCATCTGTCTTATTATTATGTTGTGAAGAACTTCGCTTTTTGTGCTATTCTTAACCATAATAACAAAGAAAATAGCATCTATCATATTGGGATTCTAATATAAAACAAAATTTTATACATTAAAACCATGCTTTAAGTTTGACTTAAGTACTAAAATCACATAAGAGAGAAATAAATAAATATTGTTTATGTTCTTCTGGCTTCTTAATTACAATAATTTTTTATTATTTTATAACAACATGTTTTTGATGATTTGTTTCAGATGGCTAGGAAGTTTAAAATGAAAAATAAGCATTGCATTTAAAAGCTCCTACATTGAAAAATATTTTTAAAGGGAAATAATCTTGAATCCTTATTTTTATATATTATGGATAGCCTTTCAATATAGAAATGCTTGACCATTAATCATTTTCTAATTCTAAACAGTCATATTAGTAGTCTAGCTAATCTGATATAAGTAGATAATTCCTCTATAAAATAATGTAATACTAAAGTATAATTTTTTATTTAGTAAGGTTGGTAGATACTTTAATCCATAAAAGTCTTATTTTAAATAGTTTATATATTAAAACATTCATTTTTTATGAACTATGCATTCCTATAAATTAGTCTAAAACTCTTAGAATGTAATTTCACCGTCTTTATTGATATCAAAGAAATCAAAGACTGCTCTAGTTTCATCTTCATTTATACTTGGTTCAATTCTTTTCAACATCTAACCCATTTCTTTTAAATCTAGTTTTAAATCAGCTGATTTATCAAACTAATTATATTGATAGATTATACTTTCTTAAACAAATCAATAAGTTAAATATTATATTTGATAATAGAAAGCTTTAGTTTTTCTATAACATAATTTGCACGATCTTCTACAGTATTCTTTCCTAAAATTGATTATTTCTTTGATCTATCTCTAATCTATTTTTCTTATTTGACTTATATCTAATAATATATTTTTATTTTATACAGAATTATCTTCCATCCATTTTTTAAACTCTTCAAAATCTATTGAATTACTACCATCCTCATCAAATTTATTAAAGATATATTCAATTTCATCTCTTTAGATATCTTTGTCAACTCTTGTTAAGAATCTACCTAATTCATTCACATCTAATGCTTTATCTTTAGACATATCTAATTCTGCAAATAATTAACTGATATCTAATTTCTCTTTTATTATCATAAGTCTAATATCGTTAATCAAATATTAAGCTTTGTCTTCTAATTTAGAATTCCCCTTAACAATATCTTAAAAATATTAGGCAACTGCAGGATGTTTGTATATTTCTTCCCATGATAATCTTTTAGATTCATCAGCTTAGAGACAACCAATTATTAAATCCTAGGTTTCTTAAGAGATTGGTATTTTATCAGTTGGGAACTTTAATGGTTATGTTCTGATATTCTTTAATAATTCTGGAGGAGATCTAGCAGTCCATGGAGCTAAAATATAATAGAGAATTTAACTTTTTCCAAAAAGGGCTTCATAAAAAATGAATCCTATACTCCATACATCAGTTTTGGAATTATATCTCTTATGATCTAAGATTTATGGACTCATGTATAATGGAGTTCCAACCATTGAAGACATCATGTCTTTTTTGAAATTATCTACACATTTTGCAAACCCAAAATCTGCTAATTTATAGGTCTAATAAAGAAATAGTTATAATTTTAATACTGTTTTATCTAATAAGATATTGGCAGGTTTCAAATCTCTATGAATAATTCCATTTTTAATAAGTTAGGTGAAGCCAGTTAAGACATCGACTAAAAATTTAATGGCTTCTTTTTCAGTTAGATTTTTCTTTTTTTTAAGAAATCTAAATAATAAAAGATTATTACTCATCAAAATCACCTCCATCACAAAATTCTTAAACAATATAATAATTATTTGAAGTTTCCATAACATCTAAAAGTTAGACAATGTTTGGACTTTTTAACTTCCCCATAATTTTGATTTCTTAGATTAATCCTTCTCTTAAATAATCATCACTTTAGTATAAATAGGTAGATTATACGCATTAATGACAGATTTATTAAGCATTTTGATTGCTACTTTTTCTCCTGTTTTTTCATTTACTCCTTTGTAAACTGTAGCATAAGAGCCTTCTCCAATTTTATGACTGATATTAAATAAGTATTTATCAATTCTCTTATCTCCCATCTAATAATAGATATTAATTTTTATTGAATAGGAGAATCGATAATAATGTAATATTCTTTTGATTTGATAATATATTAATCATATTATTCATTCTAGGTCATCCTATTATAAGGATTATTATCATTATCATAGATAATAAAGTTGATTATAAATACTTTTTAGGTATTATAACAATTTCTCTCTTGGTTTTGAATTCAATTAATTTCATTTATTCATCTAACAATTAAATAAATAATTACTGGTCATTAAATCTGGATTGCTAATTAAATTGTTATCAGCAGTAAAATATGCTTTGTAATAAGAATTATCAAAAAGCAGAGTGTATTTGAAAATAGCATATAGCTATTGATTATCAGTACTAGTTTTATTACTATATTAGAATCTAACTTTATAGGCCCATTCCTAATGAATATAATGAATATTAATATTACCTTTTAAACAGGATAATTTGTAGAATTAAGTCCCATGGATACTTATTTGGATGAAGGTGCTGGTGCATCAGCAGGTAAAACCAAAGTGTAAAGATTACCAGTATATCTAAGTGATACATTGAAATAAACAGTATCTTCTGTGACATTAATCTTAATGGGATTATACTTAAACTCTTAAGGATATTCAAAATACTCCCAAGCAGTATTGAAAATATTTTAATCTACAACTTCTGGTATTTCTGATTATAAGAGATCTAAATTTTATTAGATTAATCTAATATATTCATAAGGTGAAAGACCACCAACAGTTGCATCTGGATTTATTTGGAATGTATAAGTGACAGTTTAGGAATCTAATATCTATTGTACATCAGAATCTAATTCTCCATCTATGTTATATTTCTTAGGTCTTTCAATAGTTTCAAAGCTACTAGAAGGTAATCCTGTGACTAAACCAAATGCACTCAATAATTTTTCAATATCAATATCTTTACTCAAAGTGATCTTGAATTATGCTGGTTAGAATTTGGCAGCTGTTGTGAAATCGAATTATTTGACTTCTGTATTATTATTTCCACTTAAATCTGTAACAAAGAAATAAAGAGAATAATCTGTTTATTCTGTTAATCCTTGTAGATCTAAATAGACATCATTATAAATATAATCTTAAGTTACAGGAGCAATAAAGCTTTGATTATTTCCAAATTGAGTAAATACATTTGTAAGTTTTTATTAAGATTTTATTTAATCCATTGTGGGTTTTGGATTACCTTTCAAAGTCAAATAATAATACAAGGTAACACTTTCATCAATGCTTGCTCTGAAATACATGCTGGTTCTTTTTACATTGACAGCATAATAATTAACTACTTCAGGTATTTTATCATCTGTTTCTAAGATTTCAAAATTGACTATATTATCAAGAATTGTATATAAGGAACTGTATTTATCAACTATTTCAAATTAAATCTAGCCTGATAAAGCAGTTTATTTAGTAGTATATTAAAGTTAAATTGAAGTTGTACCAGCAGGGAATTTGACTTATCCAGCTGCATTAATTGGTTCAAATACTAATGAACTATCTTAATAAGGATTTATTGTAGTGAAATTGACTAATAAGTCTTATGCAGCTGGTTAAGAAAGAGTTAAAGTCATAGGTAATGATGTTCCACCTAAGGCTACTCTAAATACTCTTGGATTAATTGTCATGTATAATTAATTAGCTGTTGGTTTATCTACATATTAAAAGAAAGAATCAGCCATCTCTGAAAATTTAGCAGTAGCTGATTCTACTTTGAGCCAACTAAATTATTTTAGTCCAACTTCAGTGGCATCATCATCAATTGCTTAGATTTTGAAATACATTTCAGGTCCATTAGCAGGTAAAAATACTAATTCTGGTGGAATGAATTTAAATTCAGTTGATTGAGGTGTTAAAGTTACAGTGTGACTGACAGATCTTTGAAGTGTTACTTTAATGGGTTTTGTTGTGAGATATCTAGGTAATGGATCTATACTTTCAACTGTGATTACTAATCCTTATTAACTAAATGATAATGTTGAATTTGGTGATAGAGTTCCAAATGTTTATGCTACAATATTTTTATTTTATGTATCATATATACTTACTACAAAATTATCAGTAGGACCAGCAGAACTTGGATTCTCAATATTCTCTAATATGTAACATAATTAAGCTGGAGCTTTTTAATTACCAACATAAGCAGCTGTATGGGCAGAGACAGCAATTCTTCTTAAAGAATTTGAATTTTTACAAGAAGGAGATGAAGTTGAATTGTCATATGGCAATAGAGCATTATTATGATCTAAACTTATATAACAAGGATAAGAGGATGATTTAAATGTAAATTATTATGGAAAATCTACAAATACTTATGCTCCCATAGGAATACTTATATCTGTCAAAACACATAATGTATAAGCAGCTTTAACTTGTAAATTTGTTGATGAAGTAGCTAATTTTACTAATTTCATTGTCTATGGTGCTGCTGTTGGATTAATTTCAGCTGCTCCACTATTATAAGTTAAAACATTATTATTAGAATCTGTTGTTAATACATCAATAGATCCTTTTATAGCAGATGTATCATAATTTGGATTTGTTATTCCTACAATTTAAAGTGTAAATTCAGTGCTTTAATCAATATTAGCATTTAAACTGACAGTCAATTTTGAATTAGCAGCAGAACATGGAACAGTTACATTTGTTCCATTTTTGAATAATAAATTACATCCTAATGATAAATCATATCTAGTTAATCCTGGAGGATAAGTATCAGTTGGAAATTAAACTTGAATTGTGCTACCAGATGTCATATTTCCACTTGTTGTCATATTCAAAGAATATGTTGATACTTCTCCTGCATTTGAAGGTTCCATAATGAAATTGTTAATTTAAAGTGAAGGAACAGCAGGTTTATATATGAATCTCAAAGAAGAATCCAATGGATCTGTCTAATCAAGTAAAACATTATCATAATAAGTTTATGCTTAAAATATTTTAGTACTTTCAAAAGAGGGATTTCTCAATTTCAACATTAATAGAGTCAAAGATCCTCCTTGAGGCCAAGTAAATTGATTTTTGATTTTTAATAAATAATTATTAAAATCTGAAGAAGAATCAATTGTATAAGTATATGATAAAGCATCACTTGTCCAAGAAGCACTTAATTTAGCTAATGTGATTGAATTAGTTACAACAGAAGCCCATTCTTTAGGCATTTTTAATACAATTTCTCCAGATGCTGGAACTGTGTATGAATTTTAAATAACAAATGTATATGATGCTGTTACAGATTAAAAGCTATTAGTATTTGATAATTTCATATAAATAACACCAACATTTTTCTTAGCATAAAATAAAATTGGTGAAAATTCTTATTCATTTACTTTCTATCCATTTGGATGATACATTGTTAATAAATAATCAGATGGTAATGTCTATCCAGAATAATCAGAATTTTTAACTCCACTTAATTTTATTTATAATTCTTATTATGCTGGTATATCTTATGCTACAGTTACCTAAATTCCAGTAGTACTCAATACACAACTAGTGATATAAACTGAATTGAGTAAACTACATACAGCTGGAGGATTACTAGATGTAACATGATTGTAATTTAATAAACCACGATTTGGGAATCCAATATTAATTGAACCTCCAGCTGGAATCTTATAACTTGGAGAAAATTTGAAATCATAATTAACAAAGATATCACCAGCAAAATAACTACTTAATAACATAGATTATGTGCTTGGTGCTGCTACTAATGGAGGTTAGACTCCACTAATTATGCAATCCACTCTTCTGTATTATGATTTAACAATCCTCATTCTAATATCATAAGGAGTTGTGAAGTAATAAGCTGGACCTCTTAATTAAGATATCTTTAATATATTAGGGCAATCTGTAATTGGACTTGATCCTGCAGGGAAAGTGAAATAGATTTCTCTTGTCAAAGGATAAACAATAGTTTGCATCTAAATATCATTCCATATTGCAGATATAGCATTATTTGATTCAGATGGGAATTCAAATTCTTAAGGGAATGTAAGAATTACTTAGTCTCCTGGCTATAGTGGTTAATATATTGTGGATGGAATTGTGCAATTGATGTATATATTTTCTATAGTCACTTTCATGAAAGCTCCCACTGTGTTAGGATCTATATAGATTTGAGTATTGGTTGGACATGTGGTAAAAACTTTATAACATAGATTACCATAACAATTAGCATCATAAACAGGTACAAAACCAGTTGAATCTTAAATTAATTCTACTTTTGTGCCATCACCCTTCATTTTATATGCTGATAAAGTGACATTTCCTTTATTTTAATAAGTAAATCCATTTTTAATATTCAAAAAATGAACTTCTACTAAATCACCTGCACTGATATAATCAAAACCTCTAACTTCAATGATTGCTGGATAATCTGGAGAAACTTAGGTAGAAGCAATTAATGTACATTGTAATGTACCTTTCAAATTTCCAAAACCTTAACATAGTACATTTGTACTTGTTTAACCAAGATTTAATGGGAATCCAGAATATCCATTATTAACAAAATCTTTAGTATTAAATTTATATCTTAATGTTCCAATAGGAGGAGCAGTTAAAGGATCCTGACCTGGTGAGGAAGTATCATAACCTGCTGGAATATCAAGTGGAGCTGTGAATGTTGCTTTAATAACAGTAAATTGATTTGCTTCTCTAATAGTTGATTTAATTGAAAAAGTAGGATCAGTAGCAGATGTAATTGGATCTGGGACTGCATAAGCTTAATTGTAATTGTACTCTCTTTATACTTTACCACTAGAATCTTTTGAATCTATGAAAACTTAGAATGTGTCATCTTAGGGTTTAGATGGTAATTTAATACCATTTCCACCAATGGCATTTTTAGTTGTCACAGTAACCATTGAACATTCTTGTTTTAATCCATAAGTGTTATCAGTACTTAAAGTAATCTTTCTGTCTGAAGTGATTTTGCAATTAACAGAATCCAAATCTGTATGATATTCATTACTGATTTAACAAAGAGGATCACCTCCATTGGCTAAATCATAAGCAAGTGGTAACCAAATTTGTACTTCTGTATTTGAATTATCTGTTGTTGCTGGATGACTTGTTCTAGGTAAAACTCTCATATGAACTTCAGCATAATCATCAGTCTAAGCTCTTCTATTCTCATATGAAATAGTATTTCTCCAAACTCTAAATAGATTTGGTTATTTAACAGAATCTCCAACCCAAGTTTATCCATCTGTACCTTTAGATTCATCTATCACATATGATAAATTAGTTAAACTCTCATAAGTTTTACCATACCAACTACCAGTCCATTTTTCAGCATTGGGATTGGTCAAATTAAAATCAATTATCATCCATTAATCTTCACCATGTCCTTGATAAGTCTAGAAGTTATCAATTTCTATAAGCCATTTATCAATAGGAGCAGGCAATTTAGTAATGACACAAGTAATTTTATTATCTAGATCAGCATGATCTCTATTAACTAATCCTCTATTAACTTTACAATCTTAAATATTTTAATAGTCATTTGGTGCCCATAATCTAATATGTTTCATAGCTGAAGTAGTAGTTTGAAAATGAATTCCTATATGATGTCTAACCATAGTATTTTTGGCATTATCATTTGTTGTAGTTTAACTAACAATAAATAATTATCCAGTAGTAGGAGATATCTTACCTCCATTTGATTAGAATGTTTAATTGCTAATCAATCTATTATCTCTCCATATATATATTCTTAATGGTGATGCTTAGACAATGTTATTCCAAATGGTTGGATCATTCGAAGGATTATTCTATTTATAAACAAATGGTGGATTTACAAAATTACCAGATTCTCTTTAATACCATCTAACAGCAGGATCTTAAATGGCAGCACTCATAACCCACCAATGATTATAATGTTAGGGTGTGCATGGAGACAAGTAACCATCAGAAAAGTTTGCATTGTATCTTCTTTATAGACAATATCCTTTCATTGGCAATGTATAAGGATAATTGAAATCATAAACAATAGTATCAAACCTTTCTACATTGGTATCACCAAAATAAGATTATTATTGAGTTAAAGCAACTTGTGATCGTTAAATATTCCATGTTGAAGTAGATGCTGTTGATGGAGTTGGAGGAGCATAAAGAGATGGTGGAAGATGCCAACAATAATGTTCATTTTATGGATAGAATGTACCATCTTCTTATTTGACTTCTACTGAAATTTTGACATGTTAGAATGCTCCTTGAACATAACCATTACGAAAATCTGCAATTTAGAAATGGAACATTTCTGATGCTGCAATGGCATCAAAATAACTTCCAACTATATAAGATGGAGTATTATTCCATACTTTATTTTCAGCTTTGATATTGTAACATTCTATATAAGTATTACCTTTAGGTTATAATGGTCTATTTGCACCTGTTGTCTTATACATACCATTACAAGCTACTTATGCTCTATCATCTGCAGCTGCCATTCTATTAGTCAAATCCATTGGCCAAGATTCTTCTAATTCATTATGTGTAATAAATTCAAATACTAATCTTGAATAAGTAAGTAAACTTGGATCACCAGCAGGAATTGGATTATTTTCAGTTTAAGCTGTAAAATTAAGAATTGTCCATGTTGGATCACCACCAACAGTACTTGCTTCCCAACCAACACTTTAACAATCAAATCCATTATTATCAAATGGACAACCTGGAATTTTAGCTTCAAACCATCCTTTATCTATTGTATTTACACCATTCTTCATTGCAAAAAATGTTATCCAATATAAATCTGATGGAGATCTAACAACCCATCCATCACCACCAAATTAACCAAATGTTGTAATTACTAATTCCCATTCATCTCCTACATGTATATCTATCTCTTCAGGTATATAAATTTTTAAGTTGCCACCATTTACTCCATTAGTCCAATCACATCTATGAGATTTTATATTTACTAATTAGAAATCATTAGGATCATTGAAATAACAAACAATATATTTTTAAGTTGAAACTGGCCAAAAAGTATTTTGCATCCATAATTCAATATAATCATCTGGATAAACTAAATTTTAATCTCTTAGAATAAATCTTAATCTAATTGGTCCTTTTCTACCACCACAAATAATATAAGGATGTTAGAATCTATCCCAAAGAGTAACAATCAAATTACCTCCTTAAATAATTTAAGTATTTGGAGTATTTTCAAAGAAAGTTTCTTCATCAATTAACCAAGTATTCTAATTCTAATCCCAATAAGTTCTCCAAGTAAATGGAACTTAAGTTTAAACATTTGTTGGATTTACAATATCAAATTTAACACTTAAATATCCATCAATATTAGGATCATAATCATTCAACCAATCCTTAATTATGATAATTCTACTAGCTGGAATAATATCACATCCACTATCTTGTAAATTTTAGGAGACTATACAATATTGATCAGTAAACACCCAATCATAACTTGGTAAAGGAGGGAAGGTAAAGATTATCTTACCATTCTTTGGTATTTTATTATAAGGTAAGAATTTCAATTCATATGTTTAAGGAGCTGCTGTTTCAGCAGGAGCAGGAATAGGATCAATAGACATTTATTTAACTGTTGTAGATGGTTAATATGCTAATCTGTATTATGATGCAGTTGTAAATACACTATATTCAGTATAAGATCTAACCCCTAAATCTATGAATAAAGTCATTTTATAATTGACTCCACTAGGTATCATATAAGGCATATTCTTAAATTTTTAAATATTCAAAGTTTATGTAGCAGATTTGGTAAGCACAACTTTAGGAACAAATGTTATCCATTTGGCTAATTTATAAATAACTACTATATGATTAGTAGCAGTAGTGAATTCAATATAATTGTATGGATAGGCTCCACCATTTGAATATAAAGTACCAGTTTCTGGATTATAAGGATGTTCAAATTTAGTTTCAACATCATCAGTACTTAATACCCATCTATCATGACAATAATCAAGAAGATCATCATAAGGATTATTGACTGTTGCTGTTACTCCAGACATAGCTCCAACTAGATTTACAGTAAATGTAGGAGGTGTTACTGCAGTATATGTAGTAAAGGCATCAGGAATTGTATGGAATGTATAAAAATGTACTATTTCTGAGTGATTTCTAACTGTTTTTGAACTTGCTTAAAATTCATATGCTATCATTGATATTTTAGTATATGTATATTAAATAGATGGTAATTTAATTTTAGGGAAGGATATTTCAACAACTTATTATGTTGACATATCTTATTATGGATTTAACCATATTTCTACGGGTGCTACTCTATGACTAGCTCCTTGATACACATAACATTTGAAAAATGGTTCCAATGGATCAATATTACTAATTTATGGACAAGTACTACAATAACAATCAATCTCTTGGGCATTTTTAGTAAATCTACCTAAACCATTTGGGAATTGTGTTTATGTATTGAGAAAGTCATCCAAAGTTGGTAATTTTAGAATTATTTAACCCCAATTTGTATTTAAATTTGAAGCTAATGCTCTTCTTAATCTAAAACGAACTGTAAGATCTGTATAAGTATCTATTGTTCCTTAATGTACAGCTATATATGTTTAGAATGGAGTTGTTGTTGTTTCATCAAATCTGTAATTTTAATAAACAACATTCTTTTTGTAATCTGTTGAACCTATAGTTATAATTTTATCTTTAATAGATGCTGTAGGTACTGAATCATCAGTATTGTCATGCCATTCATAAGTGAAATCAGTTTATCCAATTTCTTAATGTCTCCATATCATAATTTTTATTGTTACTTTTTCACCTGATGCAAAACCAGTATCTGATGGTGCAAACATTGTAATTTTATCATAATTGGCTGAAGTGTCACCATTCTTACAATTCATTGCAGCTAAATTATTCCAAAAGCATGCAAATTATAATCTCTTTGTATTAATAGGTTGATTAATTGTAACAGTCATGAAATTAGAAGTATCTATTATCACAGAGTCTGTCTATTTTGTTATTGCACTAGTCAATTTAACAGTTAAAGTGATTGGTCCTATTTCCCCATCTTACAATAAGATTTAGGGTGCTTTGATGTAAGGCATAGCTAATCTCATTTTTGTATAATCAATTATTGTCTAAGCTGTCAAAGTATCTGTCTGAATTAATAAAGTAGAAGTATCCAAATCATCTGCGAAAAATTTTACATCAATGCTTTTGCTACCAGCAGTTGTAGGAGTTTATACTTATACTTTAACTGTGAATGCTTTAGTAGCTTTAATTAAAGTATTGAAGATAATCTTTTTAGTTTATGCATCTATATCTGAACAAGTAGTTGAATATTCTACATTTGTAAGATCATCAAAAGACTTACAATATCCATTACTTAAAATATAATCAGAAGGGAATATGATTCTAAATTAGTAATTAGTTTTAATTGGACCTAATAAAGTTATAGGAATAGACATGACTGACAAAAAGTCTTTCTTTAAATCAGAGTTACTACTTACTGTACCATAAGTAGCAATGTTAGCCTAAGTAGTTGTTACAGATGAAGTAGTTGTTGCCAATTAAACAATTGCTTTGGTTTAATAATTAATGAAAAATGCCTTAACTTAATGAGATTTTGTAAGAACATAACTTGGTTAAAAGAGACCATTTGTTATTGCAATAGTGATAGAACTTCCACTAGAATAACCAGCAGGAAAAACAATAAATACATTTGATGAATCTAATGGATCAATTCTAGAAGCTGTTCCACCAATAGTGGCTGCAAATATTGTATAATCTTCTCCCCATATAAGAGGATCATAATTAATTTTGACTATTGATTCATAATTGGGATTAACATCTTTTGTTAGAGTAACCTAATATTCATAATTGATTTGTGAAAAACAAGGTAAAGGAGTGATTGTTAAAGATCCAGTAGTAGAAGATGTAGCTGTTGATGCTGGTAATGTATAAGTAGCAGCATAAGCATATGTGTATTCATAAGAGTCAGCTCCTGTAATTCTAATTTCATAATCCATAATTAAATCAGTTGTTGAAGGATTCACTAAATTTTAAATCACAAATTATATTGTTGTTCCACTTGAAATACCTGTAAAATTGGTTAATCTAATAAATGAATATGGTCTTTAGAAATCAGCTATACCATAATATAAATAGCATTTGAAATAAATACCCAAATTTCCAACTTTGTCTAAACATCCAATTTTTTATCCATTAAGAAGGGCTGTATTAAGTTTATTTGTATTTAACACTTTAAGTGTTCCATCATTTTGAACTTCTCGGATAGGTATTAAGACATCAATATTATCAGAAGAAGCTAAGGATTGAGTTGCTTTGTATTTAACATAAAAGTTAGTACTTTCAGAAATGTGATCAACATAACTTTAAGTAACTAAATCAGATACTTAGTTATTATAAATAGTGAATGGTAATATTTAAGAATAAGTAACAGTTGTTCCTACTAAGAATTTAAATGTCATTTGATATTATCCTTATAATGCAGGTTCTGATAAATATTTGATACTTAGTTGATCATATTTAATAATTAATTCATAAACCTTATCCTTAAGTAATTTTGGATTCAAAGTAGTTAATGTTGCTATATTATAAGTAATAGTAATTTTTTTATTTGTCGTATCTACTGTGCATAAAGATGGAACATGTCTTACTAATTAAGTAGCCTTTTCTTTAAACATACATTTTAATCTTCTTGTTATATCAAAGTTACCCAATCCTAAATTATTTGTTTCTATTGTAAAAGAACCACTTGAGGCTAAATCTGCAAGTAATGAGAACTCAATTGTTATTTATCTTTCTACATTTTTCACTAAAGCTTTATAATTATCATAAAACAATTATAATCCAAATGGTTATTTAACTACTCCTGATAATTAATGTCCTGATGCTGTATTTGATGCAGTAATTGCAGCTGCTGTGCATGATGCTATAGCTATTGGTGAAGATTGATTCTCATAGATTGTAATAGTGAAGGTAACAGATCCAGCTGTAGCTGCAGTCTTCTTTCTGAATTTGATACAGATTTAACTATTACTATTCATTTCAAGATATTCTGATAATCTTATTCCATATGGATTAGAAGTAATTTATTAGAGTTTTGGTGGATATCCATTATATGGAATATATTGATTGATTAATGATGATCCAGAACCACAAGTAACTTCATATTATGAAATATCATTATATGCAGCAGTAGTTGTTGTTATTTCAATATATTAATAACATGTTGAAGTAGATACACATCCATTATTATTAAATGTCTTAAAATTAGAGGGTAAAGTGAAATCAAATTAGAAAGAGTTGGAATCAATTTGTTAAGCAGAGCAACTTGTAAAACTTTAACTACTAGCACCTGTTGATCGACTCAATTGAAATCTCTCTTTTATCTCTCTTGTTGTTCCATCTAAAATAAGTACAATTGCTGCAATATCACTTAATGAAGTAGTAGGGTAATATGGCAATTCTACATTACTCAATGTAAATAGTAGATCTTAATATCCACTGCCAATCTTTCCTTCAAAATAACCCATTCTTTATATAGTATAACCACTATCTAATGTTGTAGATGTTGAGGATGATGACATTGAAGCTGTGGATGATAGTAGTTTCATTTAATTATATGTACCATATTTCACTGAATATCCACCAACAAGTTTAATTGATACATAATCATTATCATCAAATGTATTATCACTCTAAGATGTATATATTGTAGATGATGTTATTGTACCAATTGATTAAGCAGATCCAATATGATTTAATTATCCAGATCCTGATATTGGAGCTGAAGGGTCTAATTCATTCAATTATAATAAGAAGTTTTATCCAAATTTATAGATCTAATTATTTCCTTATCCTTTAACATAATAACCAAACTAAAACATTTTAGTCTTTATCCAAAATGTTGGGGTAGAATATCTATACTAAAACCATATTTTTATGCTATTAATGCTAGTACTTTGTTATTCAAATTTGCTAATAATTATTCTATTATTAAATGGATCTCTATGTGCACTTGTTGATCCAACTGAATTTAATCTAAAAGCAGGTACAAACTCACAATCAAAATTCTAAGCTGAAGTATAATCACATTATTCTTTTATAATTGAGCTTGGCAAAGAAGTAAAGGAACCTAATAAATCCAAAAATAATTCTCCATCAAAACCATTAAAATTAGTAATCGCAGGTGGATCAAAACTTATCTCTAAAATATTACTGTTTCCCCCATTTGTATTGTGTTTAAAACTAGCTCCTATAGATTCCATTTAAAATTCATAGACTATTACTGAACCAGTAAATATATTTAAGACTGTGTTAGTCGAGTCAACTATTTAAATAGTTACAGGAAGTAATCCAAAAGTAGTAATTTTTACATATGATACTTTAAGATAGAATTCTGCTTAAATTGTACTTGGATCAATATCAGTAATTTCCAATTTATCGGCACCTGCCACATTACATAAAGGAGTACCTGCAGATGAACCCTCTGCAATTTATATTGAACATGAACCAGAACCACTTATCATACCTTCAATAAATACAAAAACTTTAAAATTGTTAGTATCACTTGTGGAAATTGTAGGAAGTTAGAAATGTAATTCATTATCAACACTTTTAGCTCCTGGTAACAATACTATTGATAATATTGATTATGAAGATGAGACTGAAGGAAATGATTATGCCGATACAATAGATAAAGGTGTCTTCATATCAAAAGTTGGTTTAGTTGAATCTGAAGATATCTCAACACCATCATATCTGTTCTTCAATGAGAAAGTAAATGTAGTAACACCTGATGCTCCTATGCTAGAAGGTAATTATCCATAAACATCGAACTTTATAGTTGCTTAGGATTTCAAGTATGAAGATAATAAGGTGAATGTGGTTATTGTTCCTGCAGCATTACTATAAGTAACTGATGTTATTCCTCCTGATTTTAATTCTATTCTCTAAATCTAAAACTTTGTTGAATCTACTTCTAAAATTACTTGTCCACCCAGAGGAATGTTATGACCTGAACAAGTATAAGTGAGTTCAAATTTTATAAAAGAATATGGGAAATATCTCACTTCTATTGGAGCAACTCCTGCTAAACTTCCTGGAGAAGCAGCTGTATATGGAACACTTGGTTAAGTTGTTACAGTGAAGAAATTGCATACTCTTGTTAAACATGTATAAATCTAAAATGCTAACTTAGAAAAAGTAGTGACAACACTATTAACTTAATTGATATTAGAGAAGGCAACATTCCTATTTGAAGTACATGTTGTAACACCAGTGAATCTCTATATAATCCAATGTGCATAAATTTCTAAAACACTTGGAGTAGCACATGTTCCTCCTGTTGTTACAGTTGCACTTGATACATCATAATAACCAGCTGGGAATCTATAAGCTATATGTGAATATCCATTCAGAGCAGTTGTTCCAAAATTTACATTAGTAAATGTAAATACTGTATTTGACTATACTGTTGCACTGGTAGCTGCTACTGTTGTAGTCATTGTAGAAGGATTTTATACTAAAGGATTTACAGCATCTTCAAAATAATAAGCTTCTAATTTTGCACTATTTACATCTGCAGTATATAAAAAGATGTCAGCTGAAGCAGCAGAAGTTGGTAATGTTACCTATTCAATAACTATTTATAAACTTGTTCCACTTGCAATATCATTAACAAATGATTAAATAACAATTAGAGTTTGAGCATATTCACCTGAATTCTTAAAGATTCTGCAATTCAAACCATTGTTTAATAAAGCTTAATTTGTTGAATAACATCCTGGATACAGATCACCACTGTTATAAACAACTGATTAAATAAGGTTTTCTTAGAACAATATAGTAGTACCATCAATAGCAAAATTAGGGAAAGCAATGACAATCTTACCTGTTTTTGGAATTAATACAGAAGTTGTAAATGAAAATAAAAAAGAAGTCTCAGTAAAACCTGTACTTTTTATTCCAGAATTTACAATCCTTAATTAGGTAGATGCAAATGATTCTGTTGGTAATATTTCAAATCTTAAAATTCCAGTATCACCATTATCTTAGGTTAGAGTTGCAGTAAATACTCCACTAGCTGCAAACAATAATCCATGATTTATACTATTACCTCTTGAACTTATTGTAACTTTATATTAAGTATTTGCAACAAATGTAACAGGTGAAACTGGCATCAACATAATTATATCAAGAGTATTAGTTCCATAACAATATGAAAATTTATGAATTAGTCCTGTAGTGCCTTCTATTGTACAATATAATACAGCACCTGCTGGAACAGAAACAGTAGCTAAAGCTGGGAAACTTATAGTTATTTAAGTATTAGCAGTTGGAGCTGTTTTAAAGGATAAATAAAAAGTAAAAGGAGAGACTTAATTTTTTCTTGCCACAGTAGGATCTTTTGTTTTCCATTCAAGCGTTTTAAAGGACCCATAAGTTTAAACATTAAAAGCAGAAGCAGCAGATGTCCATAATTCAATAGTTCTACCTGTATCCCTCCAAGCTTTGAAATTCCAAAGTGCAGGACTCATAGCAGCTGTAGATGTTTTACAATAAGTTTCAAATATTATTTTTTCTCCAACTTTGATAGGTTCCCACCCAGTTATTGTAAGTTGAGGTCTTCCAGTAAAACCAGTAATTGTAGAAGATGCAGTTACGCTTGTTTAAAGATTGTCAGCTGTAACAAACTTAGCATTAGAATCTGTAGTACTTAAAGAATAATCATAAGCTACAAAACCTGTTGGTAAAAAGATATCTATTATTGAACCATATGGAAGAGTAATTGATTAAGTTGGAATAGTGATTTCAACCCTTACTCTAATTTGAGTGCTTTTTGGTATTGTAGTATTATCAGCATAGTCCATGGGAGTGACAATAGTATTATATGCAGTAGCAGCCAAAGTTGGTAAGAGATAATCATTAATAGCAGCATAAGTATAAATTGTGGATATAATTCTATCTTTAACAGCATATCCTTTGCAAACAATACCTGTTGTTGGAACTTAAATAGGATTGTTACTATTTTTAAATTTTAGATTAGCTTAGGCTTGTATAGTATTCAAGGGTTTAACAACAATCCAATTGTTTCCTTAAGATACTCTACAAACATACACAGAACCTGATTCACATTGGACATTTTAAGGTTATGGATCAAAGAATGGTTAAGTGTATTCAAATATAAAGTAATCATATTCTTCACTATTTTTAAGTTAAATTGTTGATTGCATTTTCAAATCAAAAGTAACAGATTGATCAAATAAGGTATCAGATGATTTTGTAGGTTTTGGTTGACTTCCAGTTGCAGGAGTATAATGTTTTAGTGTCATATCATAAGAAAAGCTTTATTCTATAAGCTGATTTGATCCATCATAAGATTCTAATCTCATTTCAATGTGTTTGTCATCTCCAGTAACATCAGGAGTATAGAATTAATCGATATCAAATTCATAATATTTATCAACTCCTGTAAAAGGTGGACTAATAACTCTTGAAAAGAGTTCTTGGTATCCAGTTGTAAATGATGGAGAATTCGTTAAATCGCCAGTCCAGCCTTGTATCAAAATATAAGCATGTTGTCCATAGACCCTATTGCCTAGATATAATTTGCATTCCAAAACTGTGGAGGCTGGAAATCCGTTTCTGGCATAACATTAGATGGGATCCCCATCTTTTTTCCCAGTTCCTAAATCATCCTTATATAGAAATTCTGATTCCTCTGAAAGAGTGGGGAAGTATAATTTTAAGTAACCTCCTCCAAAATTTCCTGATGAAATAGGTACATTAATTACAGGAAGAAATCTGACTACCATCATATTTTTAGAATTCACATTAGTGATCAAAGAGACACATTCAAAATACTTAAATGCCTTCAATTATGGAACAAAGATATCGCTATGTTTTAATTCAAGAGTTGTATAAATATCAAAAGTATAAGTATTCATTGCTGGTAATTAAAATCCTCTACTTCCATCAGCAGAATTTTATGTGTCAATTATGATTCTGTATAAAGTATCTTTCTTTATTAAAGTATTTATAGGTGTGTACATAGATAATATTCTAGTAGCTTTATCATACAAACATTTCTCAGCGGGTAAGAAATTATCATTATGATTATCAAACCATGGTGTATCATCCCACAAACAAAGATATTATGAACATCTAATCTTATTGAAAAGAGTGGGAAATTTGATATACAATATACCACCTGCTGCAAGATCATTCTGTAAATTTATTCTGAATTCTATAGTTCCATATAATGATGTTCTTCCTCTTACTCTACTTCTATATGGTGTGTCCCAATATTCAATATCAGTGGCATCACTTAAAGAAGGGGATGTTGCATCTCCATATGTAATCAATTTATTCAATGGACTTTCATTCAAATACCAAGTTTTAAATTCCCATTTTTCTGAAATTGTCACAGTATCATCAGGATTTTCCATTCTTACTTTGATTATAATCTTACCAGGACCAACAAATTTATTGAATCCAGTAATTAGAAGTTGACTGTTAGCTCCATCATATGCACATTCAAATCCAACTTTGGATAACACTGATCCACCGGATACATCATTCCTGCATCCATTTTCTCTTATTGTAAGTCCTGTTGGTATTTTTATTGTTATTGCTCCAGTAGTAGGTATATTTTTTGGATTTGTTACTGTAATTGTGTAATCTGTTATTGTCTCATAGAAACATAAAGTACAAGTAACAGTTGGAGTAACTGAAACAGCATTTAAAACTTAAGTAAAATCAATCTTGTACACATATACTAATTTAGATCGAGTGAAAACATAAATCTTAATTGGTGGATCAGATGTTGCTACCAAAACCTTGAAGGGTGGTGTCTTGATTGTCACAGAACCAGATTATAATGAATCTGCAGTAATACCAGAATCTGGATACAATCCTATGTATGGACCCAATGGATAAGAATAACAAATATTACCAGCTGGGAAGGAACATGTGATTTGTCCATAAGGTAAATCCCAATTAGGAGGTATTTCAAACAAAATCATATCTGCTCCTCCACCCATATTGTAATCCTTACTTCCATATTATAATGATAGTGTTGCTACTGTATCTATTGTAGCAACAGAGAAAGTAGGATTAACTGCTGCTGCCCACACATTTTATAAATCGTCTTAGACTAATGCAGGTATGTCAATTGCCAATTTATTGAAACCAGGTTACTCTTTAGTTCTCCCAAAAGTTCCATTTATTAAATCATAATCTGAGGATAAAATTAGTTCACTTGTACCAGTAATAGCATCTGTTTTTTAGACTTAAATTGAGATTTTAGTTAATTCATATGTTGAATTAGGATTGAAAATATTTGGTAAATGTATTTCACCATTTGTATTTACAGGTATTTAATCAAAATCAGTAATAATTACTTTAGTTGGATTAGGATAACTACCATAAAACAATCGGCATTTTAATTAAGTAACACCAGGTAATAATGAAAAGCCTTCTTAAATACAAGGTAATTATGTCCTATGAGGTAGTCCTGTTCCTAAATCTTATTCAAATCCATTTGTAAAAGTAGGCCAAATAGTTCTGTGGAAGAGAATAATCATAGAAATCGGATCAGGATTATCTGAAGGTGGAATTGTTATAGTATTAGTAAAGTATAATCTAAATACTGACATTCCTTAAAGAGTAGCAGAAGGAGTTACAGGATCATATCCAACTTTATTTGCAGACCAAACCCAAAAAACTCTGAATTTAGGGGGATCTATTGTCATAACCTTTCGAATAAACTAATTTGTTCCTGTATTAACTGTTTCTACTTTTAATTTGTAGGTTCCAGCTTTGTTATGATGTAATCCTTCCTAATAAGTTGCTGAATAATCTGCACCTCTAGTACTAATCATAACTAAGTGTTCTTAATTAGCTATCATTCCATGAGTTAAAGGCATAGCCATTGTTATAACTCCACCTGCCCAAGTACAATACCTTGCTAAGTGACCATCCAATCTACAATGAGGAATACCTCCATTAGGCATTGAGATAGCTGTAGTGTTAAAAGTAAATACTAATCGAGGTGCTGAATTTGTTGTGTAATCAGGTATGTTATGATTTGTTTTAACATGCATATAAAATTCTCCCCTTGTCCCTTCTCTTGCCTTATCATTAATAATAATGAAGTCCATCCATTCTAATTTTGGTGGAAAACGCTTTGGACCATTGATATCAATTCCATTTAACACAGGATTAGGTGGATAGGCAGTATTATAAAAATTATCTATATTTGAAGCTGTAGATGTTGGGACAGATGCATCAAAATAGGTTTAAATTCTAATAGGATTAGCAGTAGTAGAAACTAATCCAGTTTTACCTCTAAATGATAAAGTGAATTTAGTTAGGACAGGAATCTCATTAAACTTAGTTAATTGATAATATTTTATTCCACTTACATCCACTAAATTACATTCATGAGTGTTTCCTAATCTTTTAGGGGGACTTGTGACTCCTGACCAGACCTCACATGTTGTTGTGTAATCTACTAATCCATTCTAAACTTCTAATTCAACAAGACCATTAGCTGGAATCTTGTGACATGTCGTAAATGTTGCTCTAAAAATGATCCAAGAATCAAAATCTGTATCGGTAACTTAAGATCTATCAGCATTCATTCCCACAGAAGTTTATGGTAAAATATCAAATTAGGGTGGACCTAATATGCCACCATCTATAAATATGCTTGATGTTGGGAAAGTTATTCTCTTTATTTTTCTATTCTAATTCCAGTATATCAATTTTATATCAACTCCTGGAGTATAAATAATGGGATTATAGATATTCGCCAATTAAACAGGACCATTTGCAGCTATGTTTCCAGAATTCACTATGATGAAATAATAATACTCTCCTGTGAGAAAATGATCAATTAAATAAACAGCTCCATGAGGACTTGTGGCTGTTACTCCAAACTAATTGGGAAATCTCGTTTTATCTGTGAACTTTATTAATATATGATCTGGAGTTGAATTTGGACAATAAGGATAATTCGAAGTACCTGTATTACATGAAGTTATCACTTCTGTATGCTGAAATTACAATGTCCATGTTGTTAATTCACAAATCTATTTTCTTGTTGATGAAAATGTTGCTGAAAGTGTTAGATCTTAAACATCCTTGGCCAATGTAGGAGCACTAGTACTTACATCTTTATAAACATCTCCCTATTTAATGAATCCTACTGATTATTTAAGGTAATTCATTGTGTAAGGCTCATCTAATTCAGTTGTCCAAGCTGATGATACTGTAACGAAACATTACATATCGAAAGCTGTACATGATTTAACATTTGGAATTACTATAAATACATTGGTTCCTGTGTTTATTTTTGAGCTGAATCCTCTTACTTATAAAATAGCATATTTTCTAGTTGTTCCCCCTGAGAAAACCCAACATTGAACATTGGGATGACTAGTTCTGATGCTTACATAACATGGTATTCTCTTTTTCCCATCATTTCCTAACCCAAATCCTAGATCATTAGGCCATGCAGCAGATGACTCATAAGTTGAGTTTACTGTGCTCATATTGAAATTAATTGAACCTTCATATGGAATTGGCAAAATTACAACCACATTTGAATAACATACCATATCAGCATCCACTTAATCAACTGATGTACATTTTATATAAGTATTCGGTTAAATAAATTAATCTGCAGCTATTTCCATTGTATATAAATCTTATTCTAATGGTTTTTAATCAAAAGTGCTATAAATTCCATCATTAAATGTTAAAACTCTGAAATCAAATCTTCCAGGAATTGGTGTAATTTGAGAAACAGCCACTGAAATTGGTAGATCGCAATTACTAAGTCCTGTGCTTGGATCATATTTCAAATAGTTCGTTGAAGAGGGAGTCTTAAAACTATACCTTTATAAATAATAACTGCAAGTTGATGCTATATCTGCTCCAAAATTACAAGTTGGTGTGCTACCAACTACGTTCCATCCATTGAAGTTTTATCCACTCATCCTCCACCATAATGGTATCTAAAAGTAAATGCTACCATAACTTGTTGGTGAAGTAGTCAATTTTAATTAATTGGAAGGCATTGGATATAGTCGAAAATCTAGGGGTCCTGTTTTATCCAAAGAGATATTTTGCATTTGTTTATATAAGTCAATTGCGACAAAGTAAGGACTTTAAATTGAAGATATTTGAATGGATCCAGCTTCCAAATTTTAATCAATTCCTTTATAATTACTACTTGACCCACTTATGACAGGAACCTTACCAAAGGTTGAATAGGTGTAAATTTAGCAAAATTAGTATAATTTTGAAATTGGAGGATTAACTGCATAAATTTTAAGAGTAATTTCTTAAGGCGAAAATGATGCAAAGTCCGTTATTGTTATCTTCTGACCACTAGTTACACAAGAAATTGGTGTTGTTCCATTTTGCGATAACCCAGAAATTATTCTACATGTTGGATCCAAAGTAAATCCAGTTGGAATGATGTATTCAATTCTTCCTGTGTAAGGAATTTTATTTTAAGGAGTGAATTTGATAGTGTAATCAATTCTTAAATTTTAATTTAAAGGAGCTCCAGCAATTGATGGATTAATGATCTACCCAGGGGTGATTGTTGTGACACCTACGTTAAAGTATTCAATGACTGTATTAACTAAAGGTTCTAAAGTCTCAAAGATAAATGGATCTGAATCTCCAGATGCAGATGGGTTAATAACATTCTTCAATTTCACTTTGTGTTACCCTGCGGGTAAGGCAGCATCTATAGCACTAAAATATATTCTTCTTCCTTCTACTTGACAATTTAGATTTTACATAGTATCTACTAAAACACATTCAACTTTAGATATATCAAATCCTTCTGCTATCTCAGCTCTAAACCAACTTCCTTTGATTAAATCTATTTGTGTAGTAAACTAAATAACATAATTCGTAACGTAACCTCCTAATTTTGAACCATCGTTTATTATTTGACCCTCAGAAGCTAATTGATTTTAATTTATACATACCTATTGTATGTTTCTTATAAACAGGAGCGAAACCAACAGTACCAAAATTTAAATTCTAGTCCACTGGAACTGTATCTCTTAAAGTTATAATCTGAAGAAAACCACTTGATTTCCCTCCTAATCCTACTGGATTTTTGTTATATTTTATTCTGACTTTCTAGCTACCAGCATTCAGAGGTTCTGTACCAAAATATATTGTAATTGTTCTATTGCTCACTGAATAATAATTTGTTGCTGGTATAGTCACTGCTGGCTCTACATAAGGTATGCATCTTGTGGTAGTTGAGAATGTGTATTCAATATAGCATTCCTTGTCTATATTAGCTGCCTAGTTAAATATCATATGAAGTTCCTTACTCCCATAATGTCATCTTATAGAAGACGCAACTATGTTCCATCAAATTCTTGAGGGAAGGTAATTTATAATCTTCCATTTGAAGAAATTCTTGTGCTCACTGATAAGAAAATATCGTAAAAAGTATAAGCATCTTCATTATTTCTATAAGGTACTATTGGATTAGCACGATCAGGTAAAATGAAATCTAAAAATATGTTAAATTCACAAACCTGCTATGATTTCTGTAATAATTGCAAAAAGTAAAATCATATTAAAAATAATTAATTAATCATACCTATTCTCCATGCCTAATACTAATCATATACCAGATTTTAACAAATACATATTAAACCAAATACTTAATTAATAACAACTACTTTAAACAAGATTCATATCAAATTCAATTAATCCTCGATAAGCTCTATTATCATTTCATTACTAAGAAATTTTTCATTATTAAATAATCAAAATATAGAAATATATAACCTTATTATTATTATTAATGCAAAAAAATGTCATTTTAAATTACTTATAAAATGGTTCTTCATATTATCCTTTTGGAGACCAGCCTTAACAAAATCAAACGAATCTTGATCCTTTTATTCCGTTTCAACGAGAAAGGGATAAAACAGGAAAATTAATTAAACAAACTGATTCCAATTTCATCAAAATCAACAAAAGTAATAAATAATATTGCACTGATCACTCATATTCTAATAGTGATATACTAAATTCTTATAAACTTAACACTGAAATAGATTAGTCAAAATAAATTCCTTCTATTCAACCAATTCTATTATTACCAATAATACATTAACCTCAAAACCAAACCTAAATTTAAGTTATTCAAAAAAATTCTAAATATACATTAAATTAGAATTCAATTGAAATAGGATTGTAACTGAAAAAAATGCATAAAAAATCATCTCCACAGAAAATTTCGCTATTAAGTAGAAAAACTAAATCAATGGCTTTGTAAATTCCAGCTCTTGGTATTTATGATCCAAGTCCCTCTCCTAAACATTTGCCAAACATATAAATCAAATCAAAGATATAATCAAAAATAGATGGACCTTCTCCAAAAATCTTAATCTAAATTCCTCCTGCTTAAAAAATCATAAAAAATGATTTTGAAATGATGTTTGCAAAATAAATGGCCTCAATTAAAAGAGAAGTAGATCTAGAAATGAAAAGAAATCCTAATCAAATATTTAGAGTAGAAAAATTTGATATAAAAGAAAATTTAGATCTAGAAGAGGCTGAATAACTTAGAAATAGAATGAAAAGATACTTTTAAAGTGTTAAAGAGAGTTTTATAAAAATTAAAAATTTTATGAATGTCAAAAAATGAATCTTTTAAAATTGTATTCCTTTGTAATGAGGTATAAAATCTAAAATTAGAATCCATAATTATATATATTAAATATATTACATTTTCTTAATTGATCTTCTTCGAGATAAAACTTGATTCAAAAAAAATTGAACTATTATAGGAAATTTTGATGAATTATTATATTATATTATATTATAT